CCATGTGTTTAGGCCCTTGCCTTTTAAGCAAATCCAAGTTATGTGTTTTTTTTGGCCGGAAATCCTGAATGTTCTTTGGTTCGGCCCCAGTTGGTAGGCAAAAATCACCAACTTCTCCAAGAATATCCCAACTTGCCAGATGGCTGCAGCCATATTCCAATCATGTTGATGCATCTTGCAGATGCCGTGAATTCTGTTGCATTTGCCATTGCTTTTGTCGGATGTTTTTTCCCTACTTGGATGTAGCGGAAAAAAATATTAAGATCCAGAACACTGGAAAACCCTACAAGTAAACTTTGATAAAACCATGGTTCCGCAACATTTCCCTTTGCAACAAACAATGTCCAAACGGACTTTTGATGTAAAGAAACATAAGCCTGGAACTAATCCCATCCTCCATTCATATGACACCCGCAAATTCTATGGTCCCAAATAAGTGTAAATCATCTAATCATATCTAAACTATGGTTTCTTGGGTGTTTAAACACCAGGCTACATGGATTTTTTGGTTCGTCAGCGTCGTCACCATCAGGCCGGGAGGAAAGAACCTCACGGTCTTCTTGGACGATGTCCAGTGTCCCAAAGTCTTCGCAAGGATCTGGAGGGATTTGGGCCAAAAGATGGCAACAGCTATGATTTTCCATGTGAATTTGTATCATTTGGAGGATGGCCAGCCATAAAACCAGAAAATTGTTTCATTTTTCATATCAAATCTCCACACATCGTGGTTTGAGATTGGATTTGTTCATTTTTTGGGTCCTTTCTGTGTTGGGATTAGATTTAATATCTGAGGGGGTGGGGTGAAAAGCAAGCTATTTCTATGTACCCAGTTCTTGCTATTACTCAACTCATTGTGTTTGTTTCTTTCTTTCCCCGGTGTGGTAGTGTCACCAGAATACATGAGTACTAATCAAAACAATATCCATACATATATATATATATTCACACATATATATATATATGTGTGAATATATATATATGTGAATATATATATATATATATTGCTTAGCTGAACTCTTCGAGAAGGCAATGGAAAGATATATATATATATAAATACACACATACATTATGATCATTATCATTAGCATTATCATGAGCATTGCTGTTCCTATTGATCCATGATCGCATCTCGACTCCAAAGGCTTCAATGCCTTTGGTGAACAAATGGGGCGACCAGGCGTGCGCGGGATGCTGCGAAATTGCGGAGATTTCAAAGAGATTAATCAAAATCATGGGAAGATAGTGGGAAAACAAGGGTAAAACAAGCAATAACCCGGGATGAATAATGGATGATGGGAATTTACCCTCTGGTAATTTGTTACAGGTTGCTATTGAAAATGGCCATGTATATTTGATTTTCCCATTAAAAATTGTGATTATCCGTAGTTATGTTAGTTTACCCGAGGGCAATGGTGATTTTATGGTGAATGGACCATTTATGTCAAATCCCGGTATTTCTTCATTGAATGGTGATTTTTCATGGTGATTTTTTATGGGACATACTGGGGTTTTACTTGGCCGCGCGACTCCTGATGACAACAATAGGAACATCTTGTTGCACCCGAAAACTTCGTGTCAAGTAGTTTTTATTTATTTTATTTGTTCAACGAAAAAAATGTGATCTGAGAAATGGTGCTCGCCTTTTTAGCTCGCCTTCAGTTTGACAGCTGATCTCCTGAGATGGCGATAGAGAGAGAGAGAGAGAAATGTTCAGGTCACAAATGAGTTGACCAGACAGCTCATTGAGCAGGGATGCTCAGAGGATTCCCGGATGATGTGGTGGGGTCAACTAGGGAGGTCCATGTCGCGAAGCAGAGATTTTTCGTTGCGACATGGTATTTCCATAGTCATGGGGGTACCCCAATAGCTGGTTGGTTAGGGAAAATCCGAACTTAAAACGGATGATTTGTGGGTATCCCTATTTTAGGAAACCTCCAAATGATTGGAGAGATGCCACTATGAAGGCTTCATACCTTACATTTTGAATCGTTCTGATTTCGTATGGGGTTGAGCACAACCTCTCTGTTTGGATAGTTTTCCTAAACCCACATGGACAAGAGTGCGTGCACCTTGGTTTCGCCCTTGGCCAATGAACCTTTCTGGGAAAGTGACCTGGCAGTTACACGAAACTATGTTTTGTTACCAGCAAGTGCAGGGTGTCGTGCCAATTTTCCCAGGGAACTGGTTGAACCTATTTCCCTAGTATGTCCCTATTATTTTGAGCATTATTTTGCTTTCCCCAATTATTTCCACCCATTATTTCCAAGCTAGTTCCGTATTATGTCCCAACTAATTCCCAACTAGTTCCCTATTATTACGTACTTCAAATATCTTCAAATTATTTCACAAATTATGTCCCTATGATTTCACCAATTATGTCCCTATTATGTCCCGATTCGTTCCCCATCATTTACCCAATTATGTTATTTCCCCAATTATTTCCCTAGTATTTCCCACAGAGTTTCCCAAATATATATGTGGATATATGTGGATTCACATGATATGCCCATACTGTCAGTAAGGGCTTATATCATACCAATAAATTGGTGGTTACAACGTGATAGCCATGGCAGCCAGGGTTTTTTTTCGGCAGGTTCGGTGGGTTTTACTTCTTGGACCGCGACAAGCGGGGCGAGTTCAAGAAAATCGAACAGCTGAAGTGAGCGACGACCGGTGCTGGTGCTTCATGAAGTGACAAAACATGGAGCATGCTTCAAAGATATGGCTGAACAAATGGGGAAATTTCTATTTGTCAAAGCGATTAAAATGGATGGACCATTTTGAAACAAACTCACATCTTTGGGGGGCAGAGATTTGAGCTGGACAAATTTTTCGCTGGAGATGTGAAGAGATTGGTATGTTTTAAGGTTCTACTGCCAGGTTGTGAAGGTGCAGTGAAGGTCCAATGAAAGTTGAAAGACTCTGCGTGAGTTCATGTCGGAGGCGTGATTTGTTCGCTTGTGATGCTGTCTAGAAAAGGAACATACCCTCTGGTAAACTAACATAACTATGGAAAATCACAATTTTTTAATAGGAAAATCCACTATAAATGGCTATGTTCAATAGCTATGTTTAATTACCAGAGGGTACCTCCAAATTGCATTTTTAGTGAATTAACTGAGGTAAATGAGAAGATGTTGGACTTCGGCGTGCATGATTTTTAGATTCATTTTGATACAAATGCGTGTATTTAACCCTATAGCTGCGATATGATATCATATGACATCAATTCAATGGCCATTTCAGGAACCTAAATTGGAGGTACCTACCATATATAAGGCCTTTTTTTAAGGCCTAAATTTCAGGGAATATCCCCACAAAATATGGCCTATGGTACTAACGTACCTCCATTTTAGGATCCTGGAATTCCCATTGATCAATGGATATCTTAGTGTTATCTTCTGGTAAACTAACATAACTATGGAAAATCACAATGTTTAATTGGTAAACCCACTATAAATGGCAATTTTCAATCACTATTTTTTTATATCATCCCCATCTTGGCTTCGTCACTCGCGCTTCGAGGTACATCGCTGCTATGGCGCACCCTGGTGGGGGTCGCAACGACCAAATCTCAGCCACGGGAAGTTGATTGGTGCTGAAAATTATCCCAGTCAATCATCCCATGATCATCCCACATAATCTGATATAGGTGTACAATGTGAGGCCCCCCAGTGATGTTTGTTGGTTTATAAGCCCCAGTAACTATAGTTATTTGCGTATCATAAACCATAGTTATTGGACTTATAAACCAACCTAGCTATCTAGGGGGCCTCACATTGTAGGTATACCACCAAATACCAAGCAGTTTAAAATTCGCTGAAAAACCGTTTCGCATTGGGAAATGTTGGGGTTCCATTGCAGGTTCCATTCTTTCTTCATGAAAGCTTTCTGTCCCAGTTTCCTTGACCTGACTGTGATTTGATAGATTTTGATAGTGCAACGATGTTCAATGTATTTCATGAAACATGTCCAAGAGACAGAGAGCTATGTCAATGTTCAGTATTCCAAGATATTCCAAGATCTCCCAAGATATTCGTTGACTCCCCGCAGCTTAGCAAAATTTTCTGGTTCGACATGGTTCAACGTTCTAAAGTTCAAAGGACATCTAGAGAGCAGCAGAGCAGCAGAGTGGCTTAGATTATTCGGCTACCGGCATTACACCAAGTTTTGCCGGAAATCTGCAGATGTTTCCATGTGCTTTTTTTTTACAGATGTGTAGCTGATTGGTGGTTTGGAACATGAGTTTTATTTTTCCATATATGTATATATATATATATTGGGGATAATCATCCCAACTGACGAACTCATATTACTGACCTTCATATTTTTCAGAGGGGTAGGTCAACCACCAACCAGGTAGTCATAATGCAAAAACCAGAGCAGAGTCTAGGTATTGAACTGATTCTCTTCGTATTTGGCGTGCCCAGCCCAGCCTGCCCAGCTCACATTTCCGCCTGTTCCAGATGTGTCAGGCGTTCTCTGCGCTGGTGGATTCGGCATCATGAAATCTCACAACCAGCATTCTCCATCTTACCCTCTGGTAAACATACAAAAAACTATGATGGAAAATCACCATTTTCAATGGGTAAATCCACGAACTAAATGGCCATGTTCAATGGCTTTTTGTATGTTTACCAGAGGGAAAACATTTCAGCCGGGTCTTCGGATGTGTGTTCCGTTTCTGTTCCCTTAATTCCCAAACAAACCCAGGCCAGTAAGTCCAAACAGAACATTGATCAATTGCCGTGTAAAACATTCACCCTTCATCTTATCACTCAACTTATCCCACCATTTCTTTCAATCCATCATGATCCAGAAAATTTCAGGATCCTAGACATTCGAATCACAATTAGATTCAGGATTATCAACGATCCCATCCCCCTAAAAAGGGTACAATAGGTACAAAAACCCTCGCAAACCCCTCCGAATCCCATCATCTGCAGCCATTTTCAACCTCCACAACTGTACATCGCGGTGACTCCTCGCAAAAAATGGCCATGGACGCCGAGAAAGGGGACTGTCCCACCGAGCGCCGTTCGCTCCTTCGGAGCGCCAGAGGCAACGCCACGGAGACGACCAGCTGGCCCGTGATGCAGTGACTTGGAGGACGACCTTGCCGATTTTCCATTTTTCGGAGATGAGTCTTGTGGATTTGTCATGACAAAATCTGGCTGGTGGTGACTGGAACCATGGAATTTTAAATGACTTTCCAAATATTGGGAATTTCATCATCCCAACTGACGTCCACTCATATTTTTCAGAGGGGTAGGTCAACCACCAACCAGAAATTGTATTTTCATGAAAAATCATGTAGAAAATCATGGCTTAATAATGTCGGAGATGTTTCTTCATGAAAAATCTGAAGAATGAGATGGCTCAGTACTGCCTTAAAGAGGCTTAAAGAATAGCTATTCATGGCTGAAGACAGCCACGTCAAACGGGCCATGGAGATGAAGCTAAGCATGGCTTAACAATGGCTATTGATGGCTTGATAGTGGTTAATAATTGCTGAAAATCATGGCTATGAATGGATTAGTCAAGGTTCTTAACACTTTAATAATGGTTTATGATGACTATTCATAGCTGAGTAATCAGTGGTTAAGAATGGCTATTGATGGCTGAAAGCCACGGCGAAGAATCCCCTCCTCTCGTTGGAGGATGAAGGGATTTTTCATCACACATGACTGGGACATTTTCCCCTGCCATTTGGGGATGGAGTTTAAACATATCACGCATTTTCTGGTAATATTGGACATTGTTTCTTGTTGGATTTAGTACATGCAGTCATACTGCAAAAACAACTCGGTTTGTTGCTTCCTTTTGAGTTCTTTGGCCCTGCCAGCAGAAAGCCATCTATGGCGGTTGTGCCAGAAGGGTTTTGGGTTTTTGTTCGCCAAAAAATGGATTCAGCCGCTCGGGATGGTGTTTTTTTTTTAAAGTTCAGGCTAAGATCAATGGCCATTTCAGGAACCTATTGATTGGAGGTACCTACCATATGTAAGGCCTTTTTAAGGCCTAAATTTCAGGGAATATCACCACAATTCATATGGCCTGAAATATGGTACTAACGTACCTCCATTTTAGGATCCTGAAGATCTCCCATTGATAAGATTTCAAGTACCTCACCTTTAAAAGAACCCGCTGATTCTTCCAAAATTCTCCTATCCCCTTCTATTCAACACGCACCGATATGTTTATGACTGGGTATATTTTACGATGTCCGCATGTGATGTTTATATACACATCATGATTATGTCACTTATGTCATATTCTTTCGAATGTCCTGCGGTAGTCAAACATAGCAATTGAACATCCACCATTGATAGAGGATCTTCCGGGGGTTCCTAAAATGAAGGACCTGAAAAATAATGATCCCACCTAGCTCCTCTCAATAAGAAAAACCAGAAGCCATGCTTTGGGAATATGTTCGGCCAAATGTTTCCCAAAGAATTGTCATCAATTGTCCATATCTGAGGCCGGATCCGAAGTATGATCCCTTGAAATGTTTTCCCTTCGCTTGTCCATTCTTGCCTTTGGCCACCGGTATTTTTTACGTCCTGACCGTGTTGGCCTTGGTTTTTTTCGGTGCTTTGAGCCTTGTGGCTGGGATTCTATGTTGTATCCCTTGGAAGCTTGGCCAAGGTTGAAAAGGGTGGAGAATCATCCGCAAAGCAGGTGTCAGGTTGGTGAATAATCCTAATTCAGCCTGATTTATGTAGATTTAACTGATTGATCTCCAATTTGTGGCAAGTTTGGTCAGGGAAATAGTGATCAAACATGTTTGTGGCAATCTGAAACTTTGGGAAATTGAATTTGCAACAAACAATTGGGATTTAAGTAAGAACACATGAGAAGAACATATGATAAAATTGAATATAGTTACTGGAGTATAGAACCAAGAATATGATATGGGCGTGTCTGAACATGGGGAGCTTATGTCCAATAAAAGCGGCAATTCTACACCGAAATTAAGGTGTTCAAACATCAGATTTTTGGGGTGATTTTCAAAAAAAAAAACTCAGTAGAAGTTTCCATCAACGTGGGATTAACATCACTAAAGAAAAAACGTAGACATTATGATTATACCAGCTAGTGCCCAAGTTTCGATAAAGATGAAACAACTTTAGGAAGAATATGGCCTACAGGAAAGTTTTTGAGATGCAGAAGCAACGAAGTGTAGAAGTTGTCAGATGCATCAACGAATGAGCTATATAATGGTTATTGGGGTGCCAATGAAGTGACATGAAAGAATCCATGCACAGCTGACTGAAAGAATCAATGAACCAATGAGTCAGTGAACCAATGAATCAACAAAATCAATGAACCAGTGAATGATTGAATCAGTGAATCAATCATTGAATCAATGAATCAATGAACCAGTGACTGAACGAATGAATGAACTGAAGGATGGGTGGATGGATGGAGGGATGAGAGCTGCTTTTCTTTGTTGAACTACTTCTTCACTGAGCAAGCCCTTTGCTGAGGCGCCTCTTCTCTCAGCTACTTCTTCTCTGAGGAGCCACTTATCTGGGCTACTTCTGCTCTGAGCTGCCTCCCAGCTAGCTCTTCTGTAGCTTCTGCAACCCAATTCTTTTCTTTGCGCAGCTGTTACAATGCGTTTAGCAACCTCCAGCTGCAAACCCGCTTGCCAGGAGCGTCGCGGCAAAGGGGATTTGACCGCACAAATCCCGGGCTGCTCCGAACGCCTTAGCCTCTAGTTATTTAACACAGCCATGGAAAATGGCCCATTTATAGATGATTAAATACCCAGATGCTAGGTTTTTTGGGTGCTTTTTTGTGAAATCGAGCTTTCGCTACAGTCTGCTTCTTTGAAAAATTGGCCCGAAGGCGCAGTTTTTCAACATTTTGAAGTGGAAAGCGAGGTCTCGCAACAGTCCTGTGCACTTTTTGTCGGCAACTTTCCCAGATCGAGCCGCGGAACCGCGGAAACAGAGACCTTATTTCGGCGACTGCAGGAGCCACACAACCCAAACAAACACAGGGTTTCGCGCCCGAGAGGTGAATTCACACACTTCCAGACTGTTGAACTTCCCAACTAGTTGATAATGGGTGGTTGACTTGATGATGTGGTTGACATGATGGTGGAAATGCTAACCATGACAATCGTCCATAACCCGGAAGTTTTAAATTACAGCCAACAAGAGGATTTAAGTCACCTGAATAGTGTGGGTTGGCGGTATGATGGGGGCTTCTCCCTTAGCATTGACATCAGCTCAGGGGGTGCTTCTATAGCTGGACATACCTTTGGTGTTGCTGCCCCTACTATTGGCACACGGATCTCTATCAGAAGCTTGGCAGATGAATTTGATCCAAATTTCTGAACCCACCAATCAGTTTTTGTCGAACATCCAAAAGTGCGTGTGTAGAAAATCATTGAAAAAAATCCAACATGTTGGTGACTTTGTGGATCGATGTTTTTTCGTGGACCTCCACCCTTGCGCCAAAACTCGCAGATGTGATCACTTGAGGAAGTTGATCTATATGTCCTACTGGGGCCAGAACCGTGGTGTTCCTCAGCCAGTGGCGAACCAGGAGTTCATGCCAGTGTCTGGGATCAAGCCCAAGGCTAAACTGAAGAAATACTATGTGGACTACGCAGTGAATTTGCAAGTGACTTTCCTTCGATGATTGGGGGATGGGATTTCACTTGCAATTGGAGGGCTGGAACATTGGATTGGAGCTGCAAAATTGGTGGGATCGGGTAACTCCGGCAAACATCGGGGAACAGATTCTTCACTAAAATGCAAAAAAAATTGACAACAAACATTGATGGTACCATCAAAAATTAATTTGGCCAACTCCTTTGTTGTTTGTGTAAAACTGTGAAACAAGATAGCTTGGTGGAAAACAAAGCTTGTTTAGGTATTGGATTCCAGGGCAGGTATAGGTTTCAAGTTTTGTGCCCATGTGTACTTGTCTCAAACACCTGGCATACATGGGCCAATGATAATCACAATTATTGGCATCATCAGGATTACAATGATTTGCATATAGTGGAATGTCAGTAATTACTACTACTATTCGTGGATTTGACTCTGAGTCCAATTCAATCAGAAAATATGCATTGTTTTTTCCAACTACGACATCATTTAAAGCCACTGGAGCAAACCCATGGTTTCATACTTCCCCCAGGGTTGTTTCGCCTGATAGGTGCCAGCTGGGCCAGAGGATCAATTTTTGGACAAGTATCTGAAGCTGGGCCAGGTGAGAATTATGGGTTAGTATGAAATACCCTTAGTATTTTGGGTGAGTAGTGAGTAATGTTTAGATATGGTTAGTATAGGGACCTTTACAAAACTATATGATTTATTTATATTTTTTCGAGATTATGATGACCCACAGATAGGGAAATCTACCTGCAACATCCAGGTATGCAAAAAAAAGTAGTTTCGTAAAACTACAAGAATTATTGCCGTTTCTTCGGAAAAATGACGTTTTGCAAAAAAATGTCGTTTGAACTCTGTGATTTTGAATGGATTTTGCGCCCGGGGCACTTAAACTTCTTTGTGAAAATACCATGAAATTTGATTTGCCCATCATGTTGCTGGAATGTTCAACCAACTTAGTCAATTGGAGGAGAACAGAATTTGTGCACGTTGACATGTGCATTCTGCTCAAATTGATAGAGGTTTACAGTTGAAAGCGAATAAGACCAACAACTGGGTTTGATGAGTTTGTCTCTGCAACATGTCATTCACTCTTTATGTCTCCCTGAGACATGTGTCGAATGATGACCGATTTGGTCATGCCAACACGCTCAGGATCAATGTTTTTGAAGCTAAATTTGCCAAAATAATCTGCGTAGTTTGAGCGCAGTTTTGCATAGTTTCAGCGCAGTGTGGTGCCAAGTCGGTTTTTATGATTGATCATGAGACTGGTAAGGGTGATTTAGGTGCCTGATTTGTTCAAAATGGCAACAAACATGAAGAGTATCTCTATTAAGAAACTCACTGTCCCTAGTAGCTAGAGAATTAACACAGTCATTTCAGAAGTGAATAGGATCAAACGCCAACAGATGACATCAGATAACTGTTGCTAGTCACATTTACTTTTAGCAACGTGAGTCTGTGAGCAATGTTTGTGGGCAATGAATGCATGTAGGCTGAGCTAAATGTGGTTGACTGGTGCACTTCCTTTGGTACTTGCAGGTCTCCAAAATTCCATCAAAATCCAATTCTGAGCAGAAGACAATAATTATCGCCATTTGCATGAAAAAGTATGTTTTTGGCGAAACAGCAACAATTTTGCAGCATTTGGATGTCATATGGTATCAACTATGTCATGCGGAATTAACATGAAACACCAGAGGTCGGTGACCAAGAATCTGTAGGGTGAAGATTAAACGCCAAGCACGAAATAAATTTACGTTGGGTGTTACCCTCTGGTTATTTAACGTAGCTATGGGCAATCACCATTTTTTATAGGTAAATCATGATAAATCATCTATAAATTGGCAAATGTTCCATAGCTACGTTAAATAACCAAAGGGTAGTTTAATTTCATGAGATTCGTTTTCAGGTTTTCGTTAGGCAAATGATAATTGTAAACAGTTTCGCTGGACGATATGTTTGGGTCTTCAAATTGCCGATGTCTGATTTGTGCCAGCAATTTGCCCCAGATTCATCATCTTAAAGATTTTTTCAAGGGAAAACTAGGAACCCTGTCAAAAAAAATCACGCGGAAAAACCCTGGAACAAAAACATGTTCCTCGATGTTCCTCCGCGCCATGAAGACTGACATTGGTTCACCACTCAGGAATCCTTCGGCTCGTGAAAACTTCATCGAACACCGCCTGCCCATGTTGCCCATGACGGATCGTTTTGACACAGCAACCTTTAAACCTCATGAGGATCCAGTGGACTTTGTGATGAACCTTGGATTCGGCGTTGTTGTTTTCCCCAATTGGATCATTGGATCTCCAACTCATTATAGGATTCAACATGGCAATGGTCTAGTGACTTGGATCATTCGGGGTGACCCCCGAAAAAGGGAAACTTCCAATTGTTGGGGCACAATTTTTGGAGGCAGTTTTTTGGGGAGATTAGTGTGCTGCTACTTTGTCTCTTAGGTCATTTAGACGTATTCACATTCCATCAAATTCCCAATTTCTAATTTTGCCTGAAGACTCCAGTGTTGAGATTGGTATTGCGATTATGGTTGGTTTACATGAATTCCCATGTGTTGCTGGCTTCTCCATTGCTTTCAATGCGTTCTCTTTGTCGTGGCGGGCCGTTGCTGCGGTTTTCTTGCACGTCGCGCAGCAAGGACGCAAATGTCTCATATCTACCCCAGTATCTACCAGCAGTGGGAGGACAAGCAAAGCGATCGAGCATTGACCCGATGCTTGTCGCTGATTCTGTGCATTTTTTGGGTGAAATAATCCGCCCTGCATTTTTTTCAATGGGTGTAGATGATGTAGATGTCTGTAGCCTTTGCTATTTTTGGGTTGGCTTTTCATTTAAAGATGATTGCAGATAATTCAGCTGAAAACTGGGAATCCCCCCAGTTGATGCCATTTAATCAAGGCTAATGTTTCCTGCGTACTAATGAATAACATTTGCATGTGTATCCCCCAAGTTTTTTGCACCCCCCCCCTTTCGTTGGTGATATACCGTATACTCGACTATATCACACCCCATGTTTTGTTGCTTAAATCACAATTAGAGGGTACATTCTGTGTCCACTGGTCATTGTTTAAATCCATTTTTCCGTTGCTGAAAGGCTACCTTGATTCGTTGAAATCCACCATTTTTTGAGAAAACAAATGTAATTCAATCATAATCACCTTCATCATTTCAAAAAACAATACATGTCGGGGTGGTAACCCCCCAAAGGAAAGTTTCTATCCTTTTTTTGTGGCTACAAGAAAAGAAAGCCCAAGAAATCCTTATATATTTCGTTGATAAGTTCCGAACAGGACCTTTTTTGGGGGGATGCCATGGTTCAACGTTGCCGTCACGTGGCGGCTAGCCAGGATTCGCCTTGTACGGTATCGGGGCTCACAGAGTGGAGGCGGTGATCAAAGATGGCAAGAAGATGTTCGTGGTCAGGACCTGACCAAAAAAAATCGAAAAAAGTCGGGGTTTCTTGAAAAAAACCCATGGAAACCCAGGGATTTTCCCATATCAAAATGTGGGGGTTTCCCGGGGGAAACCGGAGATGTTGGGGGGAAACCAGAGAAATTTCCCAAATACGACGGGGTCCTGGAAATGTTCCCTTAAAGCTGTTCGTTGATTTGGAGTATCGGACTATCTGGTGAAGGTGAGCTGGAGCCTTCGGGAGCCCTGCAGAGATAGCTGCAGGATCCTTCAACTTACGGTTCATACGGGCTATATTGGCTTAGTACTGGTTATTACCCTCTGGTTATGACAAACAGTTCGCCATGGTATAGATGGCCCATAGAAATAAATGGTTTACCGAACTAAAAAATGGGTGGATCTTTCCATGGCTATGTTAAATAACCAGATGGTAATCGTGGATAGTGGCTAATAATCCCCTCCTGCGTTCATATTCAACACCCCCAGAGAGCATAGTGGTTTGGATGTAGGGGATGAAACATGATGAAACCACATATGAACGGGACCTTCTTGAATGGCGGTGTAATATGAATGGGAGAAGGGACTCGGGGACTACTATAGTTACACAAGTAGGCCTGAGTTATCCAAGTAGGAGATGTTCATGATGTTGACATGGTTGCCATCCCGAATGAGTGCCCACAGGGCGAGCTATTGGAGGGGCTACCGGTCACTTACGTCCAGGGGTGTTGACATGATCGGTTAACTCATTTGCAGCCGTAACCACTGCAGTTCAATTTTCTTCGGGTTTCCGGGTTTCCTTCACTTTCATGAATCATCAGTAGTTAAACCCCAGTTGAGTTAATCAGTTGGCTCATTTTTGGTCACAGAAATGGATATTTTGAGACCACCCGACAATCAAACATGGCTGGAAAATCTTCATGTATGCATGGTGTTATCATTTTTCTATGGGGATTTAAATGTGGGCAGCCACATTGGATGGATGTGGATGGTATCATCCCATGATCATCCCACTCAATCCGATACCCTCTGGTAAACTAACATGTTGCTATAGAAAATCACCAAATTGATTAGGTAAATCAACTATTTCTATGGGATATTTTCAATAGCAATGTTAAATTACCAGAGGGTAATCATCCCATTAAATTTCATATTCGCATCAATCGTAACCATATACTGTGTATGATCCAAATTCTGCTTGGTGGTGACTGGAACCATGGAATTTTATGACTTTCCATTCAGTTGGGAATGCCATCATCCTAACTGACGAACTCATATTTTTCAGAGGGGTATGTCAACCACCAACCAGAGTTTATTAGATGTTATTCTACAGTAGGTGTCATGAACATAATACAACTGAGAAGAATCATTGCCACATTGTCATTCACCCCTATAGTAAATCACATCCCCACAAAATTTTGTCGATGTTCCTGGGTGTTTAACGGGAGTGTTTCCATCATCGTGAATTCTCCAGGACCAATATGTTGGCTGGTCTTCCGGTGCGGCCTACCTTTGAACGATATGGAGGTGATGCCTATTTCGATGAGAATTGGCATCCGGCGACATGGTGAAATTCATGAAAATGTGGGTAAAGCAATGAACCACCCATTTTGGAATGGTTTATGCCACCTATAAAAATTGTGATTTGGGGATGGCTTATTATTGTTTTACCCACATGATTAATAATAGGAGTTCTTTATGATGTCAATAACGATTGATGATGGTGATTAGTTCCAATCATAATAAGTGTTAAACAAAAAAACATAATGTATGAATTGATTAGTGTTGATACAACTCTATAATAATGACCAAGACATTTTCAGGATGAATGATCCCCCCAACTGGGGATATCCCCTTTGGTAATCTAACATCATGGCTTTGTGAAAAAGGTGATGTCTTATAGATTTCCACTGGGAAACAAGAACCCAAAATTGAGAAATCACGTATTTCAGCTTATTTTTAAGAACATCCAAAAAAATGCAAACGATAACTTTCTGAAATATTATGAACATCTATTCTCATGAGTTTGCCCACCCTCCCAGTGGGAAAGAATGTAACTCTTTGAGGAGACCATAGGGGATATGTATCATAGATGTCCTTTTCCCATTCGTTGGTTGATTGATAGAGGGGTTTGTTGAAACCCCTTTAACAAGTAAATGATGGTATACCAAACCGACCCCTCTTTTCTCACCGAAAGGACATTATTGATGTGTATGTTGATTTTTTTGGGGGGAGGTGGGGCCTTGAAGCAAATCTAAGGTAATGATCATTGATGAGGGTCTCAGTACGCTGGAAGAGGATTCCAAAAAGGACAGTCAGACAGCACCTGGCTGGGATGGATATGGCAATCGATTACCCTCTGGTAAACTAACAGTTTGCCATGGAAAATGTCCATTGGTAGTTGATTTACCTGTTAAATTTGTGATTTTCCATAGTTATGTTAGTTTACTGGAGGGTACACCATGTTACACCCCAATGCGTTTACAGAACTCTTATGAACTCTTGCAGGTTCAAATGAACCAATGGCTTGATTTCAGTGGAAATTAGCAGCAACCCCTGGTGTTTCACCATGTAAAATGGCAGAATCAATTCCAACATGGCCAAAAACCGGCTGGTGAAGGGCAAGGTCAGAAGCGTTTCTTTCAGGGCTGGTTGGGCTTTGTTCCCGCTTTGGCTTCGGCAGAAGAGGTTGAGCCAAAGTTCAGCGCACAATTGGCCAAAAAAAATGGTAAAACCAGTTGTTCCTGGGTAACGGCATATTTGCCGCAATAATTTTCGCTTACGCCCCGAGACTTCAACATTGAATTTAACACCTCAGTGCGCAATGACAAAAACCATGCACATTCACATCCTAATGAACGGGATGGCTAAAAGAATGATCTAAAATCATATCCAGAGAAAAGACCAATTTTACACAATTTACATGGGATAGGTCAAAAATCCAAGCACGCAACAACATGATAATATTGATGAAAGAGAATAAGTATGAATCCCATATCCGGTCCATATTAAACATCCCCATTGTATGGTCCCCTTCATTTGTGGTTTCATCCCCTGCATCCAACCACACCATTTTCGGGTGTTCAATATGAACGGGGGAAGGGATTATTGACAATTCTTAGGCATTAATAGATACCAGTAGCACCGCACAAGGCGATGGCGGAAGTTTCAAAAATAGGAAACCTATAGGAAGGGTTGGTTGCTGTGACTCACGGATGTCAGAGCGAATCCACTGATGGACCGAAAGGTGGTTGAAGTTGTGTTTTTTGGAGTGGTTGCAATGGTTGCAGTGGTCACCTCACCCACAACTGCTGGATGTAGTGCGGTGTAGTGCAGTTGTTGTAGCTGTAGGTGTTGTTGTAGTTGTAGTGTAGTGGAGTTGTAGGTGTAAGTTGTAGTTGTAATGTAGTGTAATTAGTGTAGTGCAGTTGCAGTTGTAGCTGTGGTGTGGTGTAATTAATGCAGTGTATTGTAGTGTACTGCAGCGTTGTGTACTGTAGCGTGATCTAGTGTAGTGTAGTCTAGTGTATGGTAGAGTAAAGTAGTGCAGTTGTAGTTGTAGTGTAGTGTCTTGTAGTGCAATGTAGTGGTAGTTGAGTAGTAGTAGTAGTAGTAGTAGTAGTAGTAGTAGTAGTAGTAGTAGTAGTAGTAGTAGTAGTAGTGGTACAAGTACTAGTAGTAGTAGTAGTAGTAGTAGTAGTAGTTATAGTAGTAGTAGTTTTCTGTTGTAGTAGTTGTAGTGTAATTTGTGTAGTGTAGCGTAGTTAGATGTAATTAGTGTAGCGTAGTGTAATTAGTGTTGTGTAATGATGTAGCGTAGTATATTTGTACTTGTAGTAGTAGTAGTGTAGTGTAGTGGTACTTGAAGTTGTAGTTGCAGTTGTAGCTGTCTCTCTATCTATCTGTCTATCTTCAAGCTTGAAAACGAAGCTATTCTGCGAGACTTCCTCAGTTTTTGAATTTGACAACATCAAAAACTCAGCCATTCTGCGAGACTTCCTTAATTTTTAACCTTGACAACGTCAAAAACGAAACAATTCTGCACGACTTCCTCATTTTTTCGAAGTTGACGACATCAAAAACGAAGCAATTGCGCGAGACTTCCTTCAAAAATGGAAAGTTGAGTGCAGAGCTGACGGCCTCGTACCAATGCGTGTTGCGATTTTTCGACTCCACCTGTCTAAACTACTGCGCCTGCCACGAAAAAGTGAGGCCAGGTCATACTAAGTGCTGCACCTGTCACGCAAAATCATCTTAGCAAACCTGAAGATCTGATGCTCCAAAATGCAACCTCTCTCAGGAAATCAGCGCCCTGACCTCCTAACATCTCTGATGAACATGTCTCTTGTACTGCGCCTGCCACGGAAAATGCATCTTTGCAGATCCTCTTCAAGTGTCCCACGCCTGCCATCGTCTTTGGAAATGCTACAAAACCATCACGTTTTGCTCACTTTTGACACGGTGCACAATCCCCTGTGCCTGCCAGGCGAAATGACATCTGAACGTCCAAAAGTGGTCCGAGCATGTGGTGTGTTTTACATTTTGATTTGGGCATGTGCTTCTCGCCACAAGGGCGTGCACTTTTTCGACATCTCAACTTCCAAAAGTGCTCCGAGCATGGTGTGCCTTGTACATTTTGACTTCGCAATGTGCTTCGCGCCACAACGGCGTGCACTCTTCGACATCTCAACTTCCAAAAGTGGTCCGCGTTGGTGTGCTTTGTGCATTTTGACTTGGAAATGTCCTTCGCGCCACTCATCTGACCACATGGCTCTTCGACCCTCCGGAGCCACAAATCATTGGAAAAACACAGCGTATCGCGACTTTCCTACCTTTTCGCGCACCTGGATCTTCTTTCTTCTCACTCTTTCTCTTTTTGATCTTCTTTCTTCTTCTCTTCTCTTCTCTGACTCTTCCCATCTCTGCTTTTCATCTGTCCATATTGTCGGAAGTTTGACTTCTAAACTTCCTTCGATTAATAGCAGTTGCTAATGATAATTCTCAATCTATTGTGTAGTATTAACCCTTACTAAGTGTAACTTGTAACTCTGTGTGTTATTGCCCAATGAGATGGACGGAGCCAACCAAACGCCATTTGGAGACAGGATCCTGTAATTACACGTCCCGGAGATGAAGGTTGGAACCGAGCAAAGTTTCGATTTCGATCTTCGCTCTTCACACTGGTGACACTGGTGGACCATTTGTATCTTGACACATCTTGACACCGCCACGCTTTGAATTTTTTTCGTTCGGTTCACCAACGACAATAGTTTTTTGTAGCGATATCATTGGGATACCTTTTGTTCCCCAAATCTTTGTGTGGGTTTTTTGTTTTTGATTCTGTATCCCATCTTTGTCACACACCATCTTTCACACACCACTTTGTCACCCACCATCTTTCACACACAACTTTGTCACACACCATCTTTCACACACCATCTTTGTCACCCACCATCTTTGACACACCATCTTTCACACACCACTTTGTCACCCACCATCTTTCACACACAACTTTGTCACACACCACTTTGTCACCCACCATCTTTCACACACAATTTTGTCACACACCATCTTTCGCACACCATCCGCCCGCCATTTTTGTCACACACCATCTTTCACACACCACTTTGTCACCCACCATCTTTCACACGCAACTTTGTCACACACCATCTTTCACACACCATCTTTGTCACCCACCATCTTTGACACACCATCTTTCACACACCACTTTGTCACCCACCATCTTTCACACACAACTTTGTCACACACCACTTTGTCACCCACCATCTTTCACACACACAATTTTGTCACACACCATCTTTCGCACACCATCCGCCCGCCATTTTTGTCACACACCATCTTTCACACACCACTTTGTCACCCACCATCTTTCACACACAACTTTGTCACACACCATCTTTCACACACCCTCTTTCACACACCATCTTTGTCACCCGCCAACTTTCACACGCCATCTTTCACACACCCTCTTTCACACATCTTCTTTGTCACACACCATCTTTCACACGCCATATTTCACACCCAACTTTGTCACACACCATCTTTGACACACGACTTTGTCACACACCATCTTTGAAACACCCCCCACCATCTTTGACAAACCACTTTGTCACACACCATCTTTCACACACCACTTTGTCACACACCATCTTTCAAACACCACTTTGTCACCCACCTTCTTTGACACACCATCTTTCACACACCACTTTGTCACCCACCATCTTTGACACACCATCTTTGACACACCACTTTGTCACACACCATCTTTCACACACCATCTTTGACACACCATCTTTCACACACAACTTTGTCACACACCATCTTTGACACACCACTTTGTCACACACCATCTTTGTCACCCACCTTCTTTGACACGCCATCTTTCACACACCACTTTGTCACCCACCATCTTTGACACCATCTTTCACACACAACTTTGTCACACACCATCTTTCACACGCCATATTTCACGCCCAATTTTGTCACACACCATCTTTGACACACGACTTTGTCACACACCATCTTTGAAAGACCCTCTTTCACACACCATCTTTGACACACCATCTTTCACACACAACTTTGTCACACACCATCTTTGACACACCACTTTGTCACACACCATCTTTCACACACCACTTTGTCACCCACCTTCTTTGACACACCATCTTTCACACACCACTTTGTCACCCACCATCTTTGACACACCATCTTTGACACACCACTTTGTCACACACCATCTTTCACATGCAACTTTGTCACACACACAACTTTGTTTTACTTCTCGGTCTCGCACCACCTCCTTTGTCTTTTCTTCCTTCCCCGTCCCCGGTACGACATTTGGCGCTCATTATTAGAAGAAGTTGCCTTGTGGGGTCATCCGGTCCTTTAATTTTTTGAGCTGGCGTAAGCAGTGGTATCATTGGGTATCATACTGGTATTATTTAGGGCTGAGATAAAATGCATTAAAAAGATTCAGATGTGTTGATTCAAGTGTTGATTCCTCCTGATCTGAAAATCTCATATCCATTCTGCAATCTAATGTGCGTACAGCCAGCATGCATACCAACTAAGGCCATTTACCAAGCACTTCGTCTCTTTGAGGCTTCCATGACGGAAATTCCAATATAAATTGCCAACTGAAAACGCCAATCGGAACCAAAAGGGAGCCATCTGAATCAAACAACCACAGAAAATTTCAACTTCCACACCCGATACACATTCCGGCTCATGTCAACTTCAACCATCCAATCTCTGCACCTATAGGGGGTGGAGTCATATTGTGCATGATTTTTTGCCGTAAGACGGTTAGTATCTCCTAATGAGTACCATCCGGTCCAACAATTCGTTCCGGAAAATCATCCATGTTTGATGACGCCAAAGGGTATTAACCAATAGTCCATAGATTTCCACCCAAGCTTCAGCACCTTAAGTTGTGGAAGCAACCAATGGAAAGAGGGGAAAGGGTTGACTTCATTGAGGCATCTGACGTGAGTCTACTGGGTATAGGCGGCTTCCTTATATTTGACTGTCACCCAAGTTGAATGAATCTTCAGATCCTGCCAGAAAAAGACGTTCCTGAACTGCGGCTCCGGTGAAAGTTCATAAGATTTCACCAGGATTTCATAAATTCATCCACATGGGGCTTAACTTTCTACGCCAAAAGGCGTGCAAAGTTCATTTTTTGTCGTTAGGGATACCCTTAAGCTTCCATGATGAAAGAGACATTTCTTGCAAAAGGATTTCTTGGTTTATTAGCATTGCAGGAAATATTTTCAGAATGCGAGAGAAATAGGGAAGAGAATTGAAGAGATTTCAAAAATAAAAACAAAAATACCCCCTGGTTGGCATGGGTTGCTTGCAACGTGGTGGTTTCAACCATACGGTCGTTTCTGTATCCTGCTTCGCATGAAATTTCTGCTTTGTAGCACCCAACGCCACCTGGCAGGTGAATCGCTAGGGCTTCATTTGATAAGCAAAAAATATGATAATCTACGGTGGATGGTTGAAACATGTTGAAACCTTGTACGTATTGGGATAAACCATCTATTAACTGGTGCCGGAGTTTTTTCGATCCGCAGTATGATAAACCCCTTTTGATCCCTATTCTGTGGTTGGTTTTTGATATCCGTCATGTTCTAGAAATTACATTCCTTGGGCGCTCGCCGGTGAACCTCGCCGATCAACAAACTTGCATTGCGTGGAAAAACCTAGCAAAATCGGCACATCTTGACGCAATCTTGGACAACTGTGACGATGAGGGGTTTCCCATTGCCATGTTTGATTCCCAGAGGGCATTTGTTGATTATCTTCTCGGTTTCAGGGTATGCTGATGCTCAGAAAATTCGCGCGGCCAACATTGGCTGTCATTGGGCCCCCTCAAGGCAGCGGCCTTTTGCCGTGATGACATGACCGTCAGCTAGTAGCTTGATTTTAGGATTTGAAGCCACGAAGTAAAGAAGTAAAAACGGCAAATTTTAGGATTGATGTTTTGACGTTCGTGACCTGTTGGGTCTGGGTCTATAACTTGTGGACTTGTGGTCCAGTCGGGGATCAGTGTGTTCTTGGTGCGGGGGTAGCAGATCTTTACACACACAGACACACACACATATATATATATATTTATATTTATATTTATTTATTTGTATATTTATGTATATATATATATATAAATAGAACCTGGTTTGTACCCGCGTTCATGACATGCTTACCATTTTCGACCATTTCCCCGCGGATGGGAACCCCTTTCCTCCCCATCAGGTATGGTGTGCACTTGCAGACCGCCAACTTATTCGTCACTGCGTTGCGGGAACAGCTGTCTGCGGATCATCCCATCCGTCGATTTCTGACGCCCTTCACGTCTCCTTCATCATTTGCTCCAGATGGGTTTGTCTGAAAATAATATGGGTATCCAGGTATCCATTGGTTAATAATTCCCTATATTATTTGATGGCCAAAACTGGTGGCATATTGGCATACCCAATTTTCAGACATACCCAGATGATTTTTGTTTGTTTTCGTTCTTTTCTGACTGGTTGACCCACCTGAAATGGGCATCGGACTGGGAATTTCGTGTTTTTTTTTTAATGGTTATTGGATGTTTAATGGTTTTCGATTTTTCCGCCAAGGTACCAAACCATTTCCGTCAACGACAACGCCAAGTTCAATCTCACTGCTCCCAGGTCGATGGGTCCCAGGCCCGTCGCTGTTGTGAAAACCATCGAATTCGTGTTTTTTTCGCGGCTATCAAAACGGTTAACATGACCACCATTTAAACAAATTTCGCAAACGTATCATAACTGCTGATCGAACATGGTTTTCTCGAAAATTCTGGACACGCACCTTTTAGTTAGATGATTTTGTCAGTTATACCGTTATACCGTTTTTATAGGGCACATTTCTACCATGTTTGATTACGGGAGGGTAGTGATCATGACATCTCATCGTTTCTCTTGATTCATTGGCCATTGTTCCCACATGGACGTCGTAGTTGCTTGTATTCGTTTACTCCTATTTTGTGTGTTTGATGTGTGAATATGTAAAATTGCCATTCATAGAAGTTACTTTCTCTGGACGAACTCTCTCTACAACCCTGCCATAAACCTACCATTTGGGGATGGTAAACATACCACCCAGCAAAATGGTGATTTTGGGCATTGTTTATGACATTGGGTTGGTCCCCGTACTTCTCCACATGTTCATCCGTTAAACCCTATTTGACTCACCATTTTGAGTGGCATTTTTTACCACCTCAGATATGGTGTTTTTGCCCCCATTATTAAACCCACCCTAGCCCGCACAGATGCTTCGCCTTTACTGAGAAGGGTATGTCACTGGCCTTCAGTGCAGCACCCTACTTGATGAAGTGTGGAGAAAACGTTCCGAGGGCCGAAGGACGGCAGTTGGGCCGTTCTTCGGGTGTTGTGAATAGATGGGTTTTAAACGGGGAACATTTTCACTGGAAACCAAGGTTTTCTCGCTGATTTTTCGCTAAAAAATATTGTCCTGTAGACCTGCAGATTTTCCTTCAAAGCAGTTGGTATCATGGATTTTTCAGATGAAACACCATCAAACAAGGTGGGTTGAGCCATCTAAAATGAAAATATCGGGGAGGTGTAATATTACGGGCAAACACCCGCTAGTTGGTGGCTTTAACATTTTATTTGTAGTAAAAAAAATGTTTGGGATAAGGGTACCAGCTGACATTTTTAAAAGGTGTTGAAACCACCAACCAGTGGTTGAACAGTTACACGAAACCATGTTTTGCTATGTGGGGTGTCCCCTTGTATTTTTTTGTAGTTTTGCAATTTCATGGAGTATCACCCCACAAATAATCAAAATCTAAAGGTGACAAACCTTCTTGATACGCACGCCGCATATGTTGGACATTTGGTGATATCAACGTTTATCTCCTCAGTTTTGTACTATTTTTCGTGTTGCGGTTTTACACAAGTCGCAGTTGCCACAGACGTTGGTTGGTTACATTGCACGGAGTGACCAGGAAGATGTCACATGTGCAACTGTGCAACACCAAAAATGTATAAATGTGTTCATGAAAATGAGGTGTACCATTTACTCTCCGGTAAATTAACATAGGCACCGAAAATCGCCCACTTTTAGTTGAATCTAATCTTCCAACCTCTGCCAGGGTCTATGTTAATGTACTGAAGGTAGAAAATCATGGTCCCCGAAGCGTGGACAATGGAGATTGACTGTGGGAATGGGGATCCGTAAGGTTTGTGGCTTCCCTATTTTTAGTTGTAAGTAGATCAACCCTACAAAAATCCCATGTCTAACCAGGGATTTCACCTACTTAGTGGGATGAACCACCAAGTATAGATGTTCTTGGAAAGCATGTATATACAGGCTACAATTCTGAATCGGACCCACTTTGCACATGTGGATCGTGTTGATGTTTCTGAAAGCACGTTTTTCGTCGCTAGGAGGGCCACTTCTGAACATGGCGGACTATGTGAATCATCTGAAGGGAACAGGTGTGGATACCGAGTATTGGAGGCAGGTAGGAGATCTCTTAGAAATCTACGAGACCTTCATTGAGGACTACCTGGCCTGCTACTATGCCAGGACTTGGGTCAAAGTGGGTGTGAAGATTGGGGAGCCATCGAAACAGAATCATTCGAAATCATCACTCTTATAGTATATGTGATTTGGATTATTTTTGCTCTCCACCTCTGGTGAAATACACTCCCAAATTCAACTAACTGGCGTGTTGATCTAGGGATCCATGTTTAGCCAAGCCCCAAACCCAGCAAACATCATGAGTCATCTTGAAGGAAGGACGATGTCGCAAGAGACAAAGAGTTAGCGGCGATGGCGGCTCAATATTTTGAGACCCTGAATTCCGCCTCTCCCGACAGTGTGAAACGGGCTGTGCCGAAGATTTCCACCGTTACTTGGAGAATGGACGTATTTCAAGGTGATTTCATGGTGATTTCAATGGTGATTTAATGGTGATTTCAATGGGATGTTGAGAACTGGTGATTCACAGGGGATTTTTATCGTGGGATTTTACCCAGAAGAATGATGATTTGATGGTGATATCCTCCTACAACCAACCATAGGATTCACCCACTGGATTAATAAACCTAGCATACCTGGGGGGATGAAGAGACCACCGTTGATACCACCCATGGGCAGGGCATTTTGGGGATGGTTTATTGGATGGTAGGCATAATTGGGTTTACCACATCAGGGGCACAGGATGAAGAAGAAACGCATGTTCATAGGCTGGGGAAGCCCATCGGTGTGAAATTCATGGAACTGGGACGTCTCTGTCAAGGTTTAACGTCATACTTCATGTGAAGATTACAGATAATGAAAAAAACAAACTGCTGGCAACTTGTCCCCTTGAAATTTAGGAAATTGAAACTAAAACCTCTACAAACTGGGAGGGCCGGTATGGTCTAGTGGATAAGACGCATCCCTCATGCGTCAGACCCGGGCTCAATACCCAGGTGCAACACTAGGCAGACAGGCGGGCCACTACCCCACCCCTGCAGTTAAGGGGATGAGCTAGGGTGTGGTCCGTAAAACACTCACTCACCTACAAACTGGGCCATTTGCAGGTGATTCCCATATTGGAAACATCCAATTTTATTGGGATTCCCAGGAGGTAGAGGATGTTGATCAGCAATCCACGGTTTCTTCGATAGAAACCGTGGTGAAATGATGCGAAATGTATGAAACCTGGGTAACCCACTCATGTTGGGCATGTAGATCATGTTGATCGTCCTCATTGGATGCTATTGGATGCAGCAAGGACGCCACTCCCATGCTGATGCTGATTTCGAGGTCTCTGACACGACAAGCTCGCATGACACATACTACTTCTATGTGAAATGGCTAGCGAGTTTGATGTGGGCCGTGACTGCAGGCGGCAAGAACCAAGTGGCGACGCATGTGCTGTTGGTTGCTCTACTAACTATGGCTGAGTGCCCCACAGTTTGTTTTGTTTAGGCTTGACATTAACGGCTTGACATGTGATTTTACGAGCCTGGATGCCTTGAAATTGGAGGTTAAAACATGGTAGAAGCCGAGGAAGCTGACAAGTGGAGTTTTTTGATATTCCATTTGCATCCATTTGCCTAAAGATGACTGATATTGTACACGTGTTTGATATGTGTTTGATATTTTTTTGAATTCCTATGTTTTAGCGTGTTTTTTTGCCTTTTTCATATGCATAGTGACAGATATACGTATAATTGCATACATTCGTGTGTCCGCGTCCTTGTTTTGATTTCCAATGCTGCCTTTCATGGAGAATTCGTTCAAAGGATCATTTCCAGCAACATCAGACGACCTCACAAATTCAAGCAAAGGGATTCGCCAGCCAGCTTTGTTTGATTACTACCCATTCCCAGTCATACTACCCATGATCCATTCTTACACAGCCAAGCCACGAGGTTTTGATGCTTTGTTTGAAAGTAGAGCACCCCATTTATCATCATTTGTCCCATGAAAAATGGCTATGGCTAGCTAGCCCTGAACATGTTCAGCCAGACTCGCCCAGAAAAACTCGCAGGTCACGAGCAGCTTGGGGCAGTTGAGGTGTACGCGCAGGATGGGACGACTTCGGGGCTGTCAAAAGATCTGGCTGGTGGTTCTACCCTCTGGCTATTTAACATAACCATGGAAAATTGCCCATTAATAGATGATTTTCCCAGCTAGAAAGCTCCATTAATGGTTGGGATTTTCCAGTTAGCTATGTTAAATAACCAGATGGTAAGGTTTTTACGTACCCCAAAAATGTATTTTTTTCACCATAGAAAAAAACTTTCATTTGTAGATCATTTTCCCGGAAAGCCCATGGCTAAAAACCAGCGACTGCCGGGGTTTTCACGCCCGCTGTATGAGGGACCAACGACTTGGGACTGAAATTGGGTTCAAAAATAGGCGATGTTTTTTTTCAACACATTACAAGGACCTCCTGGCTTATTGTTTTTCATGCGTTTGCAACGTTAGTGTGTTTCTTCTCAATTTGAACTAGAGGGTTCCCCTGTATCATGGAGATCCCCAGACATCAGAAACCAGCAGATTTGGAAGCCAAAAACCCCAAGGGAAACTCCCATCATCCCATCACGGAAGGGATGGTTGTCCATGGTTGTCCCTATAGATTTCCCAGGAATGTGGATGGTGTGGATGTTTACCAACTAATGTTGCAGAAACATCGGTTCAACATGGTTCAAAAAGAGGTGTTCCATCATAGACCGCTCCCTTTTCTATGAAACCACCATACATACTAGTAAAAAAAGAATAAAGATAAGATAACCAATTCTCAAATCGTGTTTTTTGATCATGTCCTTTAAAAAAAAAAAGTATCTCTGCCCCAAGATTTCACGTGTTTTGTCGTGTCAGGATGTGTCCTGGACCGCCTTCAAGTGGCTTCCGGGAGATGTCATTGGAACAAAGACCACGGCCACCTCTCAGGCACTCCTGATGTCCTTCACCTCAACACCCATGCCCAAGTGTCTGGGCTGGTTGACCTCAGGTAATTTGTTACAGTTTGCTATTGAACATGGCCATAGAAATAGTGGATTTACCCATTGAAAATGGCGGATCTTTCTATAGTTATGTTAGTTTACCAGAGGGTAGCATCCGGATCGGCCAGAATGTCGATGATCGAAGATGGTTAAAATGCAAAAGTGGAGGAAAAAAAACCTCATGTGATGATGGCTTATGTGATAGAATGGGATCAAGATGAGATATACCCTTAAACAAACAAAGACTTTGCTATGGTATAGCCATTTAGTTCATTTTAGTTCGAGGATTGTGCTATTAAACATATGGTTATTTTCCATCGCATTTTTTTCTGGAGGGCCTGGAGGGTGCCGAAAATATTGCAGCTACCTACCATATACATCCAAATACATATTATATATGTGTTTAAGGCATGTGATTAGGGCAAACAAAGAGATGCCCATTGAATATATATATATATACATATATATATACATATCTTGTAGCCAGTAAAAATATCCAGCTAGCATTATTCAAGGGATAGGCCCGAAAACCAGTGAATCTTCCTCGCTTTACACTCCACACTCCACACACTACACTTTCCACTCCACACTCCATACTTTACACTTTACACTCCACACTCCACAATTTACACTTTTGACTCCTCACTCCACACTCTACACTCTACACTCCACACTTTACATCTTGCACTCCACACTTTACACTTTACACTCCTCACGCCACACTCCACACTCTATACTTTGCACTCCACACTCCACACTCTACACTTTACACTCCGCACTCCACAGTCTACACTTTACACTCCACATTCTACACTTTACACACTCCACACTCCACACTCCTCACTCGACACTTTACACACTCCACACTCCTCACTCGACACTTTACACTCCACACTCCTCACTTTACACTTTCCACTCCACATTCCACACCCTACACTCTACACTTTACACTCCACACTCAAAACTTTACACTTTTCACTCCTCACTCCACACTCCACACTTTACACTCCAGACTTTACACTTTGCACTTTACACTCCTCACTCCACACTTTACACTCCACATTCCACACTGTACACTCCACACTCCACACTCTACACTTTACACTCTACACTCTACACTTTAGACTCTACACTCTACACACCACACACCACACTTACACTTTACACTCCACGCTTTCCACTTTACACTCCCCACTCCACACTTTACCCTGCACAATTTACACTCCACACTTTACCCTCCACAATTTACACTCCACACCCTACACTTTACACTCAACACTCCACACTCTATACTCCAGACTCCACACTCCACACTTTACCCACTGCACACTCCGCACTCCACACTTTACACTCCACACTCCTCACTTTACACTCCACACTCCACACACTACACTCCACACTCCACACTCCACACCCCACCCCACTTTACACTCTACACTCTACACACACCACACTCCTCACTCCACACTTTACACTCCACACTCCACACTTTACACTCCACACTCCTTACTGTACACTCTGCACTCCACACTCTACACTCTACACTTTCCACTTTCCACTTCACACTCCACACTCTACATTTTACACTCTACACTCTACACTTTACACTCTACTCTACACTTTAGACTCTACACTCCACACTCCACACTTCCTACTGTACACTCCACACTCTACACTCTACACTTTACACTCCACACTTTACACTCTACACTCTACACTCCACACTTTACACTTTACACTGTACACTCCTCACTCCACACTTTACACTTTACACTGTGCACTCCACACTTTACACTTTTTACTCCACACTGCAGACTGGCAACAGGGGAAATATGCACAAGACTGTTCAAATAAACTATTGCAGAAAAGTGTTCTGCATGACCCAGCGTGACTGCATATCCGTGTGTTTCGACATCTGTACCATGAACATACGTGTGAGCATTCGCGTTCGTGGGCTGCATCTTGTTTGACCATTTGAAAGGTGTAAAAAGAAAACATACCCAACAGATTACGGCAGTGGTTTTGCCAACAAATATATCGCAATCTATCGTCTACATGTTTAAATGTTTATCTACATATTTAGGTAGCAGATCATGCTCATGCACTATATAAAAGCATGCTTCGCTTTCCATTTCTTCAGGTTGATCGGAGAAGGTGTTGATTGGACACATCTCTTTCCCAGTCCCACGGTGCCCGCGAAAGACCCCTCGGCCGCATTCAAGAAATTCCAGCAAAACTTGAGTGCCATGGCTGACCGCTGCGACAGTTATAATGCCATGGCCGATAGCCGGGCATTTCCAGACTGCTTTCCGTTGTACACGCAAAACCCACGGGTTTTGGAAGTATCTCTCAGTGTCTGAAAATGCGCCAAGTTCACAAGTAACACGCATAGATTAACTTGGTTCAAGAGCTATACTCTGTAGAGGGCCTAGAGGGTATATACGTATATACATATAGCTTCCGCATTTATTTGCAACATATATGGGCAATATGTGTCACATATGCCCCCACAATTGTTTTTCACATATGCGCAAATGTCCGTAAGATCTGATTTTGTGTAAATAAAATCTTACGGACATAGAAGACCTTATTTACGTAAAACAAGATCTTGAAGCTTAAATATAAGATATGTAATGCATAAATTTAATGTATATGTAATGCAACTGCAACTGCAAATGTGTTCACAAATGTCTACATGGATATATGTATATGATCATGTCCGCCTGTACTGTACAGAAACCTGGCCCACATAGCTCTTGAATCAAGATAACGCATAGAGGCGCTTTTTTGTGGCAGGTTGAGGTTTCACAAACGAATAGGTGCAGGGTGCTAGAAAATGGCCGACATGAGGCTCTTGGTGCCGGTGCCGGTTTCAGATGGCTGCTTGCTCGTTTGGAAACCAGCAATGATTGGAACTTTGATACCTCAAGTCCTCATGCATTCCAAATATCACCTTTTTTTGACCAGTGATCCACAGTTGGCAAAGGATTTTCCACGGGTCGAAGCACAAAGAATGGGGTCAAGAAAAACTTTTTGGGTGGATTCTCTGTGACTAAATGTGCGAAATAAAAACGGAGACGTTGGGGTCAATCTTGAATCATAGATACAGTAAGGCAACCAGCCAAAAGGCTATTGTTTTCAGTTTGCCTGTGCAGAATCAAACATGGCGGGAATTCTCTATGAAATCCCCTATGCATGGAACTTTTTTTAATGCGAAAATCCTTGAACTAAATCGGGGGTTCCAGCGCTGGCGAACTGCTTGAGACCCCAGAGGGTATTCCCAATTTTTGGACAAGATCAAGATATAGCAAACTAACAATTTTTTCAGGGTACCTTTCCATACTCAAGCAGTTTGCTCTGGAAATTCCTCAGTCAAATTCTTTTTTTTCCCAGCTTTCATCACCTTCATTTAGTCCGAGGATTTCTCAGCTGCCCGCCAGGCCTCATCACACCGAATGCCATTTCGTTTCCCGACAAAGATTCCATCAAGAATCATCCCTCAAAAATCCATGGCCTACCTTCATACCAATAGCTATACAGCTCAAAATACGAACAGTATCCCACTGATATCCTAAAAGAATCCAAAAAATCCAATAAATAGCTATAGATCCTCACAATGTTCCAGACCTTTCCAGATTTTCCCATGTTTTGAGCTCAAATTCAACTGGCAGGCGTTTGTCAAATGTCGCTTCCTCGTGGCACTGGGCCTGGGTTGTTTGAGAAGTTTGCTGGCCGAGGCTGGGCCAAGAAAATGGTAAGATCAATGGTAAGATCTATGGGAAAATCATGGGAAAATCATGGAATCACTGTTTTACTTGGATTTAAAGTTTCTATTTTTCAGTTTGTAAACCAAATAGAACAAATGAACTTTAAAGAGTGAAGGAAGGCTTGAAAAAAATATACAGTGATTCCATTTTTCACTTTAGATTTTAATTTTCTATTTTTCAGTTGGCTGCTATACTGCAAATCTATGCAAATCTTACTGTTGTCAGGTTTACAACTGCCATAACTAGGATTAATTTGTGACTCATAACCCGCCAATTAAAGCTGTAACAAAAATCTGGTTCCTCAAGAAGCCTCGCTCAATACTTTGGCACTTCTCCTGAAGGATATAGCTGAGATCGTTCCATAACCCATGCAACACAATCTTTTTGCATCCGTATTTATTGGGAATCAGTTGGCCAAACCGTCAAATGTGTAGGTCCCTTTTCATTTATCAATACCAAATGTCTTCAACCCCTGACTAGAACCAGTAGTTCATATAGTGATTACATGATTTTAATGTTACATTAACACATATTTTCACATATTTTTGACCTTTTTATCTGCCACACTTGGGCACCTCAGATTCTCCACAGGCAGATACGCCAGATGAATGTTTGGATGGCGACTGCGCGTTGCATACCTTGCAGATTTCGGCGAAGTATCAACCAGGCCGGGCCAAAGCGAGCCTGGAGATAAAGAGATGAATCTGGGTAAATTTGATCACGACCGAGCCCTGCGACCGAGCCCTGGAATCATGGTTAGGATTCAGGGAATCACCCCCAAATGGCCGCAAGATTCAGGTTAGTGAAATATTGTAATTTACCCAGATGAATGGTTAAGAAATTGTGGATGAGAATGGAATGTATGGGATTTACCTATGGTTAATCATGGGAAAATCATGGGTAGTGGGAAGACAAGGGTAGAACAAGGAATAATCCTGGATGAATACTGGATTATGGGGATTTACCCTCTGGTAAACTAACAATTTGCTATTGAAAATTGCCATTTATAGTTGGTTTACCAATTAAAACTTGTGATTTTCCATAGTTTTTGTATGTTTACCAGAAAGTATTGGATGTAACCAAACAATGGATGGATAACTATTGGATAACTAAATCCCCATTGGATATCCATTAATATATGGATAATTCTTAATTGTGTATATTTGGGGTTAATTTAGTGGTGTAATATTGGATAATCTAATGGATAGTATGGATGTATTTGTTGTCCTGCCCATGATATCTAGTGGATAATTTAATGGACCTCCAAGCCGATCAAACCAATCAACATCAGGACCAGCTTCTCAGATGGTGTTTTTCTCAGCCCACCTGACATTTGAAATTGGAGATGCACTGGTTGCCCTGACCAGGCAATGATTCCTGGAAAATACCAACAGAAGATCTGCTGCTTGACAGCATCCCACACCCCAGGTCGTCCCAAACTGAAAGTTTGACTGACATGAATGGAGGTTTCCAATCCATGGGGGTACTCCAAAATCATCCATGTTCATAGGATTTTCCATTATAAACCATGCATTTTGGGGATTTTGTGAGTTATGGAAACCTCCAAAGTTCAAAATGAATCAAGTACAAACTCTGGTTTGGTAGAGTCGAGCCCCTGTGTGGTTGTTGGGTCGGGTCCTAGGGCGCAGAATTTTCTTCACCACCAGATTGGATCTTTGCCAGAACCTGTCGCTGCGAAGACAAATTCAAAACCTAGATAATCTAGATATATAACAATGTGGTTTTCTAGCTTTGCACAGATGTTTTTCAACAATTTTCATCACTTTCCAACATTTCACCACTGCAAGGGAGAAAAGAAACACGTTCTGGACCAGGATTTTCTTCCAGCTCCACCTGGACCGAGGTTGTGGGCTAAATACCAAGTGTTTCTTTTGGAGTATGGCGACCTGTCGGATAATTGAGGGGATCCCATCCCGGGGTGTGGCTGGAAACTGGGAAACATCGAGGTGAAATACCAAGAGCATTTGAGTACCGGGGATATATATCAAGAATTGCATTTGGATAATATATATATATTATATTATATTATTCATATATGTCTGTATATATGTCTTTTAATTACCAGCAGTAATGAATATTCTAAGACGGGTGGTTTATTCTAATTTTGTGCCTCATTTCTAGAATCCATTGAGCCGAAACTCATCGTTTGAAGTTTGATCTTCCGTGAGGCTCATATTCTTAGGGCAGCGGTTGATTCATTAATAAATCCCTTTTCCAATATGAGATACCCTCTGGTAAACATACAAAAAGCTATTGATAATTGCAATTTATAGTTTATTTACCTATTGAAAATGGTGATGTTCCATAGTTTTTTGTATGTTTACGAGAGGGTATATATATATGATATATCCTGTATGGGACCTGAAAATCAAATATTAAATAGATCCAATACTCAACCAGGGGCTCAAAGGGAATATTTTTTTGCATTAGGGGGATGGGATTCTGTTTAAATCTGCCATAAATGATGGTAGAGGCCAAGCCGGCCGTCACTTGGCAGTGCCCATCTGAGGACGGCTCTATGGTGCTGAAGAACAGCACCAACGATTTGAAAATTTCAAGCGCCACTTCAGGCTTTTGGGATTGTCATGTCATAAAAACCATCCCAAATCGGATCCTCCAAGTAGCCAGGTCACCGTGTTTTTTTCCAGGGGGAAAGAACCAGCTTCTAGTGGTTTCAAAGAAACTTCTGTCGGGAAGAGTCAGAAGAAAGAAGATGCATGCAGGTGCGCGAAAAGGTAGAAAAGTCGCGATTCACTCTGTTTTTCCAATGGCTTGTGGCTCCGGGGGATCGAAAAGTAGGCTCGCTAAAGCGGCGGGGGCAGAGCCATGTGGCCAGATGAGGTTGTGGCGCGAAGCACATTTCGAAGTGAAAATGTACAAAACACACCATTCTCGGACCACTTTTGGAAATTGAGATGTTGAAAAAGTGCACGCCGTTGTGGCGCGAAGCACATTTGGAAGTCAAAATGCAAAGCTTTTTGGTGTCAGTCCACTTTTGGAAGTTGAGATGTCGAAAAAGTGTACGCCTTTGTGGCGCGAAGCACATTTCCAAGTCAAAATGTACAAAACACACCACGTTCGGACCACGTTTGGAAGTTGAGATGTTGAAAAAGTGCACGCCGTTGTGGCGCGAAGCACATTTGGAAGTCAAAATGCAAAGCTTTTTGGTGTCAGTCCACTTTTGGAAGTTGAGATGTCGAAAAAGTGTACGCCTTTGTGGCGCGAAGCACATTTCCAAGTCAAAATGTACAAAACACACCACGTTCGGACCACGTTTGGAAGTTGAGATGTTGAAAAAGTGCACGCCGTTGTGGCGCGAAGCACATTTCCAAGTCAAATACGCCTTTGTGGCGCGAAGCACATTTCGAAGTCAAAAGTGTTGACAAATTAATGGTTTCGGAGCACTTTTGGAAGTTCAGATGTCGAAAAAGTGCATGCCGTTGTGGCGCGAAGCAAATGTCGAAGTCAAAAGTGCAAAAAACTGAAGGGGTACGGAGCACTTTTGGATGCTCGGATGTCGTCTTGCGTGGCAGGCACAGGGGATTCTGCACCTTGTCAAAAGTGAGCAAAACGCGAGGGTTTTGTAGGATGTCCAAAAACTATGGCAGGCATGGGGCATTTGAAGAGGACCTGCAAAGATGCATTTTCCGTGGCCGGCGCAGTACAAGAGACATGTTCATCAGAGCTGTTAGGAGGTTCAGGCGCTGATTTCCTGAGAGGGGTTGCATTTTTGAGCATCAGATCTTCAGGTTTGATTTTGCGTGACAGGTGGAAGAATTGTATGACTTGGCATCACTTATTCGTGGCAGGCGCAATACTTTAGACAGATGGAGTGGAAAAATTGCAAAACGCATTGGTACGAGACCGTCAGCTTTCCATTCAACTGTCCATTTTTGAAGGAAGTCTCGCTGAATTGCTTCGTCTTTGCTCTTGTCAACTTCGAAAATTGAGGAAGTCTCGCAGAATTCTTTCGTTTTTGACGTTGTCAAGGTCAAAATTGAGGAAGTCCCGCTGAATTGCTGCATTTTCGATGTTGCCAAGTTAAACAATTTTCAAGCTTGCAGATAGATAGATGGATAGGTAGATAGACAACTACAACTACAACTGCAGCTACGACTACAACTACACTACACTACAACTACAAATGCAAATTTATCACGCTACAGTAGAGGAATTACGCTACACTACACTAATTACAGTACATTACACTAATAACACAAGTACAGCTACAGCTACAACTGCGACTACACTACATTACACGACACTAATTACATTACATTACATTACATTACACTACGCTCATTGCACCACACTACAACTACAACTACACTACACTAGTTGCATGACACCAGAACTACAACTACACTACAACTACAACTACAGCTGCAACTGCACTCCACTAATTGCACTACACTACAACTACAACTACAGCTGCAGTACACCACACTACATCCAGCAGTTGTGGGTGAGGTGACCACTGCAACTATTGCAACCACTCCAAAAAACACAACTCCAACCACCTTTCGGTCCATCAGTGGATTCGCTATGTCATCCATGCATCACAACAACTCATCTCTCCTATAGTGTCCTATCTTTGAAATTTCCGCCACCGCCGCCTTGTGCGGTACTACTGGTCAAAGGAAGTTTAGGGGGAGAAACTTCCGTGTTACGGACTTTTAGAATGTCAGGGAAAGAGTTAGTCAAAGAAAGAGCTCGCAAAGAAAGAGTTCGTCAGGGAAAGAGTTCGTCAAAGAAAGACTTAGTCAAAGAAACAGACAGTTAGTCAGGGAAAGAGTTAGTCAAAGAAAGAGTTAGTGAGGGAAAGAGTCAGTCAAAGAAAGAGTTAGCAAAGAAACAGTTAGTCAGGGAAAGAGTTAGTCAAAGAAAGAGTTAGTGAGGGAAAGAGTTAGCAAAGAAACAGGTAGTCAGGGAAAGAGTTAGTCAAAGAAAGAGTTAGTGAGGGAAAGAGTTAGTCAAAGAAAGAGTTAGTGAGGGAAAGAGTTAGTCAAAGAAAGAGTTCGTCAGGGAAAGAGTTAGTCAAAGAAAGAGTTAGTCAAAGAAACAGTTAGTCAGGGAAAGAGTTAGTCAAAGAAAGAGTTAGTGAGGGAAAGAGTTAGTCACAGAAAGAGTTAGCAAAGAAAGAGGTCGTCAGGGAAAGAGTTAGTCAAAGAAAGAGTTAGTCAAAGAAACAGTTAGTCAGGGAAAGAGTTAGTCAAAGAAAGAGTTAGTGAGGGAAAGAGTTAGTCAAAGAAAGAGTTAGTCAAAGGAAGAGCAAAGAAAGAGTTAGCAAAGAAAGAGTTCGTTAGGGAACGAGTTAGTCAAAGAAATTGTTCCCGCAATGTAAATGGGATTGCAAGTGGTGCTGGTGGATGAGTTGCCGATGGAGTTTTGAAGGAAGTCTCGCACGAAATGCGTTTTTGAGATCCCGCAATGTAAATGGGATTGCAAGTGGTGCTGCTGGATGAGTTGCCGATGGAGTTTTGAAGGAAGTCTCGCACGAAATGCGTTTTTGAGAGATAGCAGATGCACGAAACCCTGTGTTTTTCCAGACAAAGTGCGTCCCCCAACGTGATCTACCTCTGCGGTGCGACGGGTGCGAGACGGTCTCGTGTGTGGTCGGATCATTCTCGGACCATGGTCGGATCATTCTCGGACCATGGTCGGATCATGGTCGGATCGGTTCCGCATTGTAAATGGGGTTTCAAGTGTTTTTCGTGCATGTGCGGTCGACAGAATTCCATTGTGATTTGCAACTGTAGGATTGTTCCCGCAATGTAAATGGGATTGCAAGTGGTGCTGGTGGATGAGTTGCCGATGGAGTTTTGAAGGAAGTCTCGCACGAAATGCGTTTTTGAGAGATAGCAGATGCACGAAAGCCTATGTTTTTCCATACAAAGTCCGTCCTCGAACGTCGATGATCTACCTCTGCGGTGCGACGGGTGCGAGACGGTCTCGTGTGTGGTCGGATCATTCTCGGACCATGGTCGGATCATTCTCGGACCATGGTCGGATCGGTTCCGCATTGTAAATGGGGTTTCAAGTGTTTTTCGTGCATGCGCGGTCGACAGAATTCCATTGTGATTTGCAACTGTAGGATCGTTCCCGCAATGTAAATGGGATTGCAAGTGGTGCTGGTGGATGAGTTGCCGATGGAGTTTTGAAGGAAGTCTCGCACCAAAAGCGTTTTTTTCTCCATTTTGGCGCTAGTGAATTTCCTTCTAAAAATCCTTGTAACAAGTGCTTCAAAATCTTCTTTTTTTCGCTCTGGCGTCGAGATCCGGTTTTGAAGCTACAATTTCCGACGCCGTTGCGCGTAGTTCTATTGTGTTTTGCAACTCACATTGTAATGGCTGCGTCAAGGTTGCTTCATGCTGTGGCTGCATGCGTAATACTATTGTCTTTTGCAGCTGGACTTCGTAAATCGTATTGGAGTTGGCTGCATGAAGGCTGCGACAGTGATTTGTCAGCAGATTTTCTCCATTTTGGCGCTAGTGATTTTCCTTCTAAAAATCCTTTTAAAAAGTGCTTCAAAATCGTCTTTTTTTCGCTCTGGCGTCGAGATCCGGTTTTGAAGCTACAATTTCCGACGCCATTGCGCGTAGTTCTCTTGTGTTTTGCAACTCAGTCTCCGCAGATCGCATTGGAATGGCTGCGTCAAGGTTGCTTCTTGCTTTGGCTGCATGCGTAATGTCTTTTGCAGCTGGATCTCGTAAATCGTCTTGGACTGGCTGCATGAAGGCTGCGAAATGGATTTGTTAGCAGATTTTCTCCATTTTGGCGCTAGTGTTTTTTGTTGCACGTAGGTTTAGAGCAGTGTGAAGTGTGGGGCGTGAAGAGTGCAGTGTGAAGTGTGCAGTGTGAAGGAAGCAGTGGGAAGTGAGAAGTGTGAAGTGTGGAGTGTGAAGTGTGAAGTGTGAAGTTTCAGTTTGGAGTGCGAAGAGCGCAGTGTGAAGTGTGAAGTGTGAAGTGTGAGGTTTGGAGTGTGAAGGAAGCAGTGTGAAGTGTGAAGTGTGGAGTGTGAAGTTTGAAGTTTGGAGTGCGAAGAGTGCAGTGTGGAGTGTGGAGTGTGAAGACTTTGCTTCGTCTCTCGCTGAAAAAATCAAACGGTTGTCGAGGGAAGGACACGGTCGGGACAGGGTGTCTTTGAACTATAGGTCATTTATGTTTGGGAAACTTCCGCCGCCGGCTTGCCCGGGTCTATGTTATAACATATGAATGGGGGAACAAACATCCATTTACCAACTATTTTAAGCTACTGTTTGTGTCCCAGGGTTTTGACTCGCAGCCGTGTATTTCTATCAAATTTACCCAATCTCTATCAAACTTGCCTCTATCAAACCTACCTCTGTAAAACTTACCTCCATCCAACTCTTTTGTATCAAACTCATTTGGATCAAATTGGGTTCTACCCACATTCTATCCACCCATTTTTTCTTTATGAAACTTGCCCCTACCAAACTTATCTCTTCCAAACTCAGCTCCAAATTCTCTCAAAATCAACGCTATCTAACTTCTCCTCATCTAATCTAGCTTGCCTGTCATTTTTTCCTGTCATCTCTTTCTACCGGTATGCTTTGACCCGCATTCTCCAGCCGCGCAGGCGGTCGCAACACCTCAGCGGCTCAGGGCTTCTGAGTTTCTCGGAGGTGAAAAAATCAGGGTGGATTTAAGAATTCCAGTTGGTGGTTCATCCCAGTAGGAGGGTTAACCCAAGTATACCGAGGTATAGTATAGGTGATGATTAATCCTACTTATCCCATTTGCTAAAACACTGTACTTAGGCATATAACATCATATAATTGATTTATAGATGGGATGAAGCACCAAGTAAAAAAAGGCATTCATGAATCAACCATGCTAAAGGTGGTCGTGAAAAATAATCCATAGGGGGATAACGAACTTTGGATCGGCATTCGTGATGCCAGATGACATGGGGAAATTGAGGGTGCCACGAAATATTCAGTGGGATGTACCAGATAAAAATGGTGATTTGGATGTGCCCCCTAAAGAACAACGGATGGAAACACAATAGTGGAATATAGAGGAACATTGAATAAGTTTGTTATCAAAACATGAAAACATGCCCCAATTGCCGATAATTTCTCCAGACAAATCCCAGGATCAACAGTTTCAACCCATTTTGAGGATGGGAATCCATGAGAATCCAAGGTACACTTGGACATCCCAAAAATGGAAAGGATCGAATGGTGCAATTCTTTGAATTTTGATGATCCACTCCAGATACCCTCTGGTAAACTAACATAACTATAGAAAATCACAATTTTTAATGGATATATTTCGGATGAATTTCATTATGACCTCACGTCGTTTTCCGATTTTTCTGCTAAGGCGATGCTTTTGGGATCAATAGTTTCTTGGAAGCAGCCAGGCTCGGCATGGCCAAGTGGTCTTGGTGACCCCAAGAAATGCTAGGCAATGCTAGATCCTGAATTGTGGTTTTCAACATGTTTAACAGCACAAATGGACAAGGGTATGTTAAAGCTACTAGTGAATAATCACTAGTAACCGCTTTCGCAAAAAGAAACAATGAACCACTGGGTTTGCTGAATACCCCGAGACTTTCATGGTCCTCATGCACCAACTTTTGTTATGGAAATCATTTTTGGTTTGCAATGGCCGTGAATTGGGTATCCGTCATTATAGGACATGTTTATCGAATAAGATCAACCCATTTTCTGTGTTGATGTACATGCTTACTTTTAAGCATTGCACCAGACCCTCCGCACTGGCTTTCACAGAGGAAACATCTCTGCCGGATCCGAGGTTTTTCCGATTTCTATGCTGAAGAGTTGCCGCTGCGCGGGCTCAAAACTGATGTTTTTTTGCTCCTTTGGCTGCGCTTGGGAACTCGACCGTGTGCACCGTTTTGTTGCAAAAAATGTGGCGAAAATTATGGTTTTGAGATGTTTGGAGTATCAAAAAGGTTGGGAAATCTTGGGAAATTCAATTCGTATCGCTTTGCAAGGCCATTTGTGGCAAGCTGAGGCAGGAATCACTAGGATCCGCAGCCAAAGAAACTTGGATCGGAAGGGCCGAAGGTTGATAGGAAGGCTGATGAATTTTCCCAACAAAAACAGATACGAAATCCACCTTGAAATTTGCGATTTCGGTCGTGTCATAATTGAAGTTGCCTTTCTGGAACGGGTGAAAGTTGCGATTTGTGGACATATCTACATAGATCTTGGTTGGTGGTTTGGAACATTTTTTATATTCCATAATATATGGGAGAATGAAACCACCAACCAGTTAGTGCGTGTGAGTTCTATGATTGTCCTGTTACTAAGTTGCATCCTTCAATTTGATCATATTTGATCCCATATTTTGGTTGGTAAAGCCTCCATTTCTTCCACCTGTTACAGCCATATTATTCATATTCTGATATAACATTCTCAGCAATCCACAAGTCCCAGTTAAGGGAAGATCCCATGATATCCGATGAAATCCCCATGGTTTTTGGGGTTCAACCAATCCATCAACCCTCATTTCTAGTGCTGAGAAGATACCCCAAGTTCCCAATGCTAAGGAGCTGAACGTCACGGCTTTCCAGTTGCCAAAGACACCAGAACCTCCTGCTCTCAACTGGCGTTTGACCCGCGTCTGGTGCTGAGACCACTGAAACCCGTTGAGTTTTTGCTGCTTAGAAAGATTGCTTCAGCATAAAACTGTGTTTGTTACATATGTTAAGTTAATTTAGTTAATTTAGGCCAAACAATATCCGAATGAAACATAATACATACATACATACATACATACATACATACATACATACATACATACATACATACATACATACATACATACATACACACATACATACATACATACATACCCACGTACGTACATACATACATATATATATATATGTGTGTGAATGTGTGTGTATATATGTACATGTATGCATATATAAATATATATATATATATATATATCGTCGTGCATTTTTCCAGATGAAATGCCAAACACTACTATGAAAAAAAACGTTGCAACTGATACGAATATGACAATGCATCATCCCCTAGATCCCTGTGATAGATATAGACAAAGAAATGCAGGCATAGTTGCCAATCAATGGCCATTTCAGGAACCGTTTTTTCTTCCAGTAGATCCATTATAGGGTCATGAACTTCCCGGCCATAGCAGAAACCTCAACAGACACAACTTGTGGCCTTCAAACTGGGCTCCAAAAAAAACCTCCAAGGTTGAGATGACTGGAACGGAAAACCATATTTCCATATTTTTGTTGCAATGTGGATGAGATGTTCATTTGATTCAAAGGGAAAATAAACGAAAAAGGTGTCAAGAATCGCGGTTCCAGCGTGCATCTTTACTTGACAAGTCATTTTCATTTCTGGTGTGTTTCTTTTAAGCAGACATGTTCCTTTGCCATAGCATATATAATATCAGTTGCATATGCTGTATTTATGTACATTATGTATATCATGAGTTAATTATTATTATATATATACGTACAGATATAATAGACTATATATATATATATAAATATATATTTCTCATATGTAATGTATACAGTTTATATTTTATTTATAGATAAAACATTTTACACACACATATTTATACATATATATATACATACATGGATTAATATAGGTCATATGCATCACATGAAATATATACTTTTTAATTGTTTATAGATCATGTTGTTACATCTATACATAGATTAATAAATAGATAGATGTATATATATATATTACCTTCTGGTAAACATACAAATATCTATGGAAAGATCCACCATTTTCAATGTCTAAATCCACTATATCCATAAATGGTAGTCATTTTCAATAGCTATAACTTGACATCACCAGGAGTAAAAACCCATGAAAACCCCATGAAAACCTGAGGGTTAGTAACCCAATCCATCCCATCCCAATCCATCCCATCTCCGAGGCCGTGAGTCCGGTGAAGAACCAGGGCTCCTGTGGCGCCTGCTGGGCTTTCGTAACGGCGGAGGAAGTGGAAGCCATGTGCCCAAAAGCCATGGGATGGCCATGGGATGGCCATGAAATCCAGAAATCTATGGGAAATATGAGGAGATTGATATAGATGATAAGTGATTTATATGGTGATTTATAGAGTGAAACTGATATTTATAGATGATTTATAGATGATTTATGGATGATTTATGGATGATAAATGATTTATATGGTGATTTATATTGTGAAATTGATTTGTAGTGATTTTTTTACTGAAATATATGGGGAAGATGGTGGTTTATGATAAGTGATTTGTAGATGATTTGTGGATGATTTATCATTCACTTTTGGTGATTTATTTCTAGTGACTTTGAGTGAAAATATCATGATACAGATAGTGATATTATATAACAAATGAGCTCAAAAAAACCGTTGATCTAATGTGAATTATCTAGTGGTTCATGGATGATAATGAAAAAATATAGTGAACCGATCGTCAAATCAATCGCACATGATATAATTACAGTGATTTGAATAGTGATAAATGGAAATTAATGATAAATAATGGCGGATTTGTTTTTTTTCCAACGAGATATCATGGGGCCTCAAGGGAATATGGCCGAACTTCATAGGTCGGTGAAATGGTTTAACATGTTTTTTCCAGAAATATGTTTCTTTTGAATGTACCATCTGGTTATTTAACATAGCCACGGAAAATTGCCCATTTATAGATGATTTTCCCATTCAAACCTCCATTTAAAAGGGATTTTCCATGGCTATGTTAAATAACCAGATGGTATCAGAAGGGATCAGTGTTGGATTGCTTCTGAGCCTCAGCCAGTTTTCCCCTGCAGTCTAGGGCTTCCATTTGTTCAATGGTTTTCTCTGCGAAATGGACCCAAACAAACATCCAAACAACTTGTCAGGCCCCCATCCACAGCTGAAAAAATGGTGGCTGTGAGCAAATGTGGAATGACATGCGGTGAGAGTGACTCCTGTGTAACCATCATATAGATTTAGATACCTTTGCCACGAAATGTGGAGCCGTTCACCATGCTTCACGGTGGAGCCCCATTGGTTGCCTTTCTAAACTGCGCTTTGTGTTTAGCAGAAATTTAAATCTGCTAAGTCTTAAGATATTTACCTGATGATCATTATCTCATCATGTGCTTAGTCCTCCGTCCAGAGGCTAAGATAGGGCAAACCATGGGCAAACCCTCTGGAAGCCCGGGCAAAAAACATATTATATCACACGATCTATAAACTCATACATTATGTATAAGTTATATCGTGTAAGAACTGATATTATGTTCATATATATAGGATAGTTATATAAGTTTCATTAGTTGCCCTCTGGTTATTTAACGTAGCTATGGAGAATCACCATTAAAAATTATAGCTCAATCATGGTAAATCATCAGAAAACATGGACAACAATTGGCCATTTATACCATGGTCACCCTTGGGTAAAAATACAAAAAACTATGGAACATCACCATTTAGTTCGTGGATTTACCCATGAAAAATGGTGGATATTTCCATCGTTTTTGGTATGTTGACCAGGCCAGGTAATCCTCCACCGCAGCCATGGATAGCCATGGCCAGATGGCCAGGTACACCCTGTGGCAGGATGGTGGACCTCCCGGATATTCGCAGCTCTTCTCGGCAGCTCCGAAGAAAGAAAAAATGGTGGTGAAAATCATGGAAATTCCCATCGAAAAATGAGGATCAATAGGAAAAATGATGGGTTTTTTTCATGGGAAATCATGGGATCTATGGGAGATCTTCAGGATCCAATTGATGGAGGTACATTACTCTGGTACCATATTTCAGGCTGAAATATGAATTGTGGGGATATTCCCTGAAATTTAGGCCTCAAAAAGAGGCCTTATATATGGTAAGTACCTCCAATTTAGGTTCCTGAAATGGCCATGGATCTGGTAAATCATGGGAAAATCATGGGAAGATAGTGGGAAAACAAGGGTAAAACGACCAATAATCCTGGATGAATAATGGATGATGGGGATTTACCCTTTGGTAAACAAACATAGACATAGCTAACGTTCTTTGATTTACCCAATAAAAATGGTGATGTTCCATAGTTATGTTAGTTTACCAGAGGGCACCCTAGAATGCATGGTTTATCATGGAAAATCCTATTCAAATGGATGGGAAACTCACAGTTTGCTATCGAAAATCATCATTTTTTTATAGGTAAATCAACTATAAATTGGCAATGTTCAATAGCTATGTTAAATTAACAGAGGGCAAATGAGTGATTTTCCATTGTCATGTTTCATTACTGGTATTCTGGGAAACTCTGGTAACAGGCTTGTCAAAGGATCCCCGGTTTTGGTTTTTTCCCCATGTTTGCCTATTCTTTGCCATAAATCCAAGAGTTGATGTAGTTATGTTTGCCAATTTCCTATTATTTTGATCTTTCAGCATCACCGTATCACCTCTTCCAGGCAATTTAAGGACTGGTTGAACTGGTTGATCATCATTTCTGTGCCGAACATGGGATGTATTCCCAAAAGGGCCATCAAATACTAGCGAACATGATGATACACCATTACTGGTTGGTGGTTTGGAACATCAATTTTATTTTTCCATACATTGGGAATAATCATCCCAACTGACTAGTATTTTTCAGAGGGGTAGGTCAACCACCAACCAGATCACATTTTGTGTTTTTCTTTCAGGCAATCATAACAAGTTGGTTGGTCATACTGTCATACTATAATCAGAAACAAAACAACAAAACTTCACTATACTTCACTCCCAATGAAGCCCAAAAATTCTCACGAAAATCACCTTACCCAACCTACCCCCACCAGCCCCAGTCAGGTCCAACAAATGATCAGCTGCAGTAATCAAGCGGATGGTTGTGGAGGTGGAAATCCTGTGGATGGCTACAGTCACTGGTCGAACTGGCGAAAACTCGGGAAAACTGGGTGAATTTTCGACCAATCTCTGTTTTTACCGGCAAGAGAAACGTCTGGTTGTTACGGGCCATGCGGTTTTTCATGGGTGTATCATTTCTTATACTGCATACTTATTGTAAAGAATAATTATATACTGGTTGGTGGTTTGGAACATGAATTTCATGACTTTCCATTCAGTTGGGAATTTCCTCATCCCAACTGACGAGTTGTCCATAATTTTTCAGAGGGGTAGGTCAACCACCAAGCAGTCATAATTAACCATCATTAACCACTATTAACCACTATTAACATCTATTAATCATATGGAATAGGTCAACCACCAACCAGAAATGTTGGAACCATACAAGATGCTGATTTTTATCAGATGTTGATCCAGATGGTGAACGAACGGCGCAAAAAAAAAAATGTTTTTTTTAAGAATTGGCACGATGTTCTGCGGATCTGATTTTTTTTTGTTTTTTTGCTGCGAGAATCCACTAGATTTGGGTTATCCACTAGGTTTGTTTCGAGTAGCCATTTGGAGAGCATCTCAGAATCATGTATGTTTTTGAACCACGCACCTAGAGAAAACGCTCAACATCACTGGTCATGAGAGCAACGACCACTGGTTTGCCCACCAGTTGTTCACATGATTGCAGTGTCATAGCATTTGTGACATGGTTCTTGTAAGAAACTGACATGCCAAACACACCCCACTTCTTGGGCCGAGCCAGTCCCAACTAAGCCTACCTCATGAAGAACAAAATCGGCCTGGTTCAAGAGGCCTATTGGCCGTACGAAGGAGTGGGTCATTTTCCATGGTTTTTTCCGTGTTTTTCTGTCAGATGGGCTGGATGGGCTGAGAGTAAAGATGGTTTGAAAAAATGTGTCACATGGAGCTGTTAGAACTCGAAAATCAACACACGACATCATGGCAGTGTCATTCAATGCCATCCCCAAAGATGCTGAAAGTCAGGAGGTTATCTTCCAGACGATCGATGTGACTACAAATACTGCACCAAACCTTGCCATCGAAATTTGACTCTGGGCATCTCGTGGCAAGGTGTTCCCCCCTTGGTGTTGGCTGATAAAACCCGGGATGATGGGGATACTAGGCCGTCTGGACACCGAAAAAAGCTGTGCCTTATCACCCAATGATTCGTGGATCACAGGGAGCTCATGATGCGAATTCCATTGAAAGAAATGATGGCCGTCTCCCAAAATCCGGGGTGCCCCAAACTTGGCGTTTTCCCCCCTGAAAATGGCAACACAAATCAGATGGCATGACCCAACTCAGACCCAACCCCGCCAGTGCTAAGGACAGATGCTGAGACCTTTCAGCCACTGCGGCTGCAAAACCTTGGGTATCCTGAGATACCCCTGAAAATGGGAGGATCTACCACTGTGAACTGGCCATTTCAATTCATGTGAATAGGGATAATGTGGGACAATGAATAGGTCCTCTAAATATATGGGACTATATTGGTTAATATGAATCGATTCATGTAGGGAAAAGGATTATTAATGATTAACCAATGGATTTAGAGGATGTCTATTTCCAAACCCATATAAGTTGCAGGTTTTTGGCACGCTTGTTGGTGCTTGTTGAAGATGCTTCCCACATGTGTCCGTATTTCGATTGCACACCCTGTCTTCCAACAAGTGATATTTCGTTGGTGGTGTTCAGAATGTTTATGTTGCATCCCTGACTCGCGTGTTTGCAATGGGTCCACCCAAATCTCACTGGAACCACAATTTATAGGAAACATCAGGAAACATCAGGAAACATCAGAACGGACTCTGACAGCACCTCAAAAAACCATGGGTTTCCGTGATTATGATCCAAGATCAGCCAAGCAGGGTGCGGTTCCCTGATTTCTTCTCTTGGACCAAGCTTCAAAAGCGCAGAGCCACCTACCAATCAGCACTTCCGGCGCCCTAGGCACATCATTGGTCCGCCCTTTGGTAGCATTTTGGTGATGGTTTTTCTTGGCGATATCACCAAGTGTGAGGAACAAGGATGATGAAAGGGTGGAAAGATGGGGAGATGCACAGGGCACTTCATGTGGAGATATCACTCCGAAAAGTGTCGATGAGGATTCAAAAAAATATATAAGTTAGACAAATGATGATAACTTAGAAAAAATGGGAAAGAATAATTAAGAATCCAGTTTTTGAAGTTGGCTCAATGTTCTGCCGAGGATTGGGAAGGTCGTCGGTGCTCTTTGGGCTACACCTCTATGTCCTCCTGGAACTGCTTGCGAGAACCAAAATCTGGAGAGTTTGAGACGGGTTTCTGGGCGGAATTTTTCCATTAGGTTTTCCATGGGTTTTTCCATATTTTCACCGCAGCCACTCAGCCTGGGACTAGCTGGGACTCTTTTCGGCTGATGTTCATTTCGAATCCTTCTGAATCATTCGGATGTGGATGTTGTTTTTAGAAGTTGCGGCTTTGTTCTGACTCGTTCGGATCAAAATCATTCAAAATCTGATAAGTCGATGAATCGATGAGTCTCAGAGTTCGGTGTTCTTTGAGCAGATCTCACACGTGATTTATTTGATGGTCAGGTTCTCGTTCAGCTAGGTCCCGTTGCAGCTTGGCGTTCACCGTTCACTCTTGGAAGTGTACCCTCCCACTGACGGGTTTCTATGGTGGAAAATATTGATTTTTGGAAAACATGGATACCCTCTGGTTATATATGTCAAAATAGCTATCGAAAATTGCCATTTATAGTGGATTTACCCATTAAGAATGGTGATTTTCCATAGTTATGTTCGTTTACCAGAGGGTATATGGGTATCTGCGTAAGTTTGTATGAGTCTATCAGTGTAAGACGAGATATTCTGTAAAATGATTGGCTTCAGGGTGGAAGTTCTTTGCTGGATGGATTTCAGTCCTACAGCTGTGTTTTTCTTGCCTGACCCTTAGCCACAGACAAAGTCCCAGGGTTCTCCGACCAGTATGACGTAGCATGTCGCAGGGAATCTTGGAGGTGTCAAATTCTTGGAACATCATGAAATCAGCTGAAAGCATCAAAGTTGCTGATGGTTGAAGTACCTGGGAAGAACCCTACTGAGACTGGTGGATCGCCTATATTTGTGACCCACCCAAAGCATCAAAGTTTGCAGGAATCTTCACTGCACAAGCTTTTCGACTTCGAAAATAGCCCATTTTGATCCCAACACCACCAGCTTTACAACCATAGCTAGGGCCCATGACATCCAAAGGCTGTGGCGGTGAATTCGCAACATTGGTTGCTCTATGCAGGTGGTGATGTTCATGGCTGGGAAATCCCCGAATTTTTTTGGGGAAAATCATCACATGAGAGATTTTCCGCCATGATTCATTACCAGAGGGTAATGTCAACCCCGGATGAGACTAAACCATGGTTTATGAAAATTAGGGGGGTACTCCTCCAATAGTCATTTCATCCAATACTTAAATGGTACCCCCCCAATTAACCAGCCGTTTGGGGTTTATTAATCCAGGGTTGACATTATTCCCTATGTGGAAATCCGCAACTGAGAAATCCGCAGATGTGCCAGAAGCCATGGATTCATCAATGGCACCGATTCAACTCGACTTCAATCTGCCACCGGCACATGACTTGCAGCACGGAAAATTTCGGGATTCCAGTGATTCCAGTTGTGCAAAAAGGCAACTCTAAATCCCAACCGGATTATCAACAAACATGAAAAATGTTGCACGGAAGTTGGAATGATTTTCCTGTCAGACCGGAGTAGGCCAAGATCTCCATATGATCATAACGGATCCTTAGGGTGAATTAAATTTGTGGGAAGGGATAGAAACATGTGGCAAACTCCATGCGATAAACCCCTTGGAATGGACGAATGACCATTGATTCCTAGTAAAAATGGTGGATCGGTTTTCATTGGATTTTTACCACATTAAAATTCATGTGGCAAACCCAATGCCAGAAACCATCCCCCAAATCACCAATTTTTTTGGGGGTGGTATGTTTACCATCCCCCAAAATTGTAGGTTTATGGCATTGAGCTACCCACAAAAAATGCACAGTTTATGCCGCCCTGGGCTGTTTTCATTTCACCGGTTTAAACAGTTTAGTTTAAGTCCATCTCAAAGCCCGTAAAATGCCATCATAAATCCCATCTCAAACTTTACCATCTTGTTATTTAACGTAGCCATGGAAAATGGCCCATTTATAGATGGTTTACCTATTAAAAAATGGTGATTTTCCATGGCTATGTTAAATAACCAGATGGTAATTCCATAAAACTTTCTATAAAGTCTCATAAAATGCGATAGAATCCGCTAGACTTCCATACAGGATGGGGCCCCCCGTTCGATAGCGTTCAGTTGCCTGAAAAAAGTGGCTGAATTAACTATGGTTTTATGATCGATATAACGAACTAGTCTTCATATGTCTTCATGGGGTTTATAAACCAACATTCACATCACTGGGGGGCACCATTCTGTAAAATCCCCATTTGGTTGGTGGTTTGGAACATGAATTTTATATAATTTTATGACTTTCCATTCAGTTGGGAATGGAATCATCATCCCAACTGACTTTCACTCATATTTTTCAGAGGCGTAGTACGTCAACCACCAACCAGTGTAAAATCCCTCATGGCTTTTTGTTGGTTTTTCGCCGCAGGTGGAGTGCTAAGCTACGAGGCGTGCGGTGGCAGTGGCTGGAACGATTTGGACCATGCCGCCCAGCTCACTGGGCCACCCGGCTGAAGGTGGGTGAATTGCTCATGGTTAGCCCACATTAATAGTTGTACTATGTTGTACTGGTGAATAAGATGAGATTGTTGATATATGATCATGATGGTTAATAATGGTTAGTACTGGTGAATAGTGATTAGTAATGGTTAGTTTGATGGTGAATAGTGACTAGTAATGGTTAATACTGGTAAGTAATGTTTGGGGGATGCTATTTTCAGACTAAAATATTAGGGTGTTTCTTAAAATGGGGGATCCCGAGTTGCCATGGGTCACTAAACTGATCTATATAATGACTTGGGTGATTTGGGGTACCCCCCATTTTAGGACACCTCCATATGTTAAAATACGTGGGTGTAGTGGAAACATCTCCAGAACCTGTGGTGATTTGTGGTTTCTTTGGGTCCAAATACCCTGGTAAAGATACAAAACAACTATGGAAAATCACCATGTTGAATGGGTAAATGATAGATGTTACAGTAAAAGTATGTAAAAGTGGTGTAAATCTGCAAGATTTCACTATAAAAATCCGTATAGATTAAAACACCCCAGGTCCAGATATTTTCCAAACGAACTTCACATCTTGGGACGAAAATTCAGACCCTGGGGGAATGCAGACTGGCGTATCCAGCATCCATGTTTCGCAAAGAATTCTGTTTTTGGGGCCAATCATCGGAATTTTGAGTCACGCCCAAAATCACCCAAATGCTCTTGGCTTGTCAAGACTTACCTAGACCTTCCAAGTACCCATACCCATAGGATCCATGTATGCTATATATGGTAACATTTACCACCAATATACCCCCAATGTTAGCATATATACCATACATGGATCCTATGGGATAAAATTTTGTAAAAGTAGATCCAAATGCAACATCCACCATTTGTAGATCATTTTCCAACGAGAACCGTGTACATGTCATTTCGCATTGTTTTCCCAGATCTGTGGTAATTTTCCGGAGGTTAACCATCAAAAATCGGAAAATTTGACTTTCAATTTTCACGCAACCAAGTCGCCAAAAATTGGGCACTTGATCACCAAAGCAGAACCACTCAGCAGTTCTTCCCCACAGGTACAACACCAGCTCCTCTGCCTCCCTGCCCTACTGGATCGTTCGCAACCAATGGTCAACGACCTGGGGCGATCTGCCAGAGATGTGATGAGATCGGGATGCCCTGAACATGGCGATGTTTTAGGAAGATGATGAGTAAAGCAGTGCATTTAGGGGTACCATGGAACAGCCTCAAGTTCAGATACATCCTGGGGCTGAGAAGGTTTAAGAATTTGGGGGATGTGGAGGATTTATGGGGATTTGATGGGATTTGGGCTTTGAACATTTGGGAATTTGATGGCAAATAAACAACCTGATTTGGCCAGTTCATGATTATTGAGTTGGGTTATGAATTCTTTAGGTCGAGTTAGACCAGTGTCATAGTTTATTGGTGGACTCTTCAAATCAATGGCCATTTCAAGATCATTGGAGGTACCAACCATATATAAGGCCTATGTAAGGGAATATCCCCACTAAATATGGCCTTATATGGTACAGTACCTCCATTTTAGGATCCTGGAATTCCCATTGATCAAAGTACTACTTTGAGTCTTGTTGCAACTTGTTAATTTGTTCCCAGTCACCTTGCCCACAAGCTCCAGTTCTTGTTGAAACAAGTCGGGCATATCGGTAAGAGTTTTTCAGCTGACATTTGTTCGTGTACGACTGGTACGGTTTCGACCGTTCTCTACAGGTGAGAATGGATACATCTACCTGGAGTTCTACAAGAACACCTGTGGCATTGAAACTCTGCAAGAAATGTCATTCTGGGGTGGTTTTTAACAAACAACAAGGTGGTATAGAGTTGACAGAGATCTGCAGTTTCATGATGTTTCATGGTAGATTTAGATATTAGATACATTGAAAATTGGAGAGTCCATATCCAAGCCGTTTTTTTTTGTGATATCCATTTGAACTTGCCGTAAGCGACTCCGTGTGTTGCCGGATCGCGAAAAAACGCTGTTGGGGTGATACTCAATTTCGTCCATTTATCGCATTTGAAGCAGTTGGTTTTTCAGAATCATCAGCACTTTGCCCACTGTTATATCTTTATCAGTTTTCTATGTTATATCAGTTGTCAGTTCTTTAGCCATATATATATATATATATCATATACACATATACACACACACATATATATATATATATACATATACACATACATATACAAACCATAGTAGATCTATAATCATCCCCAAGTCAAAATGTTCAAACAGTTCAAAACCCATTTCAGTGAGGGTGTTTGACATGTCCACATTCTAATTCCCCAAATGTGCCTTTCACTTCTGTCAGATCAAGGCCAATATGGCCACGGTGCCACTGATGGCAGGGATGCCACACCCACAGGCGTGCAAGGTATGGTGTTGGTGGTTACTCTTTGGTAACGCAGGTCTAGTGAAATGGAAGTAACAAGGACCAGCTACTGGAATATAACTGGAATAGTGGCATAATAGTCCTTGGAATTAACTATTATTGAAGTGGAATTAGCTATAATGGCATAATAACAGCTAATTCCAAGGACTATTCCAGTAATATGAGCTAATTCCAATGACTATTGGGATTATAAGGGCATCATAATGGTCAAGAAGGGTTACCATTTAATGGGCTATTTAATGGGATACCCTTTGGTAATCAAAAGTGCCGATTGAAAAGCAACCAATGTAGTTTGATGAATTTACCACCCATAAACCTCTATTGAGTTTGGGGATGTTCAAATAATTCATGTTTGATTACCAGAAGTAGGTATAAAAATCAGAGATTTATGGGATACGAATAGTTATAAAAAATACGCATATATTAGGAGGTTTGACTCACTCATGTTGATACACTGAGGATTTAACCAAAAAAAATGGTGATATATATATATATATGTGTGTGTGTATATAAATATATATATATATATACTGGTTGGTGGTTTGGAACCTGAATTTTATTTTTCCATACATTTGGAATAATAATTCCAACTGACGAACTCATATTGTTCAGAGGGGTTGAAACACTGACTTTCATATTTTTTAGAGGGGTAGGTCAACCACCAATCAGAATTATATATATATAGTGGTGACACTGGTGATGATACAATGGAATATTAGTGGAAAATCTACAGGTTTTGGCCATCAGGTAATTTAAAACAGTTTGCTATTGGAAAATGGTCCAGTTTATTCCATTAGGTCATTGTCCATCGCTTTGTTCACTTGCCAGATGGTAAATGATGTTTAACAATGAAACATGGCAATGAGAACACCTTGAACTAAATGGATGGTTTTAGCTGGGAAAATTCTCTACACATAAACGGGGAGTTGTCGAGCAAAGTATATTTGATGACCGGAGGGTACCCTCAGAAAAATGGAGAGGTTAACTGGTTAGCCGGTTAGGCCAACAATGGCCATCATGTCATCATGTCATAATGCCATGCTGAGAACATCTGAGAATTATTGTTGCAAAAGTTATTAACCATAGGATTTTTGGGATGCTGCCCAACTGGCCGGGATGGCTGTTGGGATAGCAGTTGGAAAACCAGCAGTCAAAACTGGCTTTGACAAATCCTAGTTGGGATGATGGCCGAAATGTCTGGGATATACCCTCTGGTAAACTAACATTTTGCGAACTGGAAAATCACCATTTTGATCCATTTTGAATAGGTAAATCAACTATAAATGGTACATGTTCAATAGCTACAATGTGAGGCCCCCCAGTGATGTTTGTTGGTGGACATAAGCCCCAGTAACTATAGTTATAAGTACCATAAACATCCATAAACCATAGTTATTGGAGTTTTTTGCACCAACTGAACGCTATCGTGGCCGGGGGCCTCACATTGTAGGTTTGACATAACCAGAGGGTAACCCGCATGATTCTGGCGAGTTCTTCGAGTCGATTCATGCCTGCCATGCAGAAATAGGTGCCTGGTTTCGCAGCGGCTTTTTTTTGGTGGTTTGCCACAGGATGGGGCCCCCCCGGTGATGTGAATGTTGGTTTATAAACCATGAAATAACACCCATTAACTGGTTTGTTATATCTACCATAAACCATAGAATTCAGCCACTTATAAACCATTTATAAACCAACTTAGCTATCTTGGGGGCCCCATCCTGCACTGTGTTCCACTTTTGCCCAAGAAAAGATGACTACACGCACTCTCTTATTTTTAACGGTTTTGTATGGAACATAACCACCATATCACCACATTTAGTAGATACATCCTCTTTATTTATGGCTCTGGGTCAAAACCCTGGCACCATTTGGCACATCCCACCACCAAAATTGCTGGGATTTATGGATGATCATCCCATTAAAATTGATAATAATAGGTTTTGATGGGATGAACATCCATAAATCCCAGCTATTTTTTTTGGGGATGAACATCCAACATGTTGACCCACAAAAAATAGGTTTTTACCCATCCCCCAATGGGCCAGGACATTGAAGAAGTTGTGATGCTGGACAGGGGTCCATCGCGGGACAGCCCCTTCGCACGCTGCTCGGTGTCAGGCTATATCCATGGCTATCCTCAGCAAAACTTAGGATTTAGCCAACCTGGTTATGACTAACATAGCCATGGTATAGATGGCCCATTTATAGATGATTTATCATGATTTACCTATTAATAGCATGGTGATTTTCCATGGCAAACTGTTAAATAACCAGATGGTAGCCACTAAAGAAGGGTGGATATAGAGGGGATCTAAACTGATCGCAAAACAAAACACAGCGGAAATTTCAGTTCAAAGCTCATATCCAGTGGTAATCTTCTCTCGGGCTTCATGGTTCTGGTTCTTGAATTTAGCAGGTACACTTCCACAAAGACCATTGTTCAATGGTGATATGCCTTGGGTTGGTATCCATCCAAAGATGCCCGTGGATCCTGACGGTCCTGACATTTCATTTGGCCAGTAACTATGAATATCTATCTGGTTGGTGGTTTGGAACCATGAAATTTTATGACTTTCCATAATTATATTGGGAAATTCATCATCCCAACTGACTTTCACTCATATTTTGCAGAGGCGTAGTACGTCAACCACCAACCAGCTATGAATGCTATGATCTGCTAAAGTCAGTATACCTCCCAGCCAGGATCATGGCAAACTGACGGAGTTGATTGGGATATTGGGGCTGCTACCGGGTAGGGCTCCCCGAAAAGGATTTTATTTTTGACCATCCCGATCTGTAGATCTACCCTGTTTAGAGGATGCTAAAGCTGACGGATGATATACACTAAACATGTGTCCACTAGATGGTGGCCATCGGAAGTGGCCATTCGGCAAGGTTTCAGAGCTAAGACTGTCAACAAGAGATGGCTCCGGAAGCCTCCCTGGACAGTAAAGCAGCCACAAACTCACAAAACAGGAACATTTGCTGAACAAAATCATATCTGAGTCATATCCTGACATAACCTAGCCTCAAAACATGCAACTTCACAGAGAGAGAGAGAGATCTGTTGAGATCTTTGTTATTTGGTGGTTAGCTCCATCAAACTGTATCAGTTTGGGTCAGTTATGGTCAGTTGTCACGGATGGCCGTATGGCCGAAGTCGAGGATTTTATCAGCAAGCTCTGGGATGACGAAGCTGGGCAACACATAAAGCTGGTGAGTCGCTTGAATTCCCCAAAAAAATCCACCAGATTTTTTGGGGAGCCTTTTTGGGGCCTGATAGGATCTTATAGGGGGTGTGGGGGTTGAATTTTTGGGGAATTGGTTGGTGAATCCACAGAAATGAGTTCAACGGAGAACTTCTTGTGCTTCAACAAGATTGTTGTTGCTGGTGTGTAGCCACTTGAGTCACTTTACAAGTCATGAAGTTATATCAAAGTCATCCCAGCTTTCTCGCCACAATGCTTGAGTCATGCCAACAGTTGGATTTGGTTCCCAAGGCCTGAAGAAAACACAAAAAAACACCAGCCAAATGTGGGTGAATATCCCAGCACCATGGAGCATATGGGATAGATCGGATAGATCGGAGCGTTCGGAACGTGGCTTTCCCTTACCAGTTTTTTCCATTGATGATGTCACTTGTCATCTTTAGGGCTTCCCACATGGTGGAACTTTGCAATCCCTTGGGTAATAACCACGGGTGCTGCCTCCTTGCCTCAATTGAGGCCCCGTTAGTTCCACTGTAACCTGAGGACCTATAGGACCTATAGGACCCATCAAGGTGTGTTAGGAGACGCCGGCCGTTGGTAAAAAATGGAAAAAATGGAAATGGAGCTTTGTCAACCATGGACGCGGCACTCCTGGACCTATCATGGCCATGATCGTTTCTGGTTGGTTTCAGACATGCTGTCCATTCAGGAACCAGCTGTTGGATCCCGATCACCCGATCCAAAAGGATGGTTTGGAGATGGATTGGAACCACCAAAGTTGTTGTTTTTCCTCTTTTTGAGCTGAAAGATTGGAAACATCACCTCAAAGACTCAACTTTCTAGCAGGATAGTGGCTTTTGTCAGGATTCAGATGGCTTTCGGTCAAGCCCAAACAATGGGTCCCATTACATCATCACAGGTCGGATTTTCCAAGATGAAAAGATGCTTTGTGGCACAGTGCCATTGATCCAACTTGGACTTCTTGCGCTTCTTTTTTGGCGCAGTGGCCATGGTGGCCATGTCTTTTGAAACAGGCCTGCAGCTACCTGGCAGCTGCAAGAATCCCAGTTCGAACTGGATCCATTCCATTGGGGTTTCCCGGAAACACCCATCAAAGTCGATAGTTCAGACATGTTCAGACCTAAAAAATGACCCTTGCTTTTTCTGGTAGCTTACGCGATTCATGATAGTCAGTTCTTTTTCACAGCAAAGAGTAAAACATAACTTCTCAGGCGTACCTTGCCAAAGACCAACAGGCTTTCTGTTTCTTTTGTGCGTTTTTTTTTTAAGCTGGAAGAAAACTGAATCGGAACTATGGACCAGCCAAGGCTAAACAGTTTCAGCTATCAAAGTTTGGAAGAATTAACCCTACCTGTAGATAGTGCCACTTTATTTTGGAAGAATTGCGCAGCCCACGCATTCGTATAGCAAAAAAAGGGGTTCTGGGCCGCCAAGCATAAGCCTACCATGTGTTGAAAAGCGCTACCCACTAGTGGATTCAGGAATGTTTGTAGATGCCTCCAAGTCAGATGGCGACCCAGCACACTGGGAGGGATTTCAGCGCCAAGAACAAGAAAGACGGACGCGCACTCTTACACTTACACGAATCCGAGTTGTAGCACTTGCAAGCTATGGCTGCCGTTTCTCTTCGAAGGACATTGAAGGCTGATGACAAGAGCCTAACAATTGCCAAGAGGGTCACCTGCAAACTTCGGCCAGTTTCGCGCTTCGCTTGCCCCATCTTTCCGAGCTGTGAACTTGGGATCCAGCAACAAAATGCCTCGCTCTGCCAAGGATTGGAGGACCTGCGTTTCACTATCAGGGCTGCATGGCGCCCCACTGCTGATCTCACTTTGCCGGTGCTTTCTGGCTGGCTTGGAAAACACATTAGGTCTTGTGGGTTGGTTTGGGTGTTCGGACTACCCTTTATGTCATCTTTCCAGGGACGTGCCTTGCACGATGCGCGAAATCATTGCCGTGGAGCGTCGCAGAATCACATGCCAGTGCTGCCGGTAGAAAAATTGAGTGGGGTCAGCAGCAAAACCACGTTTAAAACGATGATGATTTCAAATGATTTTGCCAGTTTTGGGAGCAATGTTTTTTGTGTGCATTCTTTTTTTTTGAAGGCATCGGTTTCAGCAGAAGCAATAACCATGACGTAGGGCTCGGACTTTGCAAATTGTGATTGCCAAAAAGTTGTTGCCTACCATGGGTTGTTTGCCGCATCCTCCTCTCTATCGTGCAGGAGCCCTTGGGCAGGTAAGTGTTTCCAAAACTGAACTTACCAAATTTTTACATCTGTTTCTTGGTACCCGCGCCCCATTTTTACAAGTTCATTCCCACCAATAATCTCCTACCATCATCAGCCAACCAGGGGTGTCTTCGCAGCCGCGTCTTCGCAGCGTTGGGCACAGATTGACCGCGGTGCGGCCGGACGTCATGCCGTGGGAGCGGTGCCGATGGCTGGCCCTGGCCACGGTTCTCACAGTGGGCTCGGTTTCCGGCGCCGCGCAGCGACTGAAGAAACCGAGCGTTGGAGGTTTGAGTGGTGGGCCATGAAAGGTTTGGGGCTGGTGGAGATGCCAGGAAAACCCAAGCGGAATCCCAAGAAACAATATTGAAAAATCAGCACCAAATCTAACCACCAAATGATCATGGGTTGGATCATTGGATGGGTCACTGTTTGGCGGTCAAATTGTGCTAATATGGGCCACTATGTGTTTGATGAATTTTGATGTTTGTGATTATGTGATTTATGTTGAATATTCCTGGGTGGTCTTTGCACGTACTAATTTATAATCCCATCCCCCTAATATCGACTGCATCCATTTGGGTCCATGGTTGTTTCTTGGGGATTCCACAGGTCCACCATGGAGGGATGGTTATGTCATACTACCTGGAAGGAATTCCTCAATATTTGACGCAGGCAAGAGCGTTTATTTCCTGGTGACGGACCGCTTTGCCAGAAGTGGAGAGAACAAGGACCAGATCGATGTTTTTGGGCCATTTCTGTCAGGGGGACGGAGCAAAAAAGGAATATGTTCATTGCAACCAAGAGACGAAACGCAAGGCAATTTCAAAAAACATACAACCGCATAATTAACTAGTACTGAAACATGCCCATGTAGCTGTTGTTTTGGTTTCTGATGGTGTTCTTGCCCAAAGAGTGTCATCGTCCCCGGACCGACACCAAAACGTTTCATGGTTTTCAGTAGCTCAACCACCATGATTTGATAGGAAACACACCTTGGGAAATCCTCCAAATTTACCCTTTGGTTATTTAACAGTTTGCCATGGGAAATCACCATTTTCATAGGTACATCATCTATAAATGGGTCATTTTATGTCATTTTTTCCAGTTCGCTATGTTAGTCATGGGGTATTTTCAAAATCCAAATGGTTTCCAAGTTTCTGTGAAGGACGACTACGAGTTTTGCGATTTGGCCACTAAAGCAAATCCCTTGGAGGGAAATGGCGGCGCTTGGTGTAACGGCACGCTGCAAGGTGCCTGTGCCCAAATGTGCCGAGGGCTGGTAATCAAAAACGTTTAATATAGTGGTTAGTGATGGTTGGTAATGGTTTCTACTGGTAACTACTGTTTGGATATGTTTGGGGTATCCAATTTTCAGATTGTTCAGACCATATTAGGTGTTTCTTAAATTGGTGGATCCCCGCGTCACCATGGGTTTCAGTATGCTTCAATATTAAGTCATGGTATGTCATGGCCTAATTCAGTACTAAGTCATGGTCTACTTATGCCTAATCAATTTGGATGATGACGGGGGGACCCCCATGACTTAGGAAACCTCCGTATGTGTTCAATTTTTCGCCGTAAATTTCCGATACAGTTGGAGTCACAACTGCTCCAACTGCGGTGGGTGGCATGGGTTGACTATGACTAGGGTGTTACCCAGTTATGAGGGGGGCCGTTTTTGCAAGAGGTTCATGACTGTTTGGTGGTCGAAAGTTTCATGAATATCCAACTATTTAAGCCTGCACAATATCGGTTGGATTTGTTGAAATCATTCACCAGCTTGGTGAACCGTGAGACCTTGCACAATGGGAAAGAAGACATCAGGTTAGGATGCTGCATGTAGCTGCATCACCCATGAAAATCTAATAAATCCTACACTTAGATGACTCCACTCATCTTTGATCATCAATTGATGAGTCGAAAAAATCGTGACCATAGATTCCATAGATCCCACCTTCACATCTGAGCCAGGTAGACCCCCAAGTGATTGACATCCCAAAAGTCTTCCGTGAATCGCGTGAAACTTCTCATTTCGGTTTCACCCAACCCTTGTTCTTCCAAGATATCAACTTTTAAGGGGGATCATCCCATTTGTTTCCATTTGTTGTGTTCATGAAACGTACCCGTTCCGGTTGAAACGAATTGCAATGACAACGCTTTGCAGGTACTCGATCTTCAGTATTGTGCATCAACTCCCCATTTCGTTGACTATGGTGCCCATTCAAATCGTGCTGTAAGCCAACAAAACAGACGTCTGAGCAGTATTCCAAACCCCTGTTGATTGATGATTATATTGGATTATACTATCCAATATATTGGGGATGCTCAGAGTCCACTTTCCTAAATTCTTTTAAGATATGTTAACATGTACATGACATGTACCCTCTGGTAAACTAACATAGCTATGGAAAATCACAAATTGTAATGGGTAAATCAACTATAAATAGCCATTTTCAACAGCTATGTTAGTTTACCAGAGGTTTTTATCCAGTATAGACTGGCGACACGGGGGGGGTTGAATGGCCCTGCTCATTTTTGGCCTGAAAGAACATGGAGAACATGCTTTAACGATTTGGACTGCATGTTTCAACCCGATGAAACCATCTTGCAACGCCATGCCCCGTTCATATTAAGATGTTTGTTACCCCTTGGTAATTTAGCATAGCCATAGAAAATGAAGAAACATGGTGAGTTTAGTAGGTAAACCATCTAAAAATTGCAATTTTCCATAAGCAAACTGTTAATTTATTGGCGGGTAGGTAGAAGATATGACGGAATCAAAAAGCGACTTCAACGATTTGTTTTTCCCTAAAACGAAGGATCCCCAAGTCATCATGGGTTTCAATACTTAGTTACTAAGTCATGGTCTAAAATGAATTTGGATGATGACTGGGGGACCTCCAACTTTTTAAAAATGTTCGGAAAGCTCCTTAAATCTTCCAATATTCCAATCTTTCTATCCAGTGGTTAGGAGGGAGCTAAGGAGCTAGGGGTATTCATATTCCCTATATATTCCCTATTCAATGGGGAGCCAAGGAGCTACTTAGAGTTTCCGAACCATCAAATAGTCTTCCTCAGGTGTTGATGATTTTGACTGGGGGGACCTTCATTTTTTTAAAAAATAGGCAAGCTTCTTAAATCTTCCGGTCACTTCAGCTTACTTGTGCCAAAAACGTAGGGAATGTTCGGGAATGATCCACTGGCTAACTATCAATCTACTATCAATAATCCCTTGCAACCCATCCAGCAACCCATCCAGCAACCCTTCTAAACCTAAGCTACGTTTAGCACCAGTTGATCCACTGGCTAACTATCAATTTCATAATCCCAGCAAGCCACCCATCAACCCAGTGGAATCCAGTGGATGTCCAGGTGTGATCGATAAGTTGGACTACATCCAGGGCATGGGTTTCGACTGCATTTGGATCACACCTGTGGTGAAGTCTCTGGACTACACGGGCTACTTCGCCGAGGATTTTCTTTGATGATTTCCCCATGGTTTTCAGGGAAGATTCCTGGGAATTTTCTGGGAAAACCATGGGAATTTCATGGGATTAATGGGTGTTTATATGGATTTATATGGATTTATATGGGATAACCATGGGATTTATATGGGATTACTGGAAAATTTAACTGGAAGCTTAATGATTGTTTCGTTGGATAACCATATGGGATTTTCATGGACTTTGACGGGATGATACTGAGATTTTGCGCCTCTGGTAAGAGTTTGCTATTGAACATGGCCCTTTATAGTTGATTTACCTGTTGTAAGTGATGAATGTCCCTATAGGGTGAAGTTTACCAGGCGGGGTATGCGTTTTTTGCGGTTTGTTTGTTTAAGAGGATTTCACAGGTGTTTGATATCATTCTGTTGGTTACCCTCTGGCAAACATACAAAAAACTATGGAATATCACCATTTTTAATAGGTAAATCAACTATAAATGTGCCATTTTCAATAGTTTTCGGTATGTTTACCAGAGGGTACCTACACTTAGTGATTCAAATGCATATAACAATTGGATCATTCATCATGACTAATAGTCAGTCAGGGCTTGGATAGGTCAAAAAATGACGGAAGCGCGCGGCTCTTCACTTCAAAGCAGTTCTGTTGTTGCATGTGTTTTATTACCCATGTGGGGCAAAATATTGTTGAGTCAAACCCATTCCCCGATGATCCCGTTTAGGGGATATTGCCTAAAGTTTGGGTCAAGCCTGCATAGCCTTTGCACATGCAAAGTAGCTAAAATTTTTAGGTAGGTACCTGACATATCCTTTGACTATTCCTGTTTGGTGCCGAGAACTAAGATATACCTACGGTATCAGCAAACTCAGCGGGCTGGGTGATTCAATCTTAGGATGTTCCAGTTCCATTGGTCCACATTTTGGCTTCCAAGATCTCTGGCCTGTGCAGGACTTTTTTGCGGTTGATCCACATTTGGGAACGAAAGAGACGTTGAAGGATCTTTCCGCGAAACTTCACGAACGTCGGCTGTGGCGATTTAGCAAAATGTCCGCCTTTTTTTTTGGTCAGGTCGTTCAGGACAACTTCTAATTGGTGGTTGGGGCCGGTAAGGAGTCACCATCCCAAAAAAAACAAGGATACCCTCGGATCTACTGAGCATTGTAATTTTGGTAAAGCAATATTATAAACTTTATAAACCACCCAGATGGATGGTTGAAATCCCACCCATAAAAATTGCTAAATTTAAGGGATCGTGGATCCAATTGCTCTACTAACATTCCTGAGATTTCCCCAACCATATGATCAACTTTTGCAGCCTCAGAATTTACAGCTGGGGCATGCGGGGTTGTCTCAAAATGTGAAACCTCCAGATCCTCCCACTATGGGTGAATTGGGGTCAGTATCCGAATTAAGGTCACCAAATGATTGGCAATTCACGGCCATTCTTTTGAAACAGGGGTTAGATATCCGAATTTGCAGAAATATGGATGAATTCTACAGACTCATACCATCCCATAGCCACAGGAAATGAGACCAACTCGAATCCACCTCGGTTCAATGACTCATTTCAGGATCCTGAAATGGAGGTACTGTACCATATAAGGCAATATTTTCTGGGGATATTCCCTTACATAGGCCTTACATAGGCCTTATATATGGTAGGTATCTCCAATTTAGGTTCCTGAAATGGCCATTGATCCACCTCTGTGTTTTGTTGGGCTTTAGGTCACATGTGTTTGATCATCGACATCGTGGCGAACCACGTGCGACAGATGACGGTGCAACCGGACTGGACGCCAACGGCGACGAAGACCTATTTGGGACCAAGGGGGATCAACCCCTTTGATCAGGATGAGCCTTGGGGCATAACTTGGATATTACCCTCCGGGAAATTAACAGTTCGACCCTGCCAGCCATCGGGGTTGGAAGATTACTGTAGTTTCCACTAAAAATGGGTGATTTTCAGGATCTATGTTAATTTACTAGAGGGTAACTATGAATGAATCGCCAAAAAAATATCACTGTTGGTTGGACCCCGAAAAGACATCAATAATCAGGACCAGGATGAAGGATGACTAAGGTAAAGCCCCTGACTGATCAGCTGTTTCTCATGTTCAATCCAAGGTCCGCATTAAGTGGTTACCAAATTGGGTTCACCATTTCTAATTGGAATGGAAGGGGATACATGCTTGGCTTGCAGATAATGAACATCCAGATTAACTGAATGTGCGAAATCACCAGATGATCAGAGTGGAGAGGTTGAGATGTCTTCAGAGGGCGGAATCTTGCCATCATTCTTCCTGGTGGAGGATATTTGCGTCGAATCAAGTGGAATACTATTTTTTACACGACGTTTGGTGACTAGAAAATGACAACATATCTGATAATTTAACACACCCGTAACCCCTGCATATGTTCTTCCAGTGTAATTTTGGAAGGTAAAGACTGCAGTATGCAAAAAAATCGGTCCATTATTGAACACCTTTCAAACTTCCAAAAAAAATGGTGGCCCTGAAATCCAGTACTGGTTGGTGGTTTTAAACATTCTTTATTTTCCATATACCCTCTGGTAAATAAACATGGACCCTGAAAATAGCTTAGTTTTAATGGAAACTAATCTTCCAACCCCTATCTGCCAGGGTCTATGTTAATTTACCAGAGGGCATTGGAAATTTCATCATCCCAACTGACCAACTCCATCATTTTTCAGAGGGGTGGCTCAGCCACCAACCAGGCTTAAAATGCTATTGGCATGTCATGTTCATGTTTCCTTCGTGAACTTGCTCAGCCGGATGGATTACCATCTGCTAAACATACCAAAAAACTATTGAAAATCGCAATTTTCAATGGGTAAATCAACTATAAACTGTCATTTTCAATAGTTATTTTGACATAACCCATTTTTAATGGGTAAATCCACTATTTCGACTGGGCCATTTTCTATGTCGCAAACTGTAACAAATTACCAGAGGGAAATTTCGATGTCACTCAGGAATATTTTCACACCTACGCCAAATCGCCGGGAATTTCCTTCGAACAATACGTCATGGGAGGAGTCGCCCAGGCTGCAGCCATGGGGAGAATGGTGGGATTCTGCCACAGAGATTGGATTTGACCAGGAAAAACATGCCATTTAGCACTTAAAAATGCATTTTTTCCAGCAGAAATTGCAAAACTGCTTGGGGTTTGGCATGTTTTGCCACGAACCACACAATTTGACCCAAAAAAAGTGTTCCCTGGAAATGCTGTTTTCTATTTGGAGCAACTGCCCGGCAGGCGTCGACAAGTCAAGGTAGCGATGAAGTGCTGTCAAAACGAGTTTCTTGATGTTTCATCAAGATGTCAGGGCAACCACTGGGACTTGGAGGGTTCACTGGTTCCAGCTGGGGGGGGGTTCCATAAATTGTTCTTTTTGCAGGGAAAAGCCATGGTTAAATATCTATGAACCATCATTTAATGGGATTTATAACGATCTAATGGGATTTGATAGTGATTCAATGAGATATTAATGGTATATACCCTTTGGTAATTTGTTTCCATAAGTTGGGGTAATGATGGGTTAAATACCTATGGTTAAGGATGGTTAATGATTGTTTCCATAATGGTTAAGAATGATCAATATGAAATATTCACATGTATATAATTATGGTCGGTTTCCATAAATGGGGGTACCCCAATAGATGGTTGGTTTACAATCGAAAATCTTATCAAAATTGATGATTGATGGGTCTTTACCCTTTGGTAAACTGACACAACTATGGAAAATAATCATTTCTACCGGGTAAATCAACTATATTCAACTATAAATGGCAATTTTCAATAGTTGTTTGTATGTTTACCAGAGGGTAACATATGAAAGTGTCCTAAGATTTTTCGGGTTACCCCCACATCACCCAAGCTGACCCGGGTTGTGGTTGTTGATGGTTAAGATTCATCTCTAAACAGCGGAAAAAATATGTGAAAGTCACAACACCGCAATGTGAAGCTCCCAAAAGAATGAACATTTCTAAAAACAAAAACAAATTACTATTTGGGGGGTAGGGAGCGGTTCGGAGCGTTGTGTTTTCACATTGAATAAATAGTGAAGCCGATAACTTTTAAGAGCTTACCAACTACGTGACAGGATATAAATATAGTCGTTATATATATATCCATGCTATATATGTTACCCTCTGGTTATGTCAAAATAGCTATTGAAAATGGTCATTTATAGTTGATTCACCCATTAAAAATGGTGATTTCCCACAGTTATATTAGTTTAGCAGAGGGTACTGTAATTGATGGTGTTTCTAAACCAACCAATTGCAGGGCTCCACCATTGTAGATATCTCCATAGAAGGTGAGGCCCAGGAACCCTCCCAGTAAAGCTTCCGAAGTGACCAAGGATGGTTTCTGGGCTCAACCTGTTGGGGCGGGCTCGGTTTCTTTTTTTATATTTTAATCTGACCCCATGAATGGGGACGTTTACAAACCAGCTACCCTCTGGTAAACTAACATAGCTATTGAAAATGGCCATTTATAGTGAGTTTTCCCATTAAAAATTGTGATTTTCCATAGCTATGTTAATTTACCAGAGGGTACCCTCCTCGGTAGTCAAACGTGGCTTAGCATGGAGAGTCAATCAACGGGAAATTCAGGATCCAATTGATGGAGGTACGTAAACGTACCATATTTCAGGCCATATTTTGTGGGGATATTCCCTGAAATTTAGGCCTCAAAAATAGGCCTTATATATGGTAGGTAGCTCCAATCAATCGGTTCCTGAGTCATGGCCATTGAGTCAACCATTGAGTTCAATGCTTTCTCAGCCACAAAGCTCCATTTTCCCCCGCGATTTCCCATGTTCAGCCACGTTTGATTACACGGAAACCTGGTTGGTGGTTTGGAACATGAATTTTATGACTTTCCATAATATATGGGATGTCATCCTTCCCATTGACGAACTCATATTTTTCAAGATGGTTAGGTCAACCACCAACCAGTATAGATTAGTGATTCATGAATGATTCTCAAAAAAATCCAGATATATCCAGATCAATCCAGCACTTTTTCCCGGTTCAACCTTCAATTAAGAACCACCCCATGAAGGGAAATTATCCCAGCACCAGCCGCTTGATGTGTTTTTTTGTTTGAGGTTAAAGCTGGCATTACCAAGTGAACCTCGGCAACAAGGGTTTGGTTCCAGAAATTGGGGCACCCCAAAACACAAAGTCATTGATTTCTGGGGGACAGGGTAATGTAAGTTATTAATAAGTAACTAGGCCCCTAGGCCCTTAGGCCAACAAAAATGCGCGATTTAAATGATTTAACCAACCAAAAATTGGTTTTGTGGCCATCAAAACTGGTGGGCGCTTGTGATGGGATGTAATGCAAATTTCTGATAAAGCATCAAGACCTCAGGGCTTAGCAAGGAGAATGATGACCCAAATGTCTATATTTCAGGTGAGTGAATCAATAGAGATTATCCAGATATGTTTCCCCATGAACTTTTCCAAGGATGATTAGGGGTCATTCATAGTTATACTTATAAGGAAACCTTCAGGTGCATCATTTTTAATGTGATATATACTAATATACTATCAACTTTGTGAGGTGTTACATCTATGGTGGTAAGTGAATAGTTTCCAATGTTCGTTGGTTGTGGTGCTATGTTGTACTAAACATTCCATTTTGGTGTGTAGAAACATTGTCGCAGTGACAGATTTGGCACATGGTTTTGGCCAGGCAGTGCCAGGCAGCCACAGTTTTCACTGGGCATTCAAGTGACCTCAGAACGTTTGCATTTTGACCTCTGATTTGGGGATGAAGTGACTTTTTGACGCCCTACCAATCAGTCAACCAATCTTCATGAATCCAGAGTTGAAAAAAATATCAGGTGATCATCAATGATAGGCCGCGAAGTATTTGCCAACATAGACTTCAGGTGCATGTTGCGATGCTTGCGATGACTCATTTCTGGTGTTCCCGGATGATCCCGGATGTGGTTTCATCGTCAAACTCGGTCCTGCAAAATGGTTTGCAGTTAACCCCTACAAAAGGCCAGCATCTATCAACATGTCTCGAAATCCATGCCTTTCCAATGCCTATCAGACCTATCAAGGCCTTAACTTTGGATACTCTCTCCAAATCAACAACTTGCCTCAAGTTATAAGTTTGGGAAGGATCAAGATGGATTACCATTTGTTTATTTAACGTAGCTATGGAAAATGACCATGTTGAGGTAAATCACCAAAATCATCCATTTTTTCGCCCAATTTTCCATAGCAAACTCTTACATAAGAGGGTCATGTTTCACCCCACACCCGAAGGGGACATCCCAACGTGTGCAACGTGGAATCAGGTGGGCCAACGCATCCCAATTTAACCGAGTGCAACTGTTTTCCTGGCAACTTTGGCCCGGTACCTTGCCGAAAGAGCGGAGCTTTGCATAGCTCCCAGGGCGGGTGGCGGAGTGTGGATGATTTTTCGATGATTTTGGGACTGAGATAAGCTGAGTTTTAATAAAAATCTTGGGTGCTTTGGATGATTATTTGTTTAAAAACATAACGTTTGACTGATCCCAAAGTTGGATGGTTTTGTCCAAAAGTTTGGCCAAGATTTAGGTGGTCGAAAAAAATGGCCACAGCTGCTTCAAACATGGAAAGTCACGACTTTCCAGCTCAAGATATCACCAAAACCAGGGAACAAAAAAACATTGGCTTCAAGCGTTCCATAGCTCTTCTGAGGCGTGTCCGGGTGCAAACGAGAAACTCCAAGTGGAGGGTTGGTTTGGCCAGTTGGCCGACCTGAATCAGGACGAACAACAAATCGCAGTTTCTCTGGTTTTCCGATGGCCGAGTTGAGCACAGCACAGCAAAATTGATATGGAAAACCCCATCCCCTTTAAAAAAAAACGCCAGAAACCATGGTGGATGTAGGGGATTTCCACATACCTGGGACCTTTTTGAATGTGTGCGTTAGCAGGGCACGGCATGGCACGGCCGCAGGACCATCCCTTTGTTCGCCAGAAACTCCTTGAGTACGTGCAGTACCTGGTGGCGGAATTCGATGTAGACGCCTTCAGGCCATCGATCTTTTAAAACATTCCGAAGCCATGGATGATTTACCCTCTGGTTACCCTCTGGTAATTTAACGTAGCTATTGAAAATGGCAATTATAGTGGATTTTTCCATTGAAAATGGTGATTTTCCATAGTTATGTTAGTTTACCAGAGGGTATTTAACATAGCCATGGAAAATCCCTAATAAATTGAGGTTTCTAGCTGGGAAAAATTCTATAAATGGACCATTTTCCGTGGCTATGTTAGTCATAACCAGGTTGGGTATATTGATTTATGGGAGCTATAGAAGTCATATAAGCCATATAAGTATGATACACATACAATATCACTATATCACTGGATTTTTGAATGCCACATGGTTTATAGAGTTTATGGATGTTGATGGGTGATATAACTTGATGGTCCGCTCCTCGTGAAGAAGTTTTGCGGACCAACTTTGGAATGGGATTGCAGGATAGGTCATCAATCCAGCAACAAATAGCAGGAGGTGGAAAATGTCCTAAGGGAACATCACCCAATAATCGCTTAGGACACCACTGCAGTGATGATTAAAAAACATTAGATGCAAATCTCAAATATTTTTTTGCAGTGATTCCAGTGGACATTGGCAAATACCCTAACTATTGGATATACCCTCTGGTTATTTAACATAGCCATGGTATAGATGGCCCATAGAAATAGATGGTTTACCTATTAATAGCATGGTGATTTTCCATGGCAAACTGTTAAATAACCAGATGGTAGAATCACTGCAATTTCCACCAGATACTTTTGCGAGTGATGTGGGATTGTTTCAAAGGGAACCTCTTTTCCGCAAAAACCCATGGACTTTTCCCATGGAATCTGGCGGCCTGGCGGTTTCCGTGAAGATGTTCCCTTTTCCCCAATCCGTTGAAATATGGAGGTTTCCAGTAATGGGGTTACCCCCAAATCATCCATTTTCATAGGATTTTTCATTATAAACCATCCATTTTGGAGGTCCCTCCATTTATGGCAACCCCCATATATAGATGTCCTGTGCGCTTTGGTTGATGTATCTTCTTGGGGAAGAGGTGATGGATGGGTTCCAAAAGCTGGAAGGTTTAGATATTTGGGACAATAGGTCTTCCAATTTTTTAGTGGTGGGTTGATTAACAGAAGATTTCTCGCAATGAAAACAAACCAACGGGTAGATTGTAGTGATAAAAGAAAGCAAACCGGCCCCTCTATTTGTCCTAAAAAGACCATGTGAAGGTTTCTGAAAATGAGGAAAATCCCACCAAACCATCCAAATAATTGAATGTCGTTGATTTACCCATTAAACATGGGGGATTTTCCCATAGTTGGGTCAGTTTACCAGAGGGTAAAGACCCACCAAATCATCATTTTTGGAGTGGCCCAAATTCCATGAAAAAAAAACCTCCAGCTATTGGGGATCCACCTGTGAAAGGCTTGACACGGCCATCTACATGCCCAAGGATTTTTTGACACTGGGACTTGGAGGATACACTGGTTCCAGCTGGAAATGGTTCCATAAATTGGGTTTGTTTGATGGTTAATAATCAATATCTATGGCAGGGTAAAGTCATGGCTAAATATCTATTAACCATCATTTAATGGGATTTATTTCATGATCTACTGGGATTTTATAGTGATTCAATGGGGTATTCATGGTATATACCCTCTGGGAATCTGGTTCCATAAATGGATCAATAGATACTGGATTCACTGGAAGCTTAATTTATTGGACAGTCCAGTCAAATGGACAGTGAGTCACACAAGTATCTTCCAGTGAATCCAGGCAAATGGATAGTGATTCTCTTCCAATCCTCCGATTTCAGATGCAATTTTGTGAAGTTACTTTCATATTAGGATTCTTCGAATTTCTTAAATGGATTCACTGTCCCTTTTTTGTTGCTTGACTGGAGGTTGCTCTTCTAGCATGTTTCATTTGTTCTTTTTTTCCAACAAACAACTAAGAAAGAAACACGTGTTGTGAAAACTGGATGGTTTCCATACGGTTTCATGTGTTGTTTTTGTACCCAACATGGGCCATATCCTTGTGGATGCACTACTGCAGTACGACCTGGAGCCCGGTACCTTCCAACATTGCCCAAGGAAAGACTTGCAAGATGCGGCCGGCGTGGATATTCTGGGGGAGACCACTGTGAACAACATCAGTTTCTCAACGACGGGAGATGCCAACAGTTTCGCAGGGTTCAGTTGAAATCGAGTGGTTCCAAGTTTGAAACAGATATTTTGGTGATTTACCTGGTGATTTTCCATAGTTGTGTTGATTTTGCCTTGAATGTCAGGTAAATATCATCACCGTCCTCGAAGCACTGTTCTATATGTTTGTTGGGGTTACTATAAACCATACCTGGTGTTCAAATGAGTACCATACAGGACTCCAGGACCCTTGAAATTGGGTTTATTATCGGAAAATGGTAAACTATGGATTTCTATGGGATTTCTAGGTGAACCCCTAAAATTCAGAGGATTCGTATACACTAAGGATCTCTTTCTCTGCTCTAAACATTGATAACTTGGGATCCCATCCTGTCCAAAACTTGACACTGCCACCGCTCCATCCATCAGTGGTTCAAGGTGGTTTTTCCGGGAGAGTCTGAAGGATAAATCCAGCTTTTGGTGCCGAAAATGCGTAAAAAGCATTGTTGTTCACTACCAGAATCCAATTTTCATGGTAAAAACCATAGATTTCTGCCAATTTTCATGGTAAAAACCATGGATTTCTACCAATTTTCATGGTAAAAACCATGGATTTCTACCAATTCATGATAAAAGCCATGGATTTCTGCCCAACAAAAATCCTCCGAAGGCTACCACGCGGGATTTCAGCATGACGGCCTCACCGGGCTGTTGAACTTTCCTGCCTTTTATCAGTGCCTGGGGTGGAAAATCTGCGGGTTGCCTGGATGTGTTGGGGATGTTTTTCTGGGGTTTCCATTGATTTAGAATTACCTCTAAATCATTGATTTTGAATAGGAGTTACCTCTAAATCATTGATTTTGAATAGGAGTTACCCCTAAATCATTCATTTGGAATAGGATTTTCCATAAACCAAGCATTTTGGGGATGGCCCATTTATGAAAAGTCCTTGTCAGATTGGATTCGAGGAGTCTATGATGTGTTATTTTCCGAATTGGACAGTGCTTGGGGAATCTTTTTTCAGGTTCCTTCAGCAATTTTCAGAGGGATGTGACCGGCAAAATTGAGGATACTAACTTCATGGGATAGTTGATAGCATGTAAACAAACAACATACCCTCTGGTAAACTAACAGTTTGCTATTGAACATTGCCATTTATAGTGAGTTTTCCCATTAAAAGTGGTGATTTACCATAGTTATGTTAGTTTACCAGAGGGTAGTTCAGACACTAATTTGGGTAAATTTAAATTATAACGACCGAGCCCTGCGACCGAGCCCTGGAATCATGGTTTCTATAGGGAAATCACCCCCAAATGGCCGCAAGATTCAGGTTAGTGACATATTATAATTTACCCAGACAGATGATATGAAAGGGGAGTAAAACTTCGATGAAATGACATATTTGCCCACCAGAATATGGGAATATGTTTGACATTTACCCACAAACATTAAACATAAATGATATATTTACCCACCAGAACGGTGGCATTGAGATATTTACCAACCAGGGATCTAACCAACTCTCAGCTCTGGGGATATCTATACGCCACAATGGGAACCAATGGGAAATTAAGGGGAGAATTAATGAGATATTTAACCAACATAGTTACCCTCTGGTAAACATACAAAAAACTATGGAAAGATCCACCATTTTCAATCGGTAAATCCACGAACTAAATCACCATTTTCAATAGCTATGTTAAATTACCAGAGGATAACCAACCTAGTTAAGATCCCATTTAATTGTTTGATACCCAAAAACGCCATGAAATCAGTGAAAGCATATATAGTTGCGCAACTATCACCAATTCTACCTCTACCATTTGTTTTTCTTAAATCAGTTTGCTATGGATGGCCCGCTAAGTTTGGCATGTTTGATTCAAGGACTGGTGGATTCAAGTCATTCGGGACCATTTTTCAGGAAAAAGTGTGATGATTTAGAGGCAAATCCTGTGGAAACCCTTCCCTTTCCACTAGGCACAAAGGTTTCCTGTGAAAATTCTCTTGATGCCAATCCGATAACAGATGGTTTAGATGGAAAACCGTGGGCTCGACATTGATTTGGAGGGTACTTCATGATATCCAACGGTTTTCAATTGGGAGTTGCAGAATTCACATACCTTGCAGCATCAGAGACCTAGTGGCTCTGCGAGTTCCAGTGATGATTTGTTTCTGTTTGAATCACCGCATTTCATACGTGGAAATGAGTGAAAACCACAGAAATTAGCGTATTTCTGGGCCATGGAAATGATGAACATGCATAAACCCCACCTATTTCGATGATAGGGTACCAGGATTTTCACTCTTGCCCAGAAAACATTGAAGCCTAGTGAATTTTGGTCGGCTCTGAAATGGGAAAAAACACGGACCCGAGACATAAAAAATCAACTTCTTGATCCTGAAAGTTTGATTTTTGCCACTTTTAGCCATGATTTTCAGTTCCGTCCCCAGAGGTAAATCAAACATGTCTGGAAAATCCCGGACAGATGGACTTTTATGGCAAAATCATGGAACTAATTAAGGGATTGCCGGGAGTGTCCTTTGCCATTGAAGGGTAGGTTCACCTTGGAGCCGTTGGATGTTGGATGTTGCTGGGATGAAGGTACGTTCGTACCATATTTCAGGCCATATGAATTCTGGGGATATTCCCTGAAATTTAGTCCTCAAAAATAGGCCTTATGTATGGTAGGTACCTCCAATTAGTTTCGGATCCTGAGTCATGGCCATTGATCAACTGCATCATCCATGGTGCATCTCTGATGCTGACAGGATTCATGGGAGCTTCTGCCAGTACCACTTGGGAGGCCAGCGATGTCACCGGATATGCCCATGTGAATGTGGCCTGAGAATGGGATGTCTAACTTCACAACTTGGAAGAAATCGAGATAAATCTGATTGGTGGTTTGGAACCATGGAATTTTATGACTTTCCATTCAGTTGGGAATGTCATCATCCCAAGTGACGAAGTCCATCATTTTTCAGAGGGGTAGGTCTACCACCAACCAGTATTATTACCATAATCATCCATTAATGGGTTATTTTAACTACCATCAAATCCCATCAAATCCCATCATTGTTGCAGTTTGTGGAACCTATCCATTATGGTATAACCATTTTCAAGGTCAACCACCAAGCAAATTGTGCGTGGAAGATCCACGTCCTTTTTGTTTGGTCAAGAATCTAATCCCCACGGGGCCATTGTTGCCATGGAAAATCGACATGCTCGGTGGCCCAATGTGATGGCACTGAAGTGGACAATCTGAGCCACTGCCCTACAGGATGATCTAGCTGGGGATGAAATCCTGTACTCAAACATGGCTAGCTGGGAAATGTTCCTATAACTTTCTAGGATTTTATGTTAAGACCATCTCTGGATGAGGTCCTTTTCCATTGCCATGTTTGATTAAAAGAGGTGACCCATGAGGTGCTTGGTTTTGTGATGTTCAGAACGGATTGAGCTGCCGTCAGGTGAATTGGGCAACTATCACTTGCAAGGAGAAACGTGGCAGTCACGCTGAGAAACCACCTGTGATATGAAAAAATGATGGAAGATGGAAATTCAACTTGCACGCTGCGAGGCTTTGTTGATGCTTTGGTTTTTGCTGGCAGGGATTGGCAGAAATTGTGATGTTCACCTTTGAACAAAACTACTCCAGTGTCATCAAGCATAGCGAGTCGCTAGGAAAACCCTTGGAAATGGAGGCGACTCGCTATGCCATGATCACTGGAGGGTAATCAGGGTGGTCATGCGCACTTCTAATTATAAGATGTTCTAAGTGTGTATATATATAAATAAATTATATATATATATTATATATAAATATTATATTATATATAGCTCTTGTTTTTTTTCAGGGATTATCCCAGCTCATGGGGGTTTACCATCACCATGGGAACCATTTCACAATTGTTCTTCAGCCCAACTGCACCCACAGCTAGGTCCTGAAACCACAGGAGCCTTCACACCTCAATTGCCGGACTTGCGCAACATGTCAGCGGTCATCGATTTTCAACAAGATTCGGGGCTGCTATGCTGAAAAATTGGGAAGGTGAAACGGTGAAACAAATCATCTCGTGAGTTTGGTGATATGGAGGTTTCCTAAACTGGGGATCCCCAAATCACCATAGGTTTCAACACTAAAAGGATCTAATTTTGGATGATTGGGGGTACCCCCATAGGAAACCTCCATATGTTGATGATATGTAGGTGGTATGTTGGTGATATGTTGGCGACATTCGGTTTTAAGTTCAATGTCAATCCGGAAAGCCTCTGACCCCTCAAACAGCGGGGCTGTAGGCGGAGCGAACCCTAAGTAGAAATCGGGGTTATGAACAGAATCCTGAAACTAAGGCCTTTATTTCTGGTGTCCCCAGGAAAGATGTAAGAAATGAGAAAACACTCGAAAACAGCATGGTTGTCTCTGCTCACATCCAGAGAAAAATCCCAACAAGATGATAAACAAAAAAAGATATCAGAAATCCAACTGCTATTTTACACATATTTTCCCATCATGTGTCCATCATATTTCCAGGTTTTTGTGACCTGGCCACGTCCTACACCTGACTCAACCCAGGTTATATTCAAACCTGGACTTATTGGGCAACTTTGTTGACAATCACGACGAGTTACTGGGAACAATGCCGCGGTGGGGTGAAGCCACTGGGGAAACGCCAGCAAAATGCAGATGACTTGGGTTTACCAAACATTACAGTTTACCAAGCATTACAGGATATATATATATATAATTATATATATAATTATTTATTATATATATATATATACATCTGGGTAAATTACAACGACCTCACTGCGACCGAGCCCTGGAATCATGGTTCATGAGAGGAATCATCCCAAAATGGCCTTATTTCAGGTAAGTGAATTACTATAATTTGCCCATATATATATATCAAAATAAACAATGTGCCAAACATTTAACCATCAATATCCATTATTTTTAACCATGAAGTATATATTTAAGCATTGTTAACATATTACATGAAAACCATTGTGTTAACCATTGTGCTAACCACTATGTAACCATATTTAACCATTATTGGCCGTCATTTACCGTTGGGAATCTATAAGCCATATGAATCCATTGGCAAATCGATGTGTTTTGCTGTCCAGCCCAAGCTGCAACAGCACCAGACACCAGGTTTGCGAGAATTGCCTACTACTGCCCGCGGCCTAGCCATTCAATCAGCTTCAGCTTCCACGCTGATCCAAGGTTGGAATTTCTTGGAAGAATTTTTCTTGAAAAAACAAGAAAACCAAATGAGCAGCTGCAAGACACCCAAATTTGTTGGTCGATGATTTTTGAGGGACTATACTACCTATACTACTCCTTATACTACCTGTCACTACCCTTTTTGTTCCAGGGGGATTTTTCGACCCATGAACTCCCTAGCCGCTGAAGCCCTGAACCCTTCGAGAAGTATGAACTGCTCAAATCGGAGAGGACTCGATGGATTTTTTCACGAAGCCATGGCACATGGAGAGTTCGTTGATTTACCGAACTTAAAGATGGTGATCTTCTATAGCAAACTGTTAGTTTACCAGAAAACATTATACTATCCAGGGGTCAGGTGGTAAGAAGCTATGATTATGGTGTCTTTATTCCTTTTTGAATGGGGAGCACATGCGGAGCTACTAGGAGTTTCCCAACCACATGATAACATACATGCTTTCCCGCAATTGGAATCGCAACAAACATCTTAACGAAAAGAAGTACATTGATGAAACATCATCCTCAACATCTTCAAGCTACCCATCCATCTATCATGCATATCATCAATCCTGTGGCAGCCCCAGAATCAGACCATCTATGGGAAGATGGAAACTGGAACCACTGGAACCCCCAATCAATCGGATGTTAAACACCTTGGTTTCCCTGATCAAATCTGCAGATTCTTGAATCAAAACGACATATAATATCATATACCCAACCTGGTTATGACTAACAGTTCGCCATGGTATAGATGGCCCATAGAAATAGATGATTTTCCCAGCTATGAACCTCCATTTATAATGGATATAGCTATTGTTAGTCATAACCAGAGGGTAATATGACTGAATGGCTTCCAGTCCATGGTTTCCAGACCCAATTGGAATTCAACTTGTTTGTTCAGAATGTTCAGATCATAGAATTGGATGATGGGAAAATTTACAGGAAAGACTTATATTTGATGGTAAAAACCATGGTTTCTTGTAGATTTTCCCTTAAACCAATCCATTGATCAGATGTTCATCGATCTTCCCTGAAACCCATCCCAGATCCTGTGGTCAGATAAGCAAACCAAACCACTCCTCCGCAACATCGAAGACTGAGGCGATCAAGATTCCTACCGTATCAAAAACGCCATGGCTGCCTGGCTTTAAGCTGATTTCTCGTGATTTTTGCCCAGAAAATCCGCCAAACTTGGGGAACCTATAGGGAATCTATAGCCCATAGGATCCATGTATGCTATATATGGTCACATTAACCATCAATATACCCCAAATGTTAGCATATATACCAGCACCATGGATCCGTCATGGGATAGGGAATCTACAGAGAATCCGCCAGGCTGCGTTGATGTTTGCTCGTGGGGTTCCCATCATCTACTATGGCACGGAGCAGGGCCTTGATGGACATCAGGCCAATGTTTTAGAGAGCCCTGGCTGGGATAGGGGGCATCATAGCCCTAACAAAAATGGTTGAAACGTTGTTTGCCGTGGAATCTGGTTGGTGGTTTGGAACATGAATTTGATTTTTCCATATATTGGGAATAATCATCCATTTTTCAAGGGGGTAGGTCAACCACCAACCAGTATTATTACCATAACCATCCATTAATTCAAAGTTAGAACCCATGGCATTTAAACTGGTTTTCAAACCAACAACCAGGAATTTAAGTTGGAATCGATGTGAAAACCAGTTTCCAATCGGAGGATTCAAAAAAAAACGAAAAGCTTCAATAAATAAACCATAAGCTTAACCATGATGTTATGGCGGGGATGAGTTGGGAAAAACGTGTAATGAATTCTTATGAATATGAGTTGGTTTATAAGCCCCAGTAACTATAGTTATAAGTACCATAAACCATAGGTATTGGAGTTATTTGCACCAACTTAGCTATCGAACGGGGGCCTCACATTGTATACCCTCTGGTTATGACTAACATAGCTAACTGGAAAATCCCCGAAATAAATGGAGGTTTCTAGCTGGGAAAATCATCTATTTCGATTAGGGCCATATTTTCCATGGCAAACTGTTAGTCATAACCAGGTTGGGTAATGCTCAGATTGGTGGAAATCAACCACCTTAGCTCTAAAATGAATAGTTAGCCTAGAGGAATCTAGCCGATGTCCAAAGTCAAGGGGGGGTGATCTAGCCGATGTTCATGGATTTTCCGTGGTGGTGTTTCATTTGTGGAAGGTGGTTGATAGGGAAATCATCCCCATCATAAGGTTGAGGATCGGTTGTGGAGCTACTCCAGTCATCGCGGGTCGCATTTTGCGAGAATCAGCACATGGCAGTGAAAGTAGTTGATGTTTTTTTCTTGTTACCAGAACTTGAGAACCTGAAATACTGTGGAGAAATATTATAGTTGGCGACTATGGGTGACTATGAAAGCTTGTAAATAATGAGAGGAAGGTAATGGGGTAAACCATCGCTGTTGCAAGATTCGGCTTGTTTTGCCAACTAAAAAAAAACTAGCAGCTGTGACTTGTCATGAGAAGCATAAGATCATGAGAATCACACATTTTACCATGGCAGCAACCACGAACCAACTGTGCTTGTGCCCTTGGAAATCGGAACAGGAGCTACTTTTTGATCTAAGGAAAGCCGCGTTACAAAAGGAGATGCAGGCAGATAAAGGCGCCTAGGGAGAAAATGCCAGATCTGTCACGGAAGTTCAAGTCGAAAATTTCCTACAGGTCCTACACCTCCTTTGGTGCATCCGGAAAAATTGCTTGATTCCACACCTGTTTTTGCTCCAGCTGGAGGCGGTTGGCAAGCTGATTTTGTTTCAGGAGTTTGGCCTATGAGATCCTATCACCATCACCAGATATCACCAGAAAATCACCAGAAACACGACACGAATCCTGGTTGGTGGTTTGGAACCATGGAATTTTATGACTGTCCATTCAGTTGGGAATGTCATCATCCCAACTGACTTTAAGTCCATCATTTTTCAAGATGGTTATTGCACCACCAACCAGATCATGTTGCCCCAATCATCAATGGATTGGTTTAAGGGAAAATCTACAGGAAACCATAGATTTTCTCATGAAATATGGGGTTTTCCTGTAAAATTTCCCTGAAACCCATCCATTGAAATCAACTTCTGATAAATTCAATGGATTCTCAGGGCCGATTTTTTTTGAGACGAATTCAGCTCTGAAATCATCATCATTCCAGCGCAGGTCAAGCCTATGTACGCGAATCGCTGTGGCAGACCAGGCCAAGTTTTTTGAGCCCATTCCAGCCCTTTTTATGGCAATTTTCCACCCAACTGTTGGTTTTTCTGAATTGTTTTGGAGGGTACCAGGTTATAACATCTTACCCATTCCCCCAGTATATTGGGGACAATTGGGGATGGTCAAACTCAGCTGTGGATCATTTCAAACCTTGTCACTTTTCAGAACCGATCTCCCAAATTTCGTTTTACGGCAGCCTGGAGTCAAGTTTTTACAGGTCTAGGTCTGGATGATCAAGTCTGGTTGGTCATGTGACCAGAGAGATGTTGATGAACCGTGACATGCTCAGTAGCAAGGCAGATGCATAATTATAAAATTCACCGTGAGCATCCCTGAGTATTGAATCATAGACCCTTGGCTCATCAATAATGTGAGGAATACCCTTTGGTAAACATACAAAAAGCTATTGAAAATTGCCATGTATAGTGGATTGACCCATTAAAGACGGTGATTTTCCAGTTTGCAAAATGTTACTTTACCAGAGGGTGCAAAAACAAGGAATCGAAATTCTATTCCCACAAGATCTCCCTTCTAGGAGATGCCGCTCCAGGTATAATACTTCAACCTGGCAATATCAGTACATCAAGTTGCTGCCTCTCGGCAGATCTGGGGGGAATCATCTTGCGTTTTTTGTTGGCAGAAAAATGTTACCCTGTGGTAAACATACAAAAAACTATATAGAAAGATCCACCATTTTTAAGTTCGGTAAATCAACTATTTCGATTATAGGGCAATTTTCAATAGTTTTTTGTATGTTTACCAGGCATTATTGGTTTGACGGTTTGACCCCTGGTGTTGGATCATTTTTGTCATGGGAAAAGCTGCGGATTTTCACCAAAATCCTCGAGAAATAGCGGCATTGAACGGAACGCCGAGGTTCAAAGGAGTTACCTATTCGCCAGCCATGGAGGATCGAGATTTGAATCATCTGGGTAAATTATAACGACCTCACCGCGACCTCACTGGAATCATGGTTAGTAAGGAACATAATCACCAAATGGCCTTAATTCAGGTTAGTGAAATAGTATAATTTACCCAGAATCATTGTCCATCTCATTTTTCAACTATTTTGGATCATGTTCATAGAATCTTCAAGTTGAAAATGATAATTAATTTACTGAACTTGAAGATTCTATGAAAATGATCAACTACAAAACAGTCGTTGGAAGGTCTATTAGTGGTGGATAAATTGCACGTCTGACGGATTCTTTGGATGTCTCATCTCCAGGGTTGGAACGAACAGCTGAGGAACGAGAAACGAAAAGAGTTGGGCCTTGCAACGAGCGGCATCAAATTCAAAGGAGTGGCATCCACAGGCGGTTTTTTGTTTCGGATTCATCCTGATTCACCATAATTCACCATGAAATGTGGCCATTCTTCGTGAAAAAACGTTGAGAATGGGAAACTCTGAATGGGGCTATTTATAATGAGAGAAATTGGGCAGTTTGGCCATGAATATGCTGACAATATGGCTATGAACCATGAATTGCCACCAGGGCAACGAGCTGACCTTTGGTAAACACTCACAGTTTGCCGTGGAAAATGGCCCAATTCTAGTTGATTTACCTATTAAAAAGATTGTCCATAGCAAAGTCCTAGTTTACCAGAGGATAAGTTGTTCAGTCTGGAATCAGTGATTTGTTTTTCTTGTTTTTGGATGGTCTTAACCTCTGCCAGGTGTTGTTTTGTTGCGGGGCCACTTTTGCACTGAGTCATGTTGATCTGCATTTCTCAAAAACTCATGTCTAAAGTCCAGTGCTTAATCTAGCTATTCATCATTTTCTCATTCACCTCACATTTCTAGCCCTTTTGTTTGGATGAAGCCATGCAACCATGAAAAAACTGCACTGTTTGGAGTTTTTAATGCCTGCTGTGCCGTTTCGCCTGCAGCTACGCATTCCATCTTCAAGAGAATCTTCCCCGCGGGAGGCGGTCCTCACGGGGTTTTTAGGATGGGTTTGGTCCCGAAGTGCTGCGAAGTGATGCGACTCCCCTACGGTAAATGGCAATTTTCAATAGCTATGTTAGTTTACCAGAGGGTATGTTGATTCATGGGGAAAACATCTCACTAAAATTGATCATTTTTCACCTTTTCATAGTTACTATAGTTGGGTTCGTTCCAGAAATTCGTTGATTGTAATGTGGGAAAAACAATGTCATAAACCACCGATGACTGGGAACGGTTTCTACATACCACCTATAAAAATGGTAATCGCTGGGAGATGGTTGATTGTTTTACCCACATTGCTATTTTTACCTGGTTGGTGGTTTGGAACCATGGAATTTTATTACTTTCCAGAAACAGTTGGGAAATGTTGGGAATGTCATCATCCCAACAGACTTTCATTCCATCATTTTTCAGAGGGGTAGGTCAACCAGCAACCAATATTATTACCATAACCGTCCATTAATAGGTTATTTAAACTACCATCAAATCCCATCAAAACCCATCATATATGGTTACGAATTCTACCGTTTTTCTGAAGCCTTGGAACGTCGTAAAATGCCATGCACCATAGCTCATTGTCCTACTTTTGCCATGATATTATGGTTAAAAATGAGCATATTAAAACCATATCCCGGAAACTGGCTTATCACTAGATCTTGCATTGAGAGATATTGAGAGGTAGCTAGATAGACAGACAGCTAGATGGATATCCATATAGATAGAAAGATAGAAAGATAGATAGATATAGAGATAGATAGATATAGAGATAGATAGATAGATAGATAGATAGATAGATAGATAGACAGACAGACAGACAGATAGATGGATAGATAGATAGATAGATAGATAGATAGATAGATAGATACATAGATAGATAGATGCACATATGTAAGTATGTGTATAATTTAATATGTAGTGCATATATATATATATATATGTATATACATATATATATATATGTATATACATATATATATATATGTATATATGCCTGTGTGTGTGTACAAAAAAAGTATCAACCTGTTTTGGGGGGTATGTTTTTCCGCAACGCATTCCTTTGCAGACGAAATTTGGGTCTTCGTGAACAACAACCAGAACTGGACTGGGGTTCCTTGGCACGGCTTTAGCGGGTATATCGATGTATATCGTATATATCTCCCATATTTTTTAAAAAATGGTGAAACATGCCATAAACCATCACAAACCATGATTCATCATGATTCATCCAAATTTACTGTTTGATTCAAGATGGTGCTTTCAAAAACCCAAAGACACCACACCATCTCCCATTTCTATAGTTCCCATGTAAAAAACCTTTGGGGCCTGCCACTGTTTGCCGGAGAGGGACATTTTCCGGTGGCCATCCTTTTGGTTGTGCAGGATTTCTTCTATCCACCGTATCTTAGTGCGCGACGGCAAATTATATCATACTATGAGTTGAAGATAGTTGAAGTAGATTTCTTGGCAAACACCGCAGACTGTTTTGTTGTTGATTTCGTCCACATTACAGTGATAATCATCTAAGTACCCAAACGCGATGCTTAGATCAGAATCTAACTAATGTGGTAAATAACCATGCCCAATTTACCCAAAACAAGTACCATTTGGGGAACATGCAAAACCACATCGGTAGAAATCATGGCACTTAGTACTTAAATTAGAATTGCTATCAGATGATTCTCCCAAAAAAAAAGAACGCTGTCCCAGAGGTAGATGAATGATGATTCGCACTGAGGACGCTCCATACCTTTATTGCCCAGCTCCAAGTGAACATGAGCAATGGTACGATGTCCTCTCTGGGAACCGCGCCTTCTTACGCTCCCTGCCTTCAGGGGTCAAGGTGTGGGGCAAAAAAATTGCAAAACTACAGAGAGTTGATAGGCATGTGATTGAACATAGTGGCATTTAGTCACTAGTGTAAAAATGTTCAAACATGTTCTGTTTGAAGTTTTTTCAAGTATAGAACTCAGTTGCAGGATGTTTTTCCTCATTGTTTCCATGTGCAGATCTAAGGACATAACTGCTACATGGCAGAAGATGCTGCACCCAAAATTCTCGTGAGAAGTGGCTTGGCTTCAGGCATTCCCAAGCCATCAAGCTACCAAAAAGTATCCTGCAGACCATGTTAGTTATGTACTGGATTATCGTAGCATCATGTTAGTTATGTCACGTCTTAGATTCTAGATTATTAGCATCTAATTTAATTGCGCAAACTTTAAACCCAATCTTATAATGTTATGGTAGGGATTTTCTTTGAATGTATCATGTGGCCAAAATTGCAACCACATCCTGATATGTCAAAGGCTGCATTTTTTTTCACAACTTGTCCCCACTTCATACGGTTGTTGTGCAACTTTGCACAGGCCCAGCATCCGCCCAACCCAGGAATGAGAATGCCAATCGTTTACGCCGTTGAGAGAATCAGCGAGACCGTTTGGGTTCTTTGGGTCTTCATTTTGCTGCGGCTTAGCTGCACAGTTTGCGAAAAGTTGCTGATTTCCAGCGTTGTCATTTACTTCTTCCAGTAATCAAACGTGGCCAGCTGAGAAATGCCCTATGACTGGAGGTTTGTAGCTGGGAAAATCATCTATAAACGGAGGATTTTCTAGCCATGTTTGATTACCGGAACGTATGGTTTTGATCATGTGGCAACGAAGAAACTACCGACATGTACTTCACAGCAGTGTCTTTTGAACTTTGAATGTATTAGTAGCTGCCAAACATCTCAGCTTCGTTCAGAGGACATTTTCCAGAAAAGCCGAGCACGATATTTTACTATCCATATTTTATTGGTACAAATCCTGGTTTCATGCACAAAAATCACTGAACCATTATGGAACCCATTCCGAAAAGCATCCAAAAGAAGATTGAGCGTATACCCGGCGTAGCCGAACAAGGCGATGGCAACCATGGCTGCCAACATACCCTTCAAAAATCCCAGCATTTTTATCTGGTTGGTGTTTTGGAACATGAATTTTATTTTTCCATGCAGTTGGGAATTTCATCATCCCAACTGACGAAGTCATATTTTTCAGAGGGGTAGGTCAACCACCAACCAGTATTTTTACGATAACCATCCATTAATGGGTTAAAAACTACCTATATCCCATCAAATCCCATCATTGTTGTAGTTTGTGGAACCTATCCATTATGGTATCTTCACCATTTTCAAGGTCATCATAGGTCATCCCATACCATGGCCGTCCAGGCTACTTCTGACGGTCCTTGGATTGTTGTTCTGGATGCATCGGCACCTGTTCTTGGGTCGCCGCTTCAAGGTCATGTCCGAGGAGCCATGAAAATCATGAAACACCTGGAAAAAAATGAAAGAAACGACCAAACCGAACTAGAACTAGAACTAACACCACTCCGATTATTGAGCTGATATTCATCCTCACCAGTCTTATTTTGGTGACTAGTTTGAATGGGGGAAAATGGATTTACGCGGAGGGCTGGAGAGCATGTGAATTTTCACGCGCCCATATGAGAGAGCGAGGTGCGATCTGATCTACCGTTTCTCAAGTGAGAAGCTTAACCTTAACCCTAGTTGGAGCAGAATTTCGGAGGGATGCAACATGTTGGGTCACACGTTGCGGAGTGAAAGTCTCTGCTCAATGCGGCTTTCTGTCAATTCAATTCACAATTTTGATTCCCAAGTTTATCATATCATCATGCATTGGTCACTGCGACTTGCGCTCACCTTGGCTCGTTAAGGTAGACAGATGTTGTGTGAAACGATGCTCCCCCAAGTCATGGTTTGCATGCAGAGGCAGTTAAACTGCTCAGAAGTTCTTCGCAAGATCATTTCTTCTACAAAGGCATTCTTCCAAGAATAAAATTGCAGGATTGTCGATCAACAGGTGCCATTTTTCCTTGATATTTTTCCGATGAAATCGCACTTCTGAGTTTTTAGTCCCATGGAAAGGAGAATGACTCATGAATTCTTGTCAGTTTTTTTCAGATTTGGCAGCCATAGCTCCCCTCAAAAATAAGCTGCCGTTCTTTGCCGAAATTTGCCCCATGGATTGGGCCTTGAGTTTCCAAGCTCGCGGTAACCGCAGTGTCCAAGCTATCTTCTTGGCTGCTGGTGTGGGGATTTTCTACCTCCTGCAGCGGATCAAGGCGATCAATGGGAAGATTGGAAGAAATTGATGCGGATTCGATGGATCCAAGCAATGTTTAAAAGACCTGGTTCGGAAAATGGAGAGATTTTCGGAGATGAATGACTGGTGGGTGGTTTCAATTTTTGCTTTTTTCCATCATATATCATATGTATATATATATATATGGGATGTCATCCTGGATGTCATCCTTCCCATTGACGAAGTCCATCATTTTTCAAGATGGGCACATTGCACCACCAGATGACAGGAGATTCGAATAGCCTCACAGCATCTCACAGCGTCTCAGTGGACTGAGAAGTTGTGCAGTCCATGCAGTTTTCTGATGAGTTGTTGAAGAAATATCTTCCAGATGCCATGAAGATATCAGGAAATTAGATCATTAAATCTCAGTAAACCCCATTAAATGCCATTATATAAATCTCAATAGCTCCCATTAAATCGCAAATCTCAGTAAATACCAATTAAATCCCTAGAGTTTGATGGTTCTTTGGACGACCTCACATGATTTTTTCCGGACCTGGAGCTTCTTTGGTTCGGCCAGAAGTCGAGATCGACATTCCTCGACCTCGATGGCCAGACTGAGACCAAAGATGCACCGGAGATGGAGGAGAAGGGTGGAACAAATGGTGAAAACCATCAGAGTAAGTTGCTATATGATATATATATATGATATATGATATTTATATATTTATTATATTTTATTATATTTTGATATATCATATTATATTTTATTTTATGATATGATATTATATTATATTATTACTATTATAAACTCAATTATTTATCATTTTCAACGTTGTGTTTCTATATATGTTTCTCTTGGTTATTATTGTATATTATTGTATATTATTATTGTATATCCATTATTATTGACAATTTAGATAAAAATGGTGACATGGTCAATTAATTACCCTCTGGTAAATTAAATTAACACACACCCTGAAAATCACCAATTTATAGTGGAAACTATCTTCCAACCCTTATTTGCCAGGGTTTATGTTGATTTACTGGAGGGTATATTTTTGTATATCCGTCGGTATTATTATATAAAAAACTGCTTATCAATGCTTAACATAGTATAAAATATCAAAATATATTGTAACAGTTGCTTTAAGTTTGAAACATCGCTATCGTAGTTATTATTATTTATACCATATTCATAGTTGTCATAGTTGATGGTGTTTATAAACCAAGTTGTCGCCTCCTTGTAGATATATCCATAGTTTTTACAAGGTGAGGACCCCAAACGATAGCGTTCAATTGGCGCACATAACTTGATTAGCTCTGCTTTATGGTTGATATAACTGTTCATGAGGTTGATAAAACATCAATTTTCATGAATGTTTGCCATATTCTATTTGCTCATGTGCTACATTTTGTCTGGGACAATGGTGAGATACCATATTTATGTCAGGGGTTGGTACCCTTTGGTTATTTAACATAGCCATGGAAAATCCCATAAATGGAGGTTTCTAGCTGGGAAAATCATCTATACATGGGCCATCTATACCATGGCTGTGTTAGTCATAACCAGAGGGTAAATGTCATAATTGAACATGGGATGATTTCCCCAACTGATTGAGCATCATGGATGATTTCATCAACCATATGATGACGCATTTTTTTCCCGCAAATCAGACGTGGCGTGAAAATCTCCCAGCTATGCCCACAATGTGAGGCCCCCAAGATAGCTAAGTTGGTTTATAAGTGGCTTAACAATGGGTTATGGTAGATATAACGAACTAGTTAATGGGGATTATTTCATGGTTTATAAACCAACATTCACATCACTGGGGGGCCCCATCCTGCAGATATAAACAGGGATTTTCTTGGCCAGCCATGTTTGATTTTTCGAAGAGTTCAGTGATTTGTTCAGTGACAGGCCTTGACTTTGGGAGCGAACTCAATAAGCTACCTACACAAATTTCTTGATTTACGTGCATGAATCTGCATCAGATTTGTTTGCCTTTATTTACTGTATGTTTGTTCATATGTTATTCACTAGTTTTGATTGAACTTAATTTTCTTTATTTTTCTTGTGGCTTGGGGGGTAACCACTTTTTTTCAACCCTTCGTGCACCAAAAAAGTGGCGACCTGGCAACCCACGGGGTACCTCGAAATCCTTCGAACGCATGGATTAGGGATACAACTTGTCACTATCCTTAATGAAACTCCAAAGTATTTTATAGTTAGTCTATTATGTGTGCATTCTACATAGTTATAGTATGTTATAGTTATATACATATAAATTCTACACATAACGCATAGATTTTATAGATCTCCCCTAAAATGTTCGGTAATTCCCCCGGAGCCTCCAAGCCTGGAGGATTTGGAAGTGCCAGGTGCCAAGCGGCAACCTTGGGGCAGTGGTCAGGTGCGTTTCCGTCGAAAGGTGAAACTGGAAGCCTCAGCGGCAGCGGCGGAAAGGGATGTGCATCTGCCAGGGAAACAGCGGATTTTCATGAAAACCCAGGGCTGCGCCTTGGCCATGGATGATTATGTTGAAATATGTTTGGAGATGTTCCAGTGATTTTTGTTTGAAAGTCTATAATTAGTAGATGTTTTGTATTTTTCTTCTTTGGGTCCATCATTTCTTTAAATTAAAACTCAGTTGGTCAATCCACCAGAAGTGTTCACGCAAATTGCACAGGATGGGGCCCCCAAAGATAGCGTTTAGTTGGTTTATAAGTGGCTGAATTCTATGGGTTATGGTAGATATAACTATAGTTAATGGGGATTATTTCATGGTTTATAAACCAACATTCACATCACTGGGGGGGTGTCCATCCTGCAGGTGCCCACAACAATTCGGACAGCGAATTCATGATGGGCTTGCTGCAAAGTTATGGCTACAGCTTTGTCGACACCTGGCAACAAGCAGATGCTGTGCTGGTGAATTCCTGCACTGTGAAAGGTCCCAGTCAAGATTCCGCTGTGAAACTTGGCTCTGGTGATCTATGGACCTACTGTGGATGGTAACCGTACTCATGTGGATGTGGAAAATGGATGAAAATGACACATGTCTGGATGAATTGCCCATTAAAATTGTGACGTTCCACATCTATGTGAGTTTGCCCCAGTGTATTTTTGTAAGAAAACCATACGACCAATGGTTGAAGGATCTTGTCGATATAAAGGATCAAGATCCTAGGAGTTGGTCGAAAAGTCCAGTTTTTCCTAGTAGAAGTTCATGTATGGGTACCCTCTGGTAAACATACAAAAAACTATGGAACATCACCATGTTTCATGGGAAAATTCACTATAAATGGCCATGTTCAATAGCAAACTGTAAGTTTACCAGAGGGTAGTTGTTCACATGTGTTTTTGAATGGTGAATTACTCTACTGGCACCAGCTACAACATTTTTTTGCAAATGGCATCCAAGAAGCTTTTGCCAATGCGAATTTTGCATAAAGTCATATATATATAGATATATATTTTTTGCAAGATATCTCTCTTTTTGCCAACAAAAATGGAACAAAAAACACACCAGGAATCTGGTGAAAGGAGCTCGCGACCGCGGGAAACCGGTGATTTTGACTGGCTGTGTTCCAAGTGCAGATGCCAACCTGGCGAAGAGTCTGGTCGGTGTCAGCATGCTGGGAGTCTCGCAGTTGGATCGAGTAGTGGAAGTTGTGGAGCAGGCTCTTCAAGGCCACCATGCCACCTGGAAGATTTCAGCAGGATTTCAGCTGGTTGTTTTTTTTGAAAAAATTGGATACCATTGGTTTTTGTTCATGATATATCAATATATTATCTATATACATATATATATATAGATATAGATATATATATATATATAGATATATATATATATATAGATATATCGATATACATATATCATCATGTTAGCATCTGAGAATATGGGTAACTATACCAGCAAACTGGGAGAAACCCAGATGTTGATCTCTTTGATTTTCAGATCAATCCGCTAGACATGGGGAATCTCAACAACGTTGGCATGTTTTTATGATGGTTCCATTACGTCCAAAGCCATGGTTAGGTGGTTTGGAAGTTTGGAATCTTCAAGATCCTCCATACTTCACAGAAAATACAGGGGGAACTCTTGAGATTCCAAACTATCAACTCAAACCACTCAAACCACCAGTCAAACCATTGTTTGATATCATCAATCAGTCTCCAAAATTATAATAATATCTTCAGGACATCCGTATATTTGATGGCTAACAACTTATGATCATTCAGTTTTCCGAAAAACATGTTCCCTTCAATAACTCCATGGCTTATCATGGCTTCATTTTGTTGCAAGCTCCAAGGTAAGCCTTCTAAGTCATCGGAGTGTGATGCCATCTTTGGAGTTGCCAAAGGTACGGAAGAACCAATTTATTGAGATCATCCCTATCAGTGGCGGTTGTTTGGGCAACTGTTCCTACTGTAAAACCAAGCACGCGCGCGGTTCCTTGAACAGTTACTCTGAAGATGCTATCGTTTCTCGTGCCCTACAAGCAGTGGAGGACAGGGTCCCAGGATGTCACAGGCTATACACTCTGGTAAAACATACAAAAAACTACGGAATATCACCATTTTTAATGGGTAAATCAACTATTTCTATGGCCATTTTCCATAGCTATTTTGACATAAGCAGAGGGTAGCTGGAATGACTTGGCCCAAGATCTTCCTTAACGTCCGACGAGTTTTCAGCTAACTCACTTGACCCTAAGAGTTGACTCAGTTGGCACAGCAGTTGGCCCAGCATGATTCGTTGGGTTAATCACCATAGTGGTTAATATGACTGGTTAATGATGGTTAAATGCTTGGCACATGGTTAATTTATAGTGGGTAAATTAATATACGAAGGGTATCCTGTAATGTTTGGTAAATCCAAGAAATCAACCATCCCCAAGTCATCACCATAAATGGTTCATATATTCCATCCCCAAATGGTAGGTTTATGGCATTGGGTTGCCTGCGCTCATGATGTTCAAAGTAGAAATTACAGGTGAGGTATGAGCTCAAAATCTAAAGGCTGGGAAGCATAGAATTCAGAATTGCCGTTTCTTTCTTGAGCATCGCATTCAGGTATTTGCTGAAGATTCTCTCCCCAATAGTTGAATAATGTTGAATTAGTACATTTACCTAGCCTTTTTTCATTAACTGATGTTTAAATGAGACATTTACCAACCATGACCAATCCCCATCGTTTGTGGGGAAAGGTGCTTTTTTATTTGTCAGGAAGGTGTCACTGAAATCTGGCTCACTTCCGAAGATACTGGAGCATACGGCCTGGATATTGGCAGCAACATCGCCAAGCTCTTGCATAAGGCTGATCCATGCTGATCCCTTGGATATCTTGGATTGCGGGGGATGTTCATGCGTCTTTTTTTGGCAGCGCACCCTAGGGTAAAACCAAGAAAAAGATGTGGAAAAAATGGGAGAAACCGGAAAATGATCTACAAATGGTGGGGAAACTCCACATCTTTCTGTATGTTTACACGGGTATGTGTTCAGCATTACTATTTATGATGTTCCTTATTATTCAATAACGAACATCATTGTTATTGTACGTAGTTCTTACATTATCATTGAATAATTACCCGCAGTAACCTATAATCTATCAAGAGGTTGGTGGTTTGGAACATGAATTTTATTGTTCCATATATGGGAAATTTTCATATTTTTCAGAGGGGTGGCTCAACCACCAACCAGATAAAGATCTATATCATAGTTTTACTATTACCCGAGGCCTGCCATGGCCTCGGCTAATCAAACATGGCAGTGGAAGATCCATAAAAAGTTCGATGATTTTGCTATAAACTTTCATGTGTAGGAGATATGAGGCCCCCCAGTGATGTGAATGTTGGTTTAGATTCGCCCCAGTCACTAGTTCGTTATTTGCGTACCATAAACCATAGTGACATTGGAGTTATGTGCGCCAACTGAACGCTATCGTGGCCGGGGGCCTCACATCCGTCCTCCCCTCAGGTGGCAGACGCCCTGCCGGAACATGTGATGTTGAAGCTGGGAATGACCAATCCCCCCTACATGTTGGCGCATATCCAATCGGTTGCGGAGGTCCGGGAATCCTGCAAGAATCTCGTGTGGAAAAGGATGGAAAAGGAAAGGGATGTTTACGAAATGCTTCAACTGCTCCTGTTCAAATGAATTTGAAGATGTTTTGAAGGGGATACCCTTTGGTAATTTAACATAGCTATGGAAAATCACCATTTTTAATTGGTAAATCAACGAACTAAATGGCCATTTTCAATATCTATGTTAGTTTACCGGAGGGTATATCAGATCCACTTGTTGGTTAATTTATTTCAACCAACTTATCCACAAGAAATTCCTATTTGAAGATGTTTTGAAGGGGATATGTTGTTTTATCTTCTTTGTGATGTCTTTTTGTTGGTGGTTTTCCCGGGTTGATTGGTCGCATTCTTTTGGGAAGCTTTGTGGTGAAAGCTTCCAGCACTGTAAAATTCCAAGCGCTCAGCTTACAGCCTCCATATTTTTCCAGTCAAGTACAGCCTGGGTAGTAAACCGCTTATGCACCTTGACAATTATCCCGTATTTACAACATAGTTTCCCCTTGATTATCCCACATTGTCCCATTTTTTGCGTTTTGTAAGTTCTCTTCATTTTTCCGTAGATGTTCCATCCCGTAGGATCCATGTATGGTATATATGCTAACATTTGGGGTATATTGATGGTAAATGTTACCATATATAGCAGCACCATGGATCCTATGGGAATGGTTTTTGTTCGCAAAACAGGTCTTAAAGCGTCCCAACGTCTTCGAATACCTCCACGTGCCCGTGCAGTCGGGCTCGGACGCTGTCTTACGCGCCATGGTGCGCGAGTACACACGAGCCGAGTTCCAGCGCCTGGTGGATGGCTTGAGAGCCGAGGTGCCGGAGATCTTCATCGGAACTGATGCCTGGAGAAAGGGATGAAAATAGGCCGGGACTTTAACGGAGAAAATCCATAGGGCTAAAAAATCATATTTCATCATCAAAGACCGGGAGTTCAGCAATAAAGAAGAACAAGATCATCAGTACCATATGTTATGGTTTCAGCTAAAAAGCTACTAGAATGGGAACATCATGGCATTTTTATGATGGATGGGACGCCATGGACGCCCCAATCTCAGCTCCTGATTGGAAATCGTTCAGGATTTCAGTTTCAAAAAGGTTTCAGACAGGTTTGAAACGGCTCTTGTTCACAGAGTAATGATATGAAATGCCTTAGCAATTAGAAATAAATGTTGATGGTTTGAATTCCAATGTCTAACAGGATGTTCACGACTTATAGCCTTTGATAATCAGTCACATGGTTTGCTGGAAGCTCACCCAGCTAATGTTCGATGATTTTCCCAGCCATAAACCCCAAAGATTCCTACTTGAATCATGTTGAATCTACCATTTGCCTACCTAGAGATGTGTTGTTCCAACATGTACAAAAACCCTTCCAATTATAGAGGATGTTCCTTAGTTATAGCCTATAGCCCCTATTTTTGGACAAACCGCCACCAACTGTCAGCCAAATTCAGGATGTGATCTGCGGTTTTCCAGCTGAAGGAGCTGAAGATCATCAGCTATCCATGGACTTAGTGAAAGAGTATCTGGATGAATACCAAGGTGGCCTTAGTCAACACCATGGTTTTTTGTTTGAACAACAAGAAGTGGAGATATCTATATTGGGACATGGGATAGAAGTGGGATACAAAAAATATCCATTTACTGAGGGTGAAAATAATGCAGATCGTTGAGGCACATAACTTGGGGAATTACCTATCTGGTTGGTGGTTTGGAACATGAATTTTATTTGTCCATAGATTGGGAAGTTCATAATCCCAACTGGCTTTAACTCATATTTTTCAGAGGGGTAGGTCAACCACCAACCAGGATCTATATCATAGTTTTACTATTGCCATGGCCTCCGGTAATCAACCACCAACCAGCTATGGTTTACTGGGAATTCTTACTATATACTATGGTTAATGGATGCTAATGGTCCCAGCAGAGGATGAAATTGCTCCTGACCTCACATCCGAAATTCCGGAAAACTGGAATGAGCGTGCATCTTTTTGGGGTAATCGTCCCCATAGCTGGCCCTATGATAACAATATACCCTCTGGTAAACATACAAAAAACTATGGAAAGATCCACCACTTTTAATGGGTAAATCATCGAACTAAATCACCATTTTCAATAGCTATTTTGACATAGCCAGAGGGTAACAGTTATCTTTAGCTTGGTGAATTGGTATATACCCTCTGGTTATGTCAAAATAGCTATTGAAAATCACCATTTTTCATGGGAAAATCCACTATTAATGGTCATTTTCAATAGCTATTTTGACATAACCAGAGGGTAATTGAGATGAACTAATGAGATCATATGAGATCTGCCATTTGATGATTCAGTGGGCCTTAGTTTCGGCTGGTGAATGCCATCTGGATGATTCAATGGATTTTGGTTGGAAATCAACGGAGACCATAGTGCTCACAATCGACCAACACTACCCGGATACCCCCACCAACCATAAATAATTGGCATGCATAATGAGGATACCCTAACTATTAATACCCTGGTAATCAAACATGGCAATTGAAAATACACTAACTATTTATAGGTGATTTTCCTATTGAAACCCCCATTTCTAGTGGATGTCCGATTGCCACGTTTGATGACCGGAGGGTAATGGGGATATAATGCAAACAAACAAACATATGACCACCTCTACTTTTGAGATCTGAATCGCAGAATCAAATGATGGGAACATCTAAAGGAAACCCCCTAGAAATGTCATGGCAAAACCGATTCTTTCTTGCAGATGTTTCCTTAAGTCGACCTTTGGCATGTCAACCAGCCTCCGCATACATGTATACATAGCAACAAATGGTGATTCACCATTGGAGATGGGACTACAAGACCAACCAGGAGGGAGATTGAATGGTATATTACATTCATAAATGAATATGGTCAGCCCAAGAGGCCTAATAATGAACCATTCCAAAGAGCAGAAATTGGGCATGCCCCTACTCACATCAAGCGATAAGGACAGGGATGTTTATTTTGGGGTATATCTCGAGAACATGCGTGATGTGTTGTTTTGGCAGGTGTTCTCAACCCTCAAAAAGGGATGATGATGATGATGCTGGTGGTGGTGATGATGATGATGATTTTGATTTGCCTTCAACTCTCAATCCCTCATGATGATCCCCATCACATCCAACGGTCCAACGCGATTTCGCTCCCAGGTACCGCTTTCCCATGCTGAACATCTCGCAGTTCTACCCCCGGCCCAATACTCCAGCGGCCAAATTGAAACGCCTCGACGGTCAGACTGTGAAGGCGCGAAGTACTGAGATGACTCAGCTCTTTGAGTCCTACAGCACGTGGGATCATCTGGCGGGTGCGACCAAGAAAGTTCCTTGGTTATTTAATGGGATTTTAATTGGATTTTAATGGGATTTAATGGGATTTAATGGGATTTGATGGTGGTTTAATGTGGTTTTTCATGGTTTTTCGAACTGTTTTTCAAAAGGGTGCCCTTTGGTCAACAGTTTGCGAACGGGAAGTCATCGTTTTTTTTCGGTAAATCAACTACAAATGGGCAATTTGCATCCATTGACAATGAGTATGTTAGTTTACCAGGGGTAAGTCTTTGTGTTTGTTTGATTTGTGTGTTTTCTGGTTTGCCTGTTTGCTGATGTTTTCTTGCCCCGTTGTTTTGTGTTCCACTCCTACCTGCGGGTTTTTAACAATGATTTTCTTCTATGAATGTTCCATCCCAAAAAAATTGAATGATTTTCTTCCCAACTGATCTATATATTATCATATTCAGAATAGGGTTTTTATCAGCCCCCTGCCCTTCCCAGAATTGGGTTTAAGGGAAAGCTGAAACCGAAAATTATAAAATGCTGTAAAAAAAAATGTGGTTTCCGCCGTTTCCGCTTACAATGTTCCCTTCAACCCACCCATTGACCGTGAGAAATTTCCCCAAAAGAAACCTCAAGGTTTGGTTCTCCGAGACCGATGAGAAGCGAAGTCAAACAGTGGGCCACACCAAGAGCTATGCGAAAGTCGTCGTGCCGCGGGATGATAAGTTGCTCGGGAGAAGTGCCATGGTTCACCTGACATCAGCGACCAAGTGGCACGTCCAAGGGCGGGTGGTGTGATGCCGAAAAGAAAATGGGGTGTGCGGGGGACCCTGGGAGATCCTGAATCCAAGAGGGCAAGCAAGAACATCCCCGATACCGTCTGGTAAACTAACAGTTTGCTATGAAAAATCACTATTTTTACTGGGTAAATCCACTATTTCAATGGCCATTTTCAATAGCTTTTTGTATGTTTACCAGAGGGTATTCATGGAGGTTGCTGGGAAATGCTGGCAGCCATGGTTGGTTACTGGAAGGTAGTTGGGTAGACCATTATGGCATTATGGGACTTGGGGAGGTTCTTTCTGCCTGTTTTCAATGGCTTCAGGAGATGGACAGCCCATTGCAGAGAATCGAGAGCAGTGATAGTGACAGGTGCTGAAACTGATCGATTTCCGCCGCGTTTCTGGCAGGTTCTGGCGGTGCTAACGGTTGGGCTTCATGTGGCCATGTGGCTTTGAAACATGATACAGGGATAGACAGCACAGTTTGTGGAGACTTTTGAAGTGAACATGATCAGAAACCATCATAAACCGTAGGATTTTGGGGTAGCCTATTTTCGGACGAACCCTATGGTTCATCCTTCATAGCTTCAACGATGAGTTTTGCTCATTTTTGCTCAGTCAACATCACCAAACCCCAAGGTCTCTCTCAGAAACCCTTGATCTAAGGCCAGAACATGGGACTTTGGGCAGAATTCAGGAGTTGATCATGGTTTTTGGAGCTTCAACTCAAATTTTCTTCATGATCTATCATATTATCATGATCTATCATGATCTATGTTTCCCATGGATACGGACTTTATGGCCATGGCCCGTAACAGTGGATCTTGTACGTCAGGTCGTGTCAGGCCTTTGGAATCGCCAAAACCTGCAGCAAAGGATTTCCGGTTCCACTGGCGGCCCTGCCTCCGCGATGTTTCTCCCGCTTGGTCGCCCAAAGATGGCAGTTGTGTCGCTGGTGGAGAGGAATCCTTCAATCATTTAATTCTCTAAAAACTCCGCTGGGCACCAACTTAGAACAACTTCTAGTGAAAAATCCAGAGGTACCCCCCCGGAAAAAAACATGGTGAGAATGGCCAGATTTCGGCGAGAATAGCCCCAGTGCCAATCTTGGTTTTGTCGCTTCTTGTCCGAGCAAACCCCCGCCATTTCACTAGGGAACATGGTTTGTCTCGACCATGACATGTGGTGGGTTTTCCATGATTGTCTTATACTGGTTGGTGCTTTGGAACATGAAATTTATTTTTCCATATCGGGAATAATCATCCCAACTGACTAATATTTTTCAGAGGGGTTGAAGCCACCAACCAGTATACTTTTCAATGAATCAGTTGGAAAAAGGGCCCAGCGGCGGCTTTTATCAGCACAGCCGGGCCAACTCACCAATAGCTGTGATCGGTCGGACCAGATGGCGATTGAAAGCTAACATCAGGGCCAAGTGATTTAACAGTTTCCTATTGAAAATTGTCTTTTTAATTTATATATATATATATATGTATATATATAAATAGAGAGAGAGAGGATTTATTCATACAAAAATTGGTGATTTTCGTTAGCTATGTATGTCACAAATGTACATGCGAGTTCATGCATTTTTTCCCCCTATTTTTTTTTATATTGGCACAAAAAGGGCTTCGTGCAAAATTCTTCCCCCAAACCAATCCAGCAAACGGGGTTCTGCCACAGGTTCCCCAAAAAAGACGGTCGATCCAATCATTTGGTCCCAAGATGCAGTGGATGGATCTTGGAACGGTGCGGACGTGCACGTGCGTTGCTTCCGGTGAAAAAGGTCGGGCCTTTGTCAGATCAAGCTGGAGCAGATCAAGGTGCACAGATCGCCCCATTTTTTCGTGGGTTTTTGTTGGATATTGGGCCGATTTGGATGGTTCTTGAAGATCCTTAGCAAAATGATGCAAAATGACATGGCCCTCAGCTACACCCAAATTGCAAGGCTATGGTTCTGAGCGTTTTCCTGTCGTTTTAGGTTCAGATCCAGTGATCCAGTGATATAGGATTTTCTCTATCTATCTATCTATCTATCTATCTATATATATATATAGGATGATGGAGGGATGTCCTGAAATGGAAGATTCCAGAATATCATTCAACTTGGGTGTCATTTTTCATGGAGAAAATATCTGCACCAGATATGGAGATCTCCATCCCTTGAATGGTGACCTGATGGACCGAGGATATCCCAAACCGGTCCGGGAGCTGAGTGGCCGGTGCAAACTGCTTGGTACGTTCAGCAGATTCCAAGCCTTCAAAATCTCGGATGCCATGATGGGTTGATGGGGAAGCCTCTGGGCTTCGATTCACCTGGTGAAACATTCAGGTTGAAGTCGAAGTTCTTCCTGTTCAACATGGTGAAACACTCAGGATTCACCGTGAGGTGCAAGGTTGGCGAGATGAGTTTATCAAAAAATAAGGCAGGAAAAGACATTGATGATGGTTCCATGTGTTATCAATCTTTAGGATAGTGTCGTTCCTCTTGAAAATGACTATCATGCAGCATGTTGGGGCTCTAGGTTGGCACCCTACAGCACCTACACGCATTGATATCGGCTACAAACTGCAGGGTTGGGGCTAACATGAGGCATTTTGGGGTGTAGGTTGGCAACCTACAGCACTTACAGGCACTAATGTGGGCTACAAATGGCAGGGTTGGGGCCAACATATAGCAACTTGGGGCCATAGCTTGGCAGGATCGGGCCGACCTAACCTTGCACTGTTCGTTCTTCCCAAGTGAGATGTTACATCCAACTCATGCCGCGCCATTGTGCGCCACTGAGGTGTTGCCATCAACTGTCAGCCACGAACTCAGCCTGCAAATCATCCAGGTGTTGGCTTCAGCTTCACATGAGTTGAGGTAACCTGTCAAGGTAAATTTTCTTGATGTTGGGTCACTTGCGCGCTTCAAAAACATGAAGAAACCATGGGTTTCGAAACGGTTTCGTATGACTTGGCCCCTGCTTTTGTTGCAAAATGAAGCACCAGGTGCTGACAATATCTATGGCAACATCCTGCGTGCTCGTCGCAGCCTCGAAACTGATCGGTTCATAGGGCGCTGGGGTATTCCTGACCCTGGAGAAAAAAAAGATGTTTGATCTATGTTTATCATGTTTTATCCACTACTCAGTATAGATTTTCTAGAAGATGAGAATTTCAAAAAAAAATAGTTTGGTTTTCATGTTTTTCCATGTTTCTTCGGAATTCCATGAAAACTTGGGAGCTGTAGCACTTTCGTGTCCCGGCCCCAGGATTCAACGCGAAACGAGGGGTAGATCCAGGCAAAGTATGGGCAACGAAGCATAGCTTACGTGGCCTTGGGGTGCATTGAAGTCATGTGGCTTTTTGGGTTGAAACCAATTTTCAATGGGTAAATCCACTTAATAACTGGTCATTTGTCAATAGCTATGTAACAAATTTCCAGAGGGTATCTATAAATGGTTGGTGGTGACTGGAACCATGGAATTTTATGACTTTCCATATATTGGGAATTTCATCATCCCAACTGACGAACTCCATCATTTTTCAGAGGGGTAGGTCAACCACTAACCAGTATTATTACCATAACCATCCATTAATGGATTATTTTAACTACCATCAAATCCCATCATGAATTTGGTATTTGTGGAACCTATCCATTTATTTGGAGGAAATAACCATCAATCAGCAATTTTAGGGCACCATCCGCGTACCAGGGTTTTGACCCAAAACCACGCGGGGATGGGTATTTTAATATGTTAAAATTCAGACAGAAACACAGAGTTTGGTCATGCTTGGTCCATGTTCAGTAGATTTTTGAGTATATATGATGTCCATATATGTACAGATATATATATATATTCTCAACATGTCCATATTCAGTAACATGTTATGGTACATATTCAAAATACAAGTTTGACCCATGTCTTGATGTCTAGGAGCAGCCCTTCCTTCAGATTCTTGAAACATCTTTGAGCTCTAACTCTTTTAGTCTGTTCAGCGTTCAGCCCCCAAGTCACCCATTGACAAGAACTAACGATCATAGGGAGATGGGAATATGATGAACTAATCATAGGGACTTGATGGGAATATGATGGTTATATTTTGTTATATCACCATTATGTGGTCAATGAAATTTGCATTATTCGTTGACCCAGTTCTTGACCGGCTCACTCTATCTCACCTTTTCCGCGGCCTTTTTAGTTTCAGTGTAACATTAGCTGCGCCTTGACTGGTCGCAGTCGCAGCTGCCTGCGCGGTGCCGTTTCCGGGCAGCCGGTGCCGTTTTCGGTGCCATGGGGGATGATATCATGGAACAGGCCATGGTGGTGGTCTTCCCTGAGGACGATCCCAGGGTCTGCCAGGTGAGTTTCCGCCGGAATGTGCCCTTGCTGATTTTGCAAACGGCCTCCATCGAGGCTGGACAGATGAGATTTGGAGAAAGGAAGCTTGGAGAGGATCGGAGAGGATCGGAGAGGATCGGAGAGGATCTGGGCTGTCGGGGGATCCTCAAAATCCATGGCTTTCAATAGAACTAGGTCAACCTTGGATGGGTAGAAACTAATCCTAACTAATCTTTTGCTATCACTGGGAATATCGACTCTCACCAGCAAAAAATTAGATTTTTTGCCAGGTATCTTAAGATTGGCAATGACAAAAATGTTTGTTTGTTTGATTTGGGGTACCATCTAGATATTTAACATAGCCATGGAAAATCACCATGTTTAATAGGTACCCTCTGGTAATTTAACGTAGCTATTGAAAATGACCATTCATAGTGGATTTGTCCATTAAAAATGGTGATTTTCAATAGCTATGTTAAATTACCAGAGGGTAAACCATCTACTGGTATAAATGGGTCATTTTCCATGGCTATGTTAGTCATAACCAGAGGGTAACACCACCTTGAAGCGATAGCGCCTCTTAGCTGAACAACGGATACCTTGTGGTCGACCATCCCATTGTGCAGTCATACAGGTGGTAAGGTGGTTGAGAAAAGAACGAAAATATATGGATATATCTACACACATATAAAATTATATCTGTCTATCTGTCTATCTGTGTATCTAGCTATCTGTCTATCTGTCTATCTGTCTATCTATCTATCTATCTATCTCTCTCTCTCTATTTAATGTATTCCATATGGATTCCATATATTGAATGGTTAAGGTTTCCACCAGATCTTCCCCTTTTCCGGCCTCAGCTCTCAGGAACAGCTTAGATTTGCGACAGGCAGGCAGTGTAGTGGCGGATGGCGAGAAAGTGTCCATCCTATCCCGGACTACCAATGGGCAACTTGGAAGCTTCCCATGGGCTTGACATACTGTGGATGGTTGCGAAATCCTATAAATCATGGTTTATCTAGTTGATGGTTCGGAAACTCGATTCGTAGCTCCTTGGCTCCCCATTGAATGGGGATATAGGGAATATATGGGAATATGAATACCCCTAGCTCCAAATCGCTCCCTCCTAACCACTGGAGAGTTATAGGTGGTAAACCTCCCATTATTTAAGGGGTTTTGCCACCATCCTTTTGGTGGCACAGGATTTCGCAACCAACCACCATAGCAGCAAGGTTCGAATAGGATACCTCAAGATACATACAGGATGGTGCCCCCAAGTGATGTTTGTTGGCTTATGAACCCCATTAACTAGTTCGTTGTATCGACCATAAACCATAGAATTCAGCCACTTATAAGGCAACTTAGCTATTTGGGGGCCCCATCCTGTAGATATATACATAGAATTAAGTATATATATAATTATATATATGTGTGTGAATGTACAATATATAAAAAAAATATCTGTGTTTTTTATGCAAACTGATGGCAAACCGCGGGATGTATCACCAACAGAGCAACAAACAGGAACGAAATCGGTAACTGTGTGAAATATCATTGTGGAATGAGATTAGCAACAAGGAGAGATACATCTCAATTTTGTGGTACAAGGGGGGTGACTTGGCTCAATATTTCATGACCTATACTTACTACAAGCTGGCAATGTGACTTTCATGGGCTTTCCATAATATGGTGGTTCCCAAAATGGATCAAAAAATGGAAAATCCTTTGAACATGGATGATTTAAGGCTAGCCGGCTAGCCCTATTCTTTAGGAACCCCCCTTCCATTCTTGATGTTCCATCAAGTTCCATCCTACCCTTTGGTTGATGTAAATTTTCCCCTGAGATTCAACTCCAGAAACCCTGTTTAGAAATCGTGTCGGGATGTTACGCTAGAAATCTGGGACCATGCCATGGCTGTTGTGATATGGATTTTAGGATGGGAAACTCAGGATGTTAGAGATTTCTTGCTACGTAAACCTACGTAAACGTAAACGTAGCATATTTCAGGCCATATGAATTGTGGGGAAAAAAACGCTGAAATTTAGGCCTTTCAAAAAGGCCTTATATATGAATTTTAATGATTGTTAATGTTTGTTAATGTTTGTTAATGATTGCAAAATGGCTTCAATATCTATTGTTATATATGGTAGGTAGCTCCAATCAATCGGTTCCTGAAATGGTCATAATATATGGGATGGATGTACGGCCCCCGATTTCGATCACAGAAAAAGGTGAGTTTTTGAGATGTACTTTCCCGATTGGTTCGGTGTGAATCTAGCTATATATTACCCTCTGGTAAATTAACATAGACCCTGAAAATCACCAATTTTAAGTGGAAACTAATCTTCCAACCCCGATGACTGGCAGGGTCTATGTTAATTTACTGGAGGGTATAGCTGCTTGGTGGTTTGGAACCATGAATGTTATATGTTCCATTTCATATATGGGATGTCATCCATGATAATCCTTCCCATTGACGAACCCCATCATTTTTCAAGATGGTTAGGTCAACCACCAACCAGATAGGAATTTACGTGATTTGTTTGATTTTTTTCTGTGCATCTATTTTTGCAGATCAAGGTTTTTTTCCGAACTTGACAGGCTTCTATGATCCCACCGGTGTTGAAAACTCAACCTGCAAGCCCGAGGCGTGTTGGATGTGTATGATCCTTCTGTTTTCCCATGTTGGAAAGGCAACCCCTCGCTCAAAAAATCAACACACAAATCATCAAGAACCAAAACAGAAAATCATCCAGAATATTCCAGAATCAAAAATACATTCCAAAATAATGTCTTCAAGATTCAACTTGAAGACCCAAAGATTTCCGTTAGCATCGTCAACCCCTTCTTTAAGCGCGATTTTGACCAAGGCAGCAGTCGCATTTGATGCTAGAACTCCACATGGATGCCCGGATCTGCTCAGAAACCATGGTGGATGCAGGGAATCTCCCCATACTTGGGACCACATTCTATCGATTCTATGGGGTTGGTTTACCCTTTGATAAACTAACGGTTTGCGAACTGGAAAATCACCATGTTTGATAGGTAAATCAACGAACTAAATGGGCCATTTTCAGTCGCTATTTTGACATGACCAGAGGGTAATATGAATGGATGGGATTTTAATGCTTTATCTCAAACAAAAACAGGGGAATTGTCCCACCAAAATAGCCGTGGATTCCGAAAAAAACCATGGTATACTCATGTATACCAATATTAGAACAATTAGCAGTCAGGGGTTGGGATTGATGTCCAAAATATTCAGGGACTTGTTTCACATCACCTGAAAAATGGTATTGATTGGAGATGATATCCCCTTTTTGGTTGTGGATGTAGAAATGTAGAACATTTACCAACCTCTGTTTGTTTCCAACGATTTATCCATCACACGTCACACGCAACAAACTTACTGGGATGTGTTTTTCTTAATAACATCCACCATTTTTGGCGAATTGAAATGATTTTACCATCTGGTAATTTGACATAGCCTTTGAACACATGTAACTTTGTGAATCATCTATATAGCATATAAATGGATCATTTTCCAACTGTTACATGTCCTATAGTACAGTTTTTATGGATCATGTGCATTCATTTTCCAACTGTTACCCTCTGGTAAACATACAAAAAACGATGGAACATCACCATTTTCAATGGGTAAATCAACTATTTCGATGGCCATTGTCTATGTCGCAAACTGTAAACGTTTACATTTCCAGTACTTGGAGGATCATCCCACAGCCACAGCCAGACTGGTTCGACCTAACCGGGATGATATCATAGATGTGGGGACCCAAAAAATCTTGGTTTACCACAGGTGGTTTGGAACATTTTTCCCATACCCTCTGGTAAACATACAAAAAAACTATGGAAAATCACAATTTTTCATGGGTAAATCCACTATACATGGCAATTTTCAATAGTTACCCTCCGGTAAACTAACAGTTAGCTATGGAAAATTGCCCAGAGAAATAGATGGTTTACCGTTCTTAAAAATGGTGATTTTCTGAAGCTATGTTAAATTACCAGAGGGTATTTCCCATATAAAGGGTGCTCCTCAGGGTAAAGTTGGGAATGATCATGTTGGATTCATATCTGGCTGGTAGTTTGGTAGTTTATAGTTTATGTCTCCATATATTGGGAATTTTTTAACCCCAACGAAGTCATATTTTTTCAGGGGGGTAGGTCAACACAATCAGTGATGTACCAGAAATGTTCCATAAATCACCAGGCGAGTTCCAAAATCTGACCGCGGGCTGGATCGCACAGGACGACAATGCAGAAATCCAAGCCTGGACTTCGGCCCTTCGACAGGTCATGAACAGCGAGGAGGCTGAATGGTGGTGCCACATGCGCTGTGTTCAAGTTGCGCAGAGTTCTTTAGGTCTTGTTGGTTTGCGCGTTTTAATGATGCTTAGCAGAGGTAAATTTATCCGTATATATATAATTATATATAGAGCTTTGTTTCAGATTGGTGATTTGTTTGAATTATATTGTAATCCATGCAGGTATACACTTCAGTATAATCAAACGTGGCAATTGAACATCCCCCCCTTCATAGACAATTTTCCCAATGAAACTTCCATTTATCAAGGATTTTCCAGCCAGCCACGTTTGAATACCGGAGGTAATCAATCACAAAGGCGACAACATGGGGAATAATATAACCAACTAGAATAGGGATATAATCTCCCTTGACAAGCTGAGGTTTAGAAACGAAATACTGTATGAAGAAGTGTTTACATCCAACATCCATTGATGGTTCCTAATAGTATAAAATGAGGTTGGATAAATTTCAAATTGTATCAAGACGAGATGGAGCAACTGACAAATAGTGAACCTGCGTAGTGATGGGGTTGATTTCGACATATTTCGACAGACCTTGCAGCTGACTGAGCCTTGTCTATCACGCACTGGCCTTATTTCAAGCAAAAAATAACCATTGACCAACTATGTGGCTCAAGGAAAAGACATGTATTACGTTTGTTTTTCTCGTTGTTAATGTTCAATTTTTATGTCTGCTGGTAATCTCCGATGTTTGCTAGCTTTTAAATCACCACACATCCGCATCAAGCGGCCTTGAGGTATCATTTTTTCATTTTACTGAATTACTTTAAGCCAATAAAAGTGCTCGGAAATTCGTGAAATTCAAAAGTTCTCTTGAAAAAAACAAGGTCATTGAAGAGTCAGCACTTCATCATACTTCATCGCAACATATCACCACCAAGGCCACCAAAAAAAGTGATGGTTTTCTCCCCTGTCAGGGCGCGAAGGCAAACGCCAAACAGGCCAAACAGCTGAAAGCCAGCCGACCTGGGAGTAGCCCGAGCTCACCTCCCAGCAAGGATGAACAGAAGGATTCAACGCGGCCGCAAGATCAATGAGAATTCCAGGATCCTAAAATGGAGGTACGTAGTACCATATAAGGCCATATTTTGTGGGGATATTCCCTGAGATTTAGGCCTTATATAGGCCTTATATATGGTAGGTACCTCCAATCAATCGGATCCTGGAATGGCCATTGACAAGAGGGGATGGACCTGGAAGACTTGGATGTCCCACCCGGATTTACCCTCAAAATCCCGAGAATAGCTGCGCAGAATGGACGTTGATTCCCCCCAAAAAAAGGCTGGTTGGTGGTTTCAAACATTTTTTTGATTTTCCATAATATATGGGATCATCCTTCCCATTGACTAATATTTTTCAGAAGGGGTTGAAACCAACAAATATGGTCATAAAGTAGCCTTAGATGCGCATGATGGATGTATAATGGATGTTGAGTTTGTACAAATATATGGCGATTTCTGAAAACGGGGAATCCCCAAGTCATCATGGGTATACTAACAGTCATGGTCTAATCACTGAAATGGTTTGGGGGAAGTCCGATTTTAGGAAACCTTCAAGTCTTCCATGTTTTCAGCATGTTTTTGGAGGGGATTATCGAAAGCTGGGATTCTTGATTGGTTGATAATTAAACCATAATATTTTGCTGGTTAGAATCCACCTGCAAGTTCCCCCATTGTTTCCCAAGTTAGCCTAAGAATCCCTAAGATACTAGAATATGATTGGAGTTGATTAAGAGTTCCAGTGGCAAAATCCAGCTGGTCACCATGCTCGACGTTCCAAGAAACTTGGGACAGCTGTGACATGCTGTGACCTTGTGTTTTTTTTCCAGCGTTTCACAACTTACTGGTGCTAAACGTAGGGACGGGGGGTTACTGGGATGATTATTACTAGTGGTTATGGATCATTCCCGAAAATTCCCTGCGTAAAACGCACCAGAAGACAAAAACTGGTTAGTGGTTTGGAACATCAATTCTATTTTTCCATATATTGGGAATGTCATCATCCCAACTGACTTTCACTCCATCATTTTTCAGAGGGGTTGGGTAGGTATACCACCAACGAGAAAGACATGTGGCCAGGAGATTTCGGAACAAGCGGATGAAGAGTGTTCCTTACTCCGCGCCAAGAGTCAAAAGCTTCAGCAGAGGATTACCACCCTCGAAGCCTTGAGTGACAGACGAGAGAAGCAGATGAAGAGACTCTTGAAAAGGTGGCTTCGGTGGGATTTTTGTAGCCGGAAAAGCCATGATCAAATAGGTTTCTATCAAGGGGATAGAAACGGATGTCATTGAATATGTGGGTTTTAATGGGATACAATTTAACATTATGGGATACAATGGGTTGGGGATGGGATTGGGATGGTAGTGCCCCCAGTTCGTTAGCGAGTTGTTGGTTTATAACTAGGCTAACTGTTGGGTGTATCGCAGATATAGATGGAAAACCCCACACGGAAAACCATATTTTTTCTGAGGGCAAAGTTGAAGATGTCCGCCAAACAGGCAGTGGCATCAAGTAGTTAGGTTGGTTTTTCATCATTACCATCTGGTTATTTAACACAGCCACGGAAAATCAAATTTTTTAATAGGTGAACCATCTATAACCGGGCCATTTTCCACGGCTATGTTAAATAACCAGAGGGTATACTCAAATTAGATCTTGAAACACCTTGAAACTGCAATCCAGAAACGGCAGATCTATGAAGATTTACATCGCCATAGATTTTCCAGACGTGGTATAACAGCAAAAAGGAATGAGTTCTTGGGAATCGGATTTGAAGAAAACTGGAAGAAGACATTCCCAGCTACCAACTTGTCTTCAGGCATGGGTGGGGAACAACTTGGAGAATACAAGGGACATTTGCCCCAAACCTTTTTGCAAAAACAACTCCAGCCCATGAAACATCATACCGGTTTCATGGTCATCATGTTTCAGGGTCAAGACTGGTCCCACCATCCTACCATTCTTCCAGTTTGTTTGTGCACATTTTCCCCGAAAAAAGATGCAACAAACACTCCGAGTCAATCCTGGTCCTGTGTTTTTTTCGGAGGCTTGATGGCGCCATGCAGATGTTAGAGGCCTTAGAGGATATGCTGGAGCAGCAGCGAAAGGCGATTTCCGCGCAGAAAGTGGCCATAAGCGCCCTTAAGGACCCTGATTTTCCGGTGTCGCAATTTCCCCAATGGAAAATCAATCATGGGGAAATCATGGGAAATCTAATAGGGAATATCTTCCTTAAGCAAATTAAAGTTTTGGTGGAAATCAGCTGAAAAAATGATTTGATTGGATGAATTTAGGGATAATTTAGGGATGATTTTTGTAAGGTTCCCAAAAAAGATGGAAAAAGTGGTTTCAGGATGTTTTAGATTATGTTTCCCCCATAATTTCCATGTGTTTTTAGCTGTTCCATCTATTGCACCCACTTCCCAGTTCATTCAATTCAGATTTGGTTGGATCAATGGGAGATCTTCAGGATCTTAAAATGGAGGTACTGTACCATATAAGGCCATATTTTCTGGAGGGATATCCCCTTACATAGGCCTCAAAAATAGGCCTTATATCAATGGTAGGTACTTATATAGGCCTTATATATGGTAGGCTTCAATATCTATTGTTATATATGGTAGGTACCTCCAATCAATCGGATCCTGGAATGGCCATTGATTGGAGCCAGCCATGGTCAAAATATGTCAAGATAGGGTGGGGATATCCCACCATCAATGGGATTCCCTTTGCTTTGGATTTAAAAAAACACTAGTAGTGGATGGCATATCTCCCACATTAGGGTACACATATATATATATATATAATACATATATAAATATGCATATGTATATATTTGGTTGGTCGTTTGGATTTTTTATTTTTCCATATGTTGGGAATGTCATCATCCCAACTGACGAACTCCATCATTTTTCAGAGGGGTTGGGTTGAAACCACCAACAATGATATTTATATGTAATTATATATGATGTAATCCGACTTTTGACCATGGCAAGCATGAATTTGTCCCGACACGTGGTATTCCCATCAAAAATCCCAGTGAAATTGGGAAGCTGATGATGAACATCCGGATTTTTCTTGGGCGTTCCCTTCATTTTTCAGGCGCCCCCATATCTCACAAATATTCCTTGGCCAAATATATAGCCTGGACATTTTCAAGGAAATTTCAGAAATCCTCGTGGAAATCTGAAGGTCTGAGATTGAAGAAACATTTCTGGCATACCTGGCCTGGTAAACATACATAAAACTATGGAAAATCACCATTTTTAATGGGTAAATCCACTATATCTATGGTCATTTTCAATAGCTATTTTGACATAACCAGAGGGTACAAAGATTCGTTTTCTTGGCAAGGTTTGGGCTTTCCTGCAGATTTCAAATGATCTCGAAAGAATCTCCAAAAAAAATCTCGCAGACATTTGTTTTTCAGATGCCCAAAAGAAAAGATGTCTCAAGACTAATGTCTGGTTGGTGCTTTGGAACCATGGAATTTTATGACTTTCCATTCAGTTGGGATTTTTATAATCCCAACTGACTTGAAGTCCATCATTTTTCAAAGGGGTTGGGTTGAAACCAGCAACAAGATGTGTAAACCCGAAAAGGTGCCCCATCTCAGAAACAGTAGTGGGGGGTCGTTCTGGATCATTCCATTCCTTGGTGTTTTTTGCCATTGCCATAAACCCAACTGGGGGATGGTTGTTATGGCATAGGTAGGATATTGATATTGTACTTAAGATTACTGGTGCTTAGCAGGGAATGGATGGGTTGCTAGGGGTTGCTGGGATGATTATTGATAGTTATTGTGGATCATTCCCTCATTCCCTGCGTTTAGCACCCGTAAGTAAGATTATATGACCACGAGTGTTTAGCATTTTTCACCCATTAAATGCATGTTTTTACATGATTACATTTTTTCTACCTTTTCGGGATGATTTATTGATATTTATTGATTGGGTATACCACATGATCTGCCTGGAAGAATTCGCGGTCAACCTGGCACGAAGTTCCTGGCAGGAAGAAGGTGCAGTGGATGAGGAAGAGGAAGAGGAGCCGGTTCCGGTCGTGACATCAATGGGGTCTATCAATGGGACAAGCCCAAATTACAGTGTTAATAAATGTTGGTTTCCAATTTATTGGGGGTACCCCGAGTTATCATCCGTTTTATCTTCGGATTTTCCATGATAAACCATCCAGCTATTGGGGTACCTTAAATTTAGGCAACACCCAAATAAAATGGTGACGACCGATGGGAGTTTGGATGCCGTGTTTTTAGACGAACCGTGCTTTTCTGCCTTGAAATAGATAAGGTTCCGTGGAATCTGTGCTATGCAGTATGCGGATCATGTTCAATCTTCCAAGTGGGAAGATGTCAGCTGTTCAAATTTAGTTTGAATGACGAGGGCGAGGACGATGACGACGGCGATGATGATGATCATGATGATGATCATGATGATGATCATGATGATGATCATGATGATGATCATGACGATGATCATGATGATGATCATGATGATGATCATGATGATGATCATGATGATGATCATGATGATGATCATGATGATGATCGTGATGATGATCGTCATGATGATCATGATGATGATCATGATGATGATCATGATGATGATCATGATGATGATCGTGATGATGATCGTGATGATGATCATGATGATGATCATGATGATGATCATGATCATGATCAACACAAATCAATATGTTTCTCTTCAACTTTTCCTCACACTTGAAAAAGCACAGGAAGAAGAGGAGGAGGAGGAGGAGAAGGATGACATCGACGCGGAAGATCCTTGGATCTATTTTGGATTTCTCTAAACCTAACACCCCTTGGTTGTTTTTTCACCATAAAACTCAAAAGATCTGTTCATTTTGATGTTTTGATATGTTTTGGCTATTTGGGATTTTTTAATCTTTGGACGTCTTTGTTGGGGTATTTCTTGAGATTTTCCCAAAGTTTTTGCAGGATGTGAGTCCCGAAAAGTTGATGGCTCTCTTTCAGCAAGCTGAGCAGATGGAGCACGCCCTAAAACAAATCGAAGCCTTGGGAAAGGCCTGGCATGGCGTGGAAAAGCGTGTTTTTTTTCCCCTGGTGGTGTCCTAAAAACAAATACACCAAATGGCTACCTATGGGTACACCTTAAATCATCCCAAGTCCATGTCGGTTTTCCATTAAAAACTTGGATGATTTTGGGGTACCACTTTAGGAAATCTCCATTTGATCGATCAAGAAATTCTGAATGGAGGAATCATCCCCATAGCCAAACATGGCCCAGCTATTTTCAGCCAGAGGCACGGGGAGTTGACCCTAAAAATTGGAGATTTATGGGATAGTGGATGATAGTGGCAAACATTTGTTGATATATGGCGGTTTGGCCCGCTTATGTTGATCATGTTGATATTCATGTTGATAGTGTGAGGATTCGCCCACCAAAATGGTGCTAGTACCGGGAGAAAAAAAAAGACACACCTTTGGGATGGCCTAAATGTCGGTCCCAACGCACAGAAATTTTGGCTGAAAACCGCAATGTGAGACAGACATTTTTTGTGAAATCACTGGAAAACACCCCTCATTTCGAATTGGAATTTTCATGGTGTTACTAAAATGCATACTTTTTTTAATCGGATGAGTTTATCATTTGTTTTCAAACTTGGTGCTAGAATCTGCTAGAACTAGCTGCGCCCCCTAAAATCCAACACGTCGTTGTTTATGGACAAAGAAATTGAACATCCCAATAGAATGGATAATCTTTCGTGCCTCCTCACCATGAGCGACTTTGCTGATGCCGCGGAAGAGAGAGATAAAGAGATAGCCATTTCTAAGTTTCCCAAGTATATAGTCAATGGGAATTTGAGGATCCTAAAATGGAAGTACCATATAAGGCCATATTTTGTGGGGATATTCCCTTACATAGCCCTTACATAGGCCTTATATACGGTAGGTACCTCCAATTTAGGATCCTGGAATGGCCATTGAATATTCAACTATTTTCATAGAACTCAATGATCCAGAAAGTATCTCAGTGTCCCACGATAAAGGGGCCTTGGCATGCCTTGGCCAACTTTGCATAGGCAGGGCTGTTGGACGGCGGAGGTGGTGATGGCGATGTGGATGCCATCCTCAGTCGCTTGCACGCCTTGGAAGAGGAAAAGGCGAACTTTGAACGGATGGTGGCGCAATCCAAGTAGCTAGGTGATGCTAGGTGAAACAGTTTGAAGTCACTTGAAGTCCAAAAAATGGGAAGGATAGGAAAAACAGGGAAGTGATTAAAAAAGAACTTTGATCAATGTTGTGGCCTGCAAGTGGGTCAAAAGATCAACTGCAACAGGGTTGAGAACATCTGAGAACCTGATAGGTTAGTCCAGAAGATGCCAAAAAAATATCTCCAAAAGTGCCAGAATTTAGTGAAACATGCAACGTTGCTTTGTGTGGCCCATTTTCGGAGAAACTCAAGTGAAATGAGCTGAGCGGTGCTGAGTTGAGCGGTGGGAATCCAAGCTGCAAATGATGATGCTACCATGAATGCTGTATGAAATGCTACTATCATGATGGGGACATACTCAAACACATACAGAGACACACACTTATTACAGGTAATATAATATACATATATATATATAATTATATATAGGTGTATATATATATATATATATCGTGGATGCAGTATACATAGTCACATAGTTTTTCGGTTTTACACACACACACATATATATATATATATTATGTCTGTGTGCATAGTTTGCTTCTATAGCCCACCAGCAATCACCAACCACCTACACCGGTCCGGCCACCAAACGACTGTGGCCGGACATCGTGAATCGAAAATGGATACCTCCGGGTGGAAAAGCGAAAATGGAGCGGCAACGGCGTGCGATGTTCGACATCGTGGTACTGGGTGTGTTTCGTGGTGCTTCTGAGGGATTGGCAAGTTGGGAAGGTGGTGGATGCCAAACATTTGCAGTGTTTTTTTTCGGTTTTACCCTGATATTGGACGGTAAAACTATAGTTTCTGATGTTTCTGCAGGTTTCTGCTTCACATTTGGTCCCAAAATGGTCAACATCATCGAGCCATTCATTGCTCTGCGGTTTGCGCATTCGGCTTCGGGCCGCAGGGATCATTGCTCTCGTCACCAACCTGACAACAGCAACGATTGGATTGTGGACCAAGGTGCCAAGACAATTGCCATGTGGCTGTGTTTCATTCGGTACATCATGCTATCATCATTAGTTAACATAAACTAAGCATTTTTGGGGATGTAGGTTACATCCCCAAACATGCTTAGTTTATGTTAACCAATGATGATAGGGATATACCGATGGGAAGCCATTTCGGGATAATGATGTACTATGTTTATGAGACACATTCATCATCATTAATAGTACAACATGTTAGTTTCATAGGGGAAAAAAGTCAGATTCATGCGCAGTTGGGGTCGCGTTGTTGGGGTGGAAATGGTATAGCCATGGTGATGGTAAACCCCCAGAAGTTGGGATAAAGCCCCGAAGAAACCATGGAACCAGCACTTCCAAGTGGGGATTACTCCCTGGTAAACTAAGAGTTAAGCTAGTGAAAAGTAGCCATTTATGAATATGGTTGATTTACAGATTGAAAATTGTGATTGTCTGTAGTTCTGTTAGTTTACCAGAGGATAATTATGATCAAATGTGGGGTGCCATCTCATAAGGAAATCCCGTGTGCAGCCGAGAGAAACAGAGATCCCTATGATTCCATGATGATGTCATGTTGGCTTTTGATGACACTCTAAACTCACAAAAAACTATTGAACATGGCCGTTTATGGTTGATTTAGCCATTAAAAAGGTGGATTTTTCCATAGTCATGTTGTATGTTTACCAGAGGGTATGTCTGAAACCCTTCTTGTCGAATGAAAAAATGGGGTCACGCTGTCGTTAAATCATGTGAGATTTTGAAATCCCAATGTATTGCCGGTAAAACTGCATGCATTTCATTCAAAACTACCCTCTGGTAAACATACAAAAAACTATGGAAAATCACAATTTTCAATGGGTAAATCCACTATAAATGGCCATGTTCAATAGCTATGTTAAATTACCAGAGGGTAAATTTTCTGAAATGGATGAAGACAAAATCTGCAGGACTGGGAAAATTGTGGCTTGCGGGTTCCTGTAGATGATCTAAGCATGCTCGAAATCGATAGCGACTATCATGATGAGTATCTATGAAACGCTGTGAGCCTTGGGGGGCATAAGCCACAGGTGATGAACCTAATGGTGAAACCTCACATGAATAATGTCAATTTTTTCCCTAAGGCCCAAGCTGCTTAAACATGTTTAAAGTTATATCTTGGGATGATGACGCTTCCCTAAAAGAGACACTGGCGCCCTCGTGTTTTCTAGGACTTACCTTCTAGTATTCTAACAGTTTGAATAACCCATGTGTAGATGATCTATATGCTGTACCATGCTGTACTTTTTTTTGCTGCAAACTCTGAAAAAATTACAGGAGGCTTTCTCACTATTGCACATATGTTCCTATATGTTAGCCATATATGTTTCCTATATGTTTTCCACATCCCAAAAAAATCGTCCAAAAGTCTCGTTCCTGCAAACTCCAGCCTTCAGGTGCAGCGAGTTCTACTCCCCACCCCTGCCAGGTGAATCGGAATTCGATTCTCGGGCGATTTTTGGGGGCAGATGATGAAAAAAAAACATGTGGTTTTGCTATGTGTTGCTTCAGAGATACCATGATATTCCAGTAATTGCTGAGTTCATTGAGTTTCTTTGGATCCAGAAATTGTGAATCCACTAGGATTGCTGCTGATGTTGTTTGGTGGGTTCTGGGGAGCCCTTTATCAAGTCCAAGGTTATCGGAGAAAGATATCAAAAGATGAAATCATGATGTTTGGTTATTGCCAAAGATTTCTGGGATTCAATGCGACTGAGTTGTTTGGAACATATTGACATGTCAAATGAGTCTTAATGAAACAAAATCGAAATCGATGTTTCAATATTCAAAGTTGCAATATTTTGGAGTTGCGAAGCCACTGAAGTCACTGGAGCCAGCCAATTCATGGACCCATGCCTGCAGGATTTTAACATCAGATTCAGCTGTGAACAATTTGGAACATCCCACAAAACATGGCTGGTTGGTGGTTTCAAACATGACTTTTATCTTGATTTCATATATTTTTCAGAGGGGTAGGTCAACCACCAAACAGATGAGGAATCTGCCTGCCATTGCTATAGGGACTCTTCGAATCAAAGAGATTGATTCAGGGATGCTTGCTCGTCTAATCCCTTACCGGGGAAATATGACGTTCCTGATGGTAGTAAATACTACCCGAATGGCCCCCAATTAATCAGCATAAATCATATAAACCCCCTACCATGGTTTCAAACAGTTGGGTCGATAGGACCGATAGGATTAATTACTTGAGGACCCTATCAGTGTTTCTGACTGTTTCTGATTTCAGGCTTTGCCAAACCTTTGCCAACTGGCTGGGAGAATCAGCTTTCGAGATCATCTCACTGTTTTTCCTCGGTAAATCATGGTGCAGTTTAGCTTCATATGCCAGATCAAAGGTGTTTGAACGGGTTGAGCTTCAAAACGGGCATCACTAGAAACCAAAATACGCGTGTGCGCGCGCTCTCTCTCTCTCTCTCTTTCGTTTTTGTTTCAAAACTTCCAGTTTGGGATGTTTTGGGGTTTGGGTTTCTCGGGCTGTAGCCAAAAGAATGGGCAAGAAAAGGGGCACAAAAATTGGTGAGAAAATGTAAGTTTTGACTGGTATTTAAACAAGTTATATACAAATGCGCTATAACATTATCAGTGGTTGCATTGTGAACAAGTGGAGCAACCAACGATACAGCCAACAACAGTGGGTAGCCCAGGGGCGGAATTTTCGCAACAAACCATTGCGATGATGTTTGCAATGTGCATCTCTATGGGCATAGACATCACACTGACTAGACAAGAGACAAAAAGTTCAAACATGCTTGGGTCTGTCCAAACAGGACTTCACTAGCCAAGAAAATCTAGGACAAACAACTAGATTCAAGTGATGGCGTCAATCAGAATGCTGAAAAATGTCAGTCCTGGATGACAGGCGAAGACATCCTAAATTTCGAGCATATAGCCTCTGGTAAACTGTTATAACTATGGAAAATCACCATGTTTAATGGGAAAATCCACTATAAATAGCCATTTTCAATAGCTATGTTAAATTACCAGAGGGTAGCCCTTCAAAATAAAAAAATAGTCCCTGTATATAGTTCTCTGCAACCTGACTGCTCCAGAATCATTAATATAAGGGAAAACAGCATGACACCTGCCACCAGATTTGGACATTAAAAAATCAATGAAAACTCTGCTGAATCCAGTTTCCGAAAGATGTTTCTTCTAGAAAATCATAGACTGGTTGGTGGTTTGGAACATGTTTTTATTTTCCATAATATATATATATATATATTATATTGGGAATTTCATAATCCCAACTGACTTTGATATTTTTCAAAGGGGTAGGTCAACCACCAAGCAGTAGAAAACCCAGCAAGATCGGCATTTTTCGAGGTTCCACTACATCTTCAATCTGCGAGAATTGAGCCGGGTCTTTCAGGCGAAATCCGTCAACTTTCGCTGATGGAAAGCGTGGCGAAAAATCTCGGTTTGCAACTAATCGAGCTAGGGCCGTAGATCAAGATATTTACCCTCTGGCTATTTAACATAGCCATGGAAAATTGCCCATTTATAGATGGTTTACCTGGGTTTACCTATTAAAAATAGTGTTTTCCATGGCTATGTTAAATAACCAGATGGTAATGATATTTAGCTAATATGGATCTTAAAAAAATAAAACAACAACTTATAATTAGGCTGGTGCCACATTTGCGAAAAATGGCTGTTGTTCTCCACACTTTTGGGATCTCGCGATTCAACATGGTCCATCCTGGAATATTTCATGAGTTAATGATAGTTACAATGTGGGGCCCCCCAGTGATGTTTGTTGGTTTATAAACCCCATGAATACTATACGTAGTTATAAGTTATAAGTACCATAAACCATAGTTATTGGAGTTATAAACCAACTTAGCTATCTTGGGGGCCCCACATTGTAATGCAGTATTTATCCGTTTGTGATCTAAGTTCTTGATTTGGACGATGTAAAATCGGCTGGATAAGATACTAAATTCACGTTTTTGTTGTGGGTGCCACCAGGGCCACCAGACTAAAATCATCAGCATTTTCCATCATTGTCCATTCCTTCCTTGGGATCTGCAACCCATCCAAAGAAATCCATGAACTATCATGAACTTTCCAGAATGGAAGCAGCAAACAAAATGGTTCCGAGAATCACTGCTGGTTGTGGAACATGATTTTTACTTTTCCATTCAGTTGGGAATAATCATCCAACTGACCAATATGTTTCAGAGGGGCAGGTATACCACCAACAAGACTGTCTTGTTGAGTCTATGGCCTTCCTTTAGCTGTTTTACATGTCATATTCAGGCGTATTCATCATATACGTCAGGTGCACTTTGACAAATTTCCACACCTGGAAACAGTATGGATCATTCCAGGGATCCTAACCATGCTTTGCGAGTCTTACTTAGTGCAGACATTGAGGTCGTCAAAATGAAAAAACATGATTCAGCCAACTCCCTTGAATACTACGGCGCAAGACCATCCATAATTACTCACACTTACCCTCTGGTAAACTAACATAGCCATGGAAAATCACCATTTTTAATGGGTAAATCCACTATGTTAAATGACCAGAGGGTATCATATCTTTTTCGATGGAACATAGGCCACCAATGGAAACACCAAGTCCCCCGCGCATCCCGGCGTAGGGGATCATGGAGACACCGCAAGCAGTGGCAGGGACACTCAGTTTTGCGAGTCATATCAGGTGACCAGGTGGCCTTTGACTTGACATGTGGATGTGATTGGATGTGATTGGATGGGTGTTACCATGGTATCATCATATGAGCCACTTGTTTTGCAAAAGCCTTGTTCCTGACATGTTCAGAATCAACGGCCTGATGGAAAACAGAGAGAGAGAGAGAAAAAACAGCAACAAGGAAAGATGGGAAAGCCATGCGCAAAATAAGGTTCATGTTGCGCCACCAGGATATGGTGGATATGGTAGTTCCAGCCAGTGGGTTCTTAAACATGTCAGAAGGCTGTCAGGGCTGATTTTATTCTGTTCGGTTGCCCCAGAAGTTTCAGATTCTGTCAATGTGGAACATGGTGAAATCTCATGTTAATCTGTGCGTTGGGGGAATCCTTAGGATCCTTCATTTCTCAAAGTGTGGATGGAGGAAATCCATGGAAATCCTGCACCAGTTCCGACGGTTTATCCCCCATTGTAATATATACTACAAAATTCCATTATTTTTCCTGGTTGGTGGTTTGGAACATGAATTTTATTTTCCATAATATATGGGATGTCATCCTTCCCATTGACTAATATTTTGTGTACAAAGGGTGAGAGTGACAAGCTAATCGCGGGTCCACGGCTATCGAGGCATTCAACTTTGCAGTTGTGGCAAAATTGATTAATATTCTATTTGATGGTTCGGAAACTCGATTCGTAGCTCCTTGGCTCCCCATTGAATAGGGAATATATAGGGAATACTCTAATACCCCTAGCTCCAAATCGCTCCCTCCTAACCACTGTACCATATAAGGCCATATTTTGTGGTGATATTCACTTACATAGGCCTCAAAAATAGGCCTTATATATGGTAGGTACCTCCAATCAATCGGATCCTGAAGATCTCCCATTGATCATATGTTTTCAGATGTTTCATAGGATTCCATAAAAATTAGGCTTTCAGGATTCCCTGTGGATACATTTTCATAGGATTCCATAAACCAATCTATTGACCATAAGGATGGCTTGTGTATCCACAGTGTTCCAGCCTTTTTTTCCTGAGATCTCGGATGAAGAACGACTGGTCTCGTTATGGAGGCGGGGGGTGCAGTCGGTGGCGTCATGGTGTTTAACATGGCAGGATGGCAGGATGGTGGGATTGAAACCATCCATATTATGGGACCGGAGGTTTATGACGTTTATGACGTTTATGACATTACTCACATTTTAATGGGATTTCATGGGATTCCAATGAGATAGACCCTTTGGTATTCAAGAGTTTGCTATTGAACATGGACCAGTTATAGTTGATGTTGCTTCGAAAATTGCGATTTTCCACAGCTATGTATGTTAATTATATGGATTGATGGTGAAAACCCCCGCCATTTATGGTTTTCTATTGAGGACGGTGGATCCTATGTTGCTTGGCTCTAACACGAAAAAAAAAGAGCCATTGTTAACCGGAAGCATGTTCAACTATACAACTCTAGTGATTTATGGTCAGATAATGGGGATGATGATGACTTGGATTTGCTGAGTTGGTTTTGTGATATTTTTCCAATGGGAAATCCACTACTTGGGGAATCTACTAATGATTATAATCTGGGTCAAACAATAAACCATCCCCCAATTTTTATAGGTGGTAATAAACCATTCCCAAATGTCTGGTTAATGACATTGTTTTACCCACATTAGTTGCTTTGTTTTCTCTCGGGGATTCTGAAGCACATCCAAGAAAATCGAGATGAGTTGGGTGAGGTAGAGGGACTATAGGTTGGTGGAAGTAAGTGAAAGATGAAGGTTGTAAGTGAGGGCCAGGCCAAGTCAAAAATTGTTTTTTGGACCATGCGGAATTGAAATTGACCAGATCAAATGGAGCATACTGTGGCACACCCAATGCCATAAACAATCCCATTAACCAACCATTTGTGGATCAAGGAAAACATAATCCGATTACCGGGGGTCTAGCCAATAATAAACCTCTATGGTGGATGGTTTATGATGTTTTATTATCCGGTAGAAACCACATTGCAGTTTCTGTTGCAGATACCCTCTGGTAAACATACAAAAAGCAATGGAAAGATCCACCATTTTCAATGGGAAAATCCACGAACTAAATGGCAATTTTCAATAGTTACCCTCCGGTAAACTAACAGTTAGCTATGGAAAATTGCCCAGAGAAATAGATGGTTTACCGTTCTTAAAAATGGTGATTTTGCCGTTCAATGGCTTTTTGTATCTTTACCAGAGGGTAAAGCCATAGGCTTCCAGCAAGTCGCAGCGCAGATCGAATCAGAGCCATGTGCAGAAATCCCATGAGAAAACTGGGGACAGCACTCTCAGCTGTGGTTATGAGGGGAAGTGGGAGATGGATAGCTATGGATATCTATGAAATTCTATGAAGGTGTTTGCCAACTGGTGATATATCCATCGACATTTGGATGAATTACAATCTGGTTATGACTAACATAGCCATGGAAAATCCCTGAAATAAATGGAAGTTTCTAGCTGGGAAAATCATCTATTTCTATGGGCCATCTGTACCATGGCTATGTTAGATAACCAGAGTGTACGAGGGGAAGTTTTGAAAGAAGGGCTAAGACCTACTGTTGATGTAAGAAATGCTGCACCAGTTGATAGATTCTGATAGATGGTTTATCCCATGATTTATAGGGTTTCAACCATCCTTTTGGTGGTGCAGGATTTCGCAACCATCCACAGTAGGACCATATCATTTTGCCAATGTCTGAACAATAACTATCATCAATAACACTTAAAAAACTATCATGTGCCAAATGGAAACTGCTGATTATCCCCAACTGGCTCATCATTTTGCCAATGTCTGTTGAAAAACACCAAGTTTTTTCTGTTTTTCACCAATGTTTGCACTCAATACAACTAGGTCAACCTTGGATGGGTAGAAACTAATCCTAACTAATCTTTTGCTATCACTGGGAATATCGATTAACCAGCAAAAATATATTTTTTTTTGTTGCCAGGTATCTAAGAGATTGGCAATGGATCCTTGGGTGTTTTGCTGGTCATTTCCTCATCGTTCTTGATCAAATCCCATTTTCCACCATGATTGAGCCATGCGTCAACATTGGACCAAAAAAAACATGGTTTCCCCCTTTGCCTGGTGTACCCAGAATAGATGTTCTACGATTTTCTCCGGCAATACATGGGCAGCTTGGAAAATCCCCTTCTGAACGGTGGATGTTCGATGCTAGCCATGGTTGATGAGACCGGATGGTATACCCTCTGGTTATTTAACAGTTTGCCATGGTATAGATGGCCACACTAATAGTAATCGGTGCAACTTATGCGTAAATAGTACACATCCACTGATGTGTACCCCCTGCAATGTTCAATACCAATCTGTTCTGGTTGGTGGTTTCAAACATTTATTTTCCATGATAAAAAAGGGATGTCATCCTTCCCATTGACGAACTCCATCATTTTTCAAGATGGTTAGGTCAACCACCAACCAGGTTATTATTAACCATCATTAACCATATAATAACAATTATTAACAATATATTAACCATATATTAACCATTACTAACAGTATATTAACCATATATTAACCATATATTCACCATTGATTAGTGATTCATGAATGATTGTCATTTATCCAGATCAATCCACCATTTTTTCCTGGTTCAACCTTCCATTAAGAACCACCCCATCAAGGGGTACACATCAGTGTCCACGCTCCAGGCACGAATGTACCAGGGTATTTGGAGACAAGCTGGCCCGAGAACAGGACTAGTTGGCCTTGGATCAAACATGGCATTGGGAAATCCCTGGCGATGGAGGTGATGAAGTGGAAAATTACTCTCTAGTAAACATACAAAACAAACTATGGAAAGATCCACCATTTTCAATGGGTAAATCAACTATAAAATACTATAGTCATTTTTCAATAGCTATGTAACAAATTACCAGAGGGTACTCGCAAATATCATGACATAATCATCAATCACCATGCTATTAAGTTTGGTAAACCATCTATTTCGATTAGGGCCATCTATACCATGGCTATGTTAGTCATAACCAGGTTGGGTATCTATAAATGGTTGGTGCTTTGGAACCATGTTTTATTTTCCAAAAAACCAGATTGGGATATGTTGGGATGATCATGGTTATGACTAACATAGCTATTGAAGATCACCATGCTATTCATGGGTAAATTCACTATTTCGACTGGGCCATTTTTCAACGGCTTTTTGACATAACCAGAGGGTAACCACCAGTTTATTTCTATGGCAATTTTTAAAAACTATGTTAGTTTACCAGAGGGTAAATGGAGGCAACAAGTGTTTCGCTCGACGCTTTTTGATGTAGTCCACCTAGTCATCTTTGCAATTTTGGACACGAATCTCTTTGGATAAAAAAACATACCCTCTGGTAAACTAACATAACTATTGAAAATGGTGATTTATAGTGGATTTTCCCATTAAAAATTGTGATTTTTCATAGTTATGTTAGTTTACCAGAGGGTAAATACGTTTTCATGATTGATTAATGATTTGAAATCGCCACCAAGAGACCTGTTCTTTAAACAAACATTGCCACTTGCCATCAAAGCAGCCCAATCGGGACCAGGACAAAAGTTTGGTGGAAAAGCTGGTGCACGACTTTGCAGCCTCAACCTCGGCGGAAAATGGGTCAATACCAGGTTTAGATCTGTTTCTGGTTGGTGGTTTGGAACATGTTTTATTTCCATAGATTGGGAATGTCATCATCCCAACTGACTTTAACTCCATCATTTTTCAGAGGGGTGGCGAAGAACCAGCAACCAGGTTTAGGAAGTTCCATTTGGAATGTCCCTAGTTATAGAATTGGAAAAAATCCGATGAGTTTTCTCCACTCTTATGAGTAGGTTGCTGTAGCTTGCACCTGGATCATTTGTTCAGAAAACCACCTTGGAAGCAGTTTTTTCACTTCCCCTTCCATCTTCGAGGCCATGCGGAGACCGTGGGAAATCCCTTACCCATAGGATCCATGTATGCTATATATGCTAACATTGGGGGTATATTGATGTTAAATGTTACCATATATATAGCATACATGGATCCTATGGGTTTTGAATTCTGGTAAAACGGGAAAATCCATGAGAATCTATGGATGAAAGGTTATCATCGATCTGGGTAAATTTGATCACGACCGAGCCCTGCGACCGAGCCCTGGAAATCATGGTGTTTTTATAGGGGAATCATCCCCAAATGGCCGCAAGATTCAGGTTAGTGAAATATTAACCAACCAGTCATAATTAACAATCTATTAACCACTATTAACCACTATAACCATATGGATAGGTCAACCACCAACCAGATGAGAATCTATGGATGAAGGGTTATCATCTATGGAATTCCTTGGCTTTTCAAGCCATGGGACTCCATGGGGCCTTTGAACGAAGGGCCTTCAAGTGCTGCAACGTTGCCTACAGCCACCCACGGACCCACGTTGTTGTTTTTTTAAGTCCCAACCGGTCCCAAGCCTAGCGGCCTAGCGTTTGTAGCCCAAATGACTGCCTGTAAGTGCTGTATGTTGCGGCCATTTCCCCTGCTGTTTGTAGCCCACATTGCCTGTTTTAAACGTTCTTGAAATCCTTAATTGTCATCGGTTCAGGACATAATGGGCGTAGAGTTTCACGATCCGAGGCAGAACATTTTGGAGAGCAGCTGGCTACCTACACAGTCCCAAGCCCCGGAGTTTTGACGATGGCTTGTGGCCATGAAGAGTGTTAGTTTGGTCCGAAAAAGTGATGGAATGCCACAATTTATGGCATGATATGGCAAATTTCATAGCGATATGATCAATGGATTGGTTTAAGGGAAAATCTTAACCGGAAACCATAGATTTTCCCATTCAATATGGCTTTTTCCTGTAAATTTTCCCTTAAACCAATCCAGTGATATGATGATAACGATGATCAAACCATGAGATTTTGATCCGTTTTTTTTTGGCGGAGTCGCTGGCCTCGAAGTGACGGGCTTTTCTGGGGCTAATTGGATCCTATCAGATTTCAATATATATATATATGTATACCATCTGGTATAGCTATTGAAAATGGTCATTTATAGTGAGTTTTCCCATTAAAAATGGTGATTTTCCATAGTTTTTTTGTATGTTTACCAGAGGGTATACCATCTGGTTATGACTCACATAGCCCATGGAAAATCCCAACCATAAATGGAGGTTTATAGCTGGGAAAATCATCTATTTCTATGGGCCATCTATACCATGGCTATGTTAAATAACCAGAGGGTATTTGGTTGGAACATGAATACCACCCATAAAACTGGCGATTTTGGGGATGGTTTATGATTGTTTTACCCACATTATCCAGATTTATAGCCTGGTTATATAACGGTTTGCCATTTTTAAGTTTGGTAAACTATCTATTTCTATGGGCCATCTATACCATGGCAAACTGTTAAATAACCAGAGGGTATCTGGTTGGTGGTTTGGAACCATGTAATTTGATGACTTTCCATTCAACTGGGAATGTTATCATCCCAACTGACGAACTGATATTTTTCAGAGGGGTAGGTATACCACCAACTAGTTATGGGTTTCCATAAATGGAGATAACCCAAAATGGATGGTTTTTTTCATGGAAGAAACCTATTAACCTATTGTTTTAGTGTATGATTTAGGGGCACCCATGAGTGCCTCCATTTTTGGAAAGCTTCATATTTCAATGTTTTGCCATGAATGGTCTCAAGTGTTTTTTTCCTCATGGGTGACTAGAGCTATGCACATTCAACGCTACCATCCCTCGTTGAGGTACTTGACCTCGGCAGTGAACAAAAAATCATTTTGGTAGAAATTTAGGTTTTTGGTATCTGGCAACACTGGACAATCCAGTTTTTTGGGTGGGAAAATATACACCACCTATATGATGATTTTCCATTTCTTCAATTTCTTCCATGGCCAGGTAGCAGAGGGTACATCAGTAGAGAGATTCTTTGTTAGCACTGGATGTGTTCCAACGAAACGCCCTGTTTTCGCCACGCCACTTTGTTTGGTCAGTCCCCAACGTGCTGGTGGTGCGACTTTCAACGCGGGGCGTCCCAGATGCCTCACATTGCCTGGATTTGCTGGAGATTATTTTCATTGATTTTCCCAGTGGTTCATCCATATAGTTATGATGGGAAACTACCATAAATGGTGAACAATTCACCATAAATGATGGAAAATTCACCATAACTGGAAAGTTCACAATATTTTAGATGATCTATTTGGAAAATTCACCAAAAATGATGGAAAACAACCATTGCTCCATCTATTTTATGGAACATGTTCGTGTTTTAAGAGCAACGGATCAAGGTTGGTCACCATAATCGCCAACGTGAATGGGGCACCATGAAAAGCTAACCGTTGACCTGACCGAACCAGGTGATCGACCTCCCCCTTCTGAAGATGATGAGGCGGGAAAGGTATGACCTTCATTGGTTTCATTTGGTTTCCAAGATCTGGGTGCAAAAATGTGGATTGGTAGTATGTAAATTAGAAAAGTGGATAAAAGTGGCGAACAGGACTTCGATTACCAAAGAAAAATGCTGTTTCTTTTGACAGAAGTTCTTCCAAAATCACAAGGAAGAACAGTTTCATGAGCTGTCCGGAGAGCAAACTTTGCCTTCCATCCAATCTTTCGGCATCCAATCTTTGGCAGCAGGACAAGGTTTCAATACCAAACTGCATGAGGCCAACCGTAGACGAGAAAACTAACAATGTGCAAAGAAAAGATGCAAAAAAAAAAGCCGTGCATTTCTTATGCGTGGTTTTCGTGTTTTCAAGTTTTGAAGAAAATCTGCTACGAGGAAAACATGAGATTTGTTAGTACTAAATTTTCCAGCAAAAGAAAAACAAAAAAGAACTGATTGGAAAGACTCCTGGCATGGATCGTGGCCATCCATGCAAATGTTGGATGGATTTATATAGATGGGTGGATTTTACGAAACCTTTGGGAGGTATCGTTAGGACTTAAACAGTGAAAGGAGAAATAGAACATTTGGAGGTTTCCTGAAATGGGGGGGTACCCTCAAATTGCCATAAATTTTACATTTATTTGTTCGACCATTTTAAGAAATGTTCTTAAAGTAGGGAAACCAATGGTGACTTGGGGGTTCCCTACTTTAAGAACTTTTAAGTAAACCTCCATTCAATGGGAATTTAAGGATCCTAAAATGGAGGTACGTTAGTACCATATTTCAGGCCATATTTTCTGGAGATATCCCCTTACATAGGCCTTATATAGGCCTTATATATGGTAGGTACCTCCAATCAATCGGATCCTGGAATGGCCATTGATCCATGTGTTGGAAAAATTCTTCTATCAGGATCCAGTAGCGCCGAAGATCTATGAACCGGTGACGTGCGGAGCCTTTTGCGAAACGTGCTGGTCAATTTGCATGTAGTTTATATGACCGGGAAATGGTCACGGTCGACCTGTCGACCTTTCCGGTTTCTAACTGTTATCATAGGTCATCTGGTTGGTGGTTTCAAACATTCATTTATTTTCCATAATAAAACAGGGATGTCATCCTTCCCATGGACGAACTCATATTTTTCAAGATGGTAGGTCAACCACCAACCAGTCATTATATGTTAATTATGTGTTATTATATGAGTTATTATCAACCAGCGAATTCTTGTAATTGTTACCATCTTGTTATTTCACATAGCCATGGAAAATCACAATTTTTAATAGGTAAACCATCTACAAATGGGCCATCTATACCGTGGCAAACTGTTAGTCATAACCAGGTTGGGTAAATTTCATGAATATCCCATTGAATCACAACAAAAAATCCCATTAACCATCATTTACCAGTTTTATCACTATAAAATCACCAGAAGTCACTTTTTACATCATATAAGCATCATATAACCAGGTTGGGTAATGGCCTTGGCCCTATTTTTCAAAGTCACAACCGAAGTCGAAACCATGGCAAAAACCCACATGGCTCCAGGGTAAATGACCAAGGTCATTGGCCGACGTTTGTCGAAAGGCTTATGAGTTCCTGGCCAGGCCGTGGTTTACCAATGAAGGTCCTGGTTTGATGATCCTTTTGTCATTTAAAGCCACGGGACATGTTGGAAAATGTGTTTATTTAATATATCATATCTATCTATATATATATATATATGATATATATGATATATATACATGTGTATATCATATATATCGTTTATTTGATTGTCATAGATGTTTTATGGATGTTTATTTCAAAATGAAAGGGGCGCCCCCCGGGCCCATGTTTCATTGCCAGAGGATGCCGTGCAGTGTGTTTTCACGTTGAAGCCAAAGGTCAAAGTTTATGAAGGTAGCGATGATGGAACCACATACCAACCATGATCAACCATGTAGATGTGAGAGAAACGACCCATTCAAAGGGGCACAAGGAGCAGATCCAATGCCGACAGACAAAGAACAAAAAGAAGAAGAAGAACAACAACAACAACAGCAACATATTGAGAACCAGCAACATAAATTCACACTGGCTGACATCGACGGAAATAGCCAAGTTTTCCCTCGTCTCAATGTACTTTGAACACATCATGCTGGTCCAGTGGACGCCAGGTTCAATCAGAAGAACCAAGCCAAGGTGCCTCGGGCACACATCCACTGGCCATGGCAAAATGAGAAACTGCCTCTGCGAAAAAGGGATCTGGATGGGAAACCTTTGTGAGATTGAACTGGAGGCTCGCAAATATCATGACATAATCATCAATCACCATTTTTAATAGGTAAACCATCTATAAATGGGCCATCTATACCATGGCTATGTTAAATCACCAGAGGGTATTTATCTTGTTGGTGGTTTGGAACATGTTTTTTATGACTTTCCATATGTTTGGAATAATCATCCCAACTGACTTTCATATTTTTCAGAGGGGTTGAAACCACCAACCAGATAACTACTGAAAAACATGAACACGATTGTACCATACTGTTTGTATCCCAGATTCGTTCAGCAATGGTTTCCCAGCTTGTTCAAGAACCACCTTAAAATGCAGGTTTATTTGCATGTTTTTTAGTCATGGCACATCACATGATCCCAAATATGTTTCCATCAGCATCGACGATGTGCCCAGATCTTCCCCCCATGTTTCAGGTATGGTATCATATTCTGTCCCATCGTCCATGGTCTGATTTCAGACACCCATAGGTGTTTCCGCACCAGATATGTTGTAGAGATGTGTTAAAGCAGACTAAAACCATCAACTATTGTTGAATTGGATCTAGAGAAACGTTTCGCACGGAACCCTCTGTGCTATCCCAGATTTCGTTGGAATAATGATGGTTTCCTCACAGTTTCGTAAAGGTCTAAAGTTTCATTGAAATCCACCATGTTCATAATATGTTCACATGAAATCCCTCGATTTCATCGAAAAAAACCTGGGAAATCCCAAGGTTCCCATCTGAAGATCTGAAGATCAACATGTCCATTTTCCCATAGGAAATCCCATAGAAAAAATCTCCATATTAGAGCATTTTCTCTAAACAGCAGGCCATGAACTTGGTGCTGTTTGAAGATGCCTTGATGCACCTGCCCGGGGATCTCGGGTCACAGGATGTCACAGGTTGGCAATGGAAAATGGTCAGTTTCTGGATGATTCGCCTTAGAATAGAGACCTATTCAAAATGGATAAAATATGACTGCTTGGTGCTGACTGGAACCATGGAATTTTATGACTTTCCAGAAACAGTTGGGAATGGAATAACATCCCAACTGACTTTCACTCCATCATTTTTCAGAGGTGTAGGTCAACCACCAACCAGGATAACATGGTGATTCTCCATAGCTATATGTTGAATAACCATAGGGCGACAGTTCCAGATGTGTGGTCAGCTCCCAAAAGCTCGTAGAAGAAAAAAAACACCACCGCAAAAACCCAATGTTGACACAAAGAGATCCCAGAAAAAAGGAAAGATGGTTACCCTCTGGTAAACTAACATAGCTATGGAAAATCACCATTTTTAATGGGTAAATCCACTATAAATGGCTATTTTCAATAGCTTTTTGTATGTTTACCAGAGGGTATGAGTCAAAACCCTTTACCCCTGTAGTTCACATCAAAATTGCTGGGTTTTCATAGATCTTCATCCCCCCCTCTAAATCTCATAGCTGGTGGTGATCCATGTGGCCGACCGCGATCGGATCCACTCAGGATGCGTATCAATCGCACCATCCAGCAAAAACGTGGCAGCGCCGGGGCACCCCAGATTGCGGCAGCAGCAGTTCGCAGTTCTGGATGGCGAATCGAAAAACCACAGAAATGATGGGTTAAATCATTGGAAACACTATGGGTTTGGCATGGTTTGGGCATCATTTTTTTTCAGTTTGCTGCAGCAGAAACTCATGATGAGCTTTACTAATCCTCTGGTAAACTTTCACAACTATGGAAAGATCCACCATTTTCAATCGCTATAAATGGCAACTTGAGCTTTACTCTCTGGTAAACTTTCACATTTTGCGAACTGGAAAGATCCACCATGTTCAATGGGTAAAATCCACTATTTCTATGGCCATTTTCATGATGAGCTTTAGAGCTTTCAGACTGAGAAACATATCAAGCCATCTTTTTTGTTCAGCACGACTTGGGAGATCAGGCGCTATGCGAAGCCTGTGATTTGTTGCTGCCAGTTGGGTAGATGTTGTGAAGTTGCGGTGGCCATTTGTGCTCGAGAAAGGCCGGAGTCCAATTAAGGTTCATTCCATATCATTTCATGGTGTTTCAGTGTGTTTCTCTTTCAAATTCAGAATCAATTTGTGTTGCCGTTCGTGGTTCTCAACTGCAATCTGACTTGGATGAAGGGGAAAACCGCAGGAAAGCCCCATCACTACTGCTGGTAAAAACCAATGGATCCCCTTGGATTTTTCCCCTCTCACCCAACAATCCAAGAAATTCGCTCGGCATTCTCTCAGTCGTTCCTTGATACTTGTTCTATGTGGTGACTGCCATGGCCCGCAAACGGAAACTGCAAGAGGAAGATGCGGTGCCGCCATTGGACAACCTGGACGCATGGGCCTCGCATCCGCGTCTATTGAGGCATGTGAGGTGTTTAGTGGCTTCCAAGAATCCGCTTCTCGGATTTCCATTTCTTGAGAAGACGATATGTTTTAATGTCAACCCCGGATTAATAAACCATGGTTTATTAATTAGGGGGGTACTCCTCCAATAGTCATAATCTAATACTTAAATGGTACCTTCCCAATTAAACCGCCTAGGGGTTTATTAATGCAGGGTTGACATTATGATGTTTTCAGTTTGTTTAAGGCATTTTTCCATTTAGAAGAAACACCATTTAAGGGAAATCTATTGGGAATGATCTTAATCTTTTTGAACCAAGAGCACACTGTAAGTTTAAGCATGGCGGTTTCTAGCCATTCCTTACATGTTTGTTTTGTTGGATAATGCTAATTTTTAGGCAACTTGCTGGGAAGCAACCAGTAAGGCGAAGGGTTCTGAAACGTTACAAAGACCGGGCGCATGATGAAGGACAACGTTGCTGCGTCCATGTTGCTGCCTGGGTGGCATTGCTACCTGAGGAGTCGGAACTGCTCAAACCTGCTGCAGAGTTGTTGGCAACCTTGCTGGCAACAAGGCCCAAGACACGACTCCCGAAGATGTTGGGATGTTCTTTTAGATTTTGCACAGAACATTTACCATGTGTATTGTAGCCTATCTATGTTTATATCACTAGTATAATACTCTATATACAGGGGTGAACGTGTTTTTTTTTGAAGAGTACCTTTATACATATATATATGTACGTATGTATATATATATATTTATTTATTCATTCATTTATTTATTTATTTATTCAAATCTCACATGTGCTTTGTTTGACATCCCCAAAACATTTTGCCAAACAAAAGTGGCCATTCCAAGGATATGGCCCCTGGTTTTTGGGCTGCCTAAAGTTGGTGGCGAGGCGACTATCCAAGTCTGACGCCCCCATGTGGAAGGAGCTCAAACAGCACTTGCCACGGAGAGTTTCTTGGATGTGCTGCAGGTCAGATTGTTATTTTCTACCGGTAAACTTTCACATGTTGTGAACTGGAGAATCACCATGCTATCAATGGGTAAATCCACAATAGCTACCCTCCGGTAAACTAAGATTTTGCTGTGGAAAATCACCATTTTTAATGGGTAAATCCATGTAAATCCACTACAAATGGTCAATTTTCAATAGCAAACTGTTAGTCATTACCAGAGGGTAATTGGTTCTCACTGGTTCACCCATCATGGGAATTCCGGAACCTTGTTTTTTGGGGAAGTCGGTGGATCTGTTGTGTTTTTTTAACTTTCCAATTTGGAATGGAGATGTCTCATCATTGTATAATGTCATATGTGATACATGGAATATCATGGAATACATGTAATATGTGATCAATGTGATACATGCATAAGGCATAAGGAGATGTATAATCCTGTCTTGAATCATTATTGATGATTTAATTTCCAATTTAAGAATGGAATTGTTCAATTTCCAATTTGTATTCAAATGTATCATGTATCCAACGGCTATGGAAGTATGTGATCCCATCATGCTCATATTGTGAGGTTTTAATCCACCATTCAGAGAATCGCCCGGCAAGATACAGGATGGTGCCAATAATGTGAATGTCGGCGTATAAACCCCATTAACTAGTTCGTTGTATCTACCATAAACCATACAATGTGAGGCCCCCCGATGTTTGTTGGTTAACAAAAGCCCCAGTAACTATAGTTATTTGCGTACCATAAACCATAGTGAAATTGGAGTTATGTGCACCAACTTAGCTATCGAACGGGGGCCTCACATTGTAGTTAAACCACTAAACCACTTAATTGTTCAACTGAACGCTATCTTGGGGGAACCATCTTGTATGGAACATCCGTTTGGGCTTTTTTTTAGGTTCCAAATCCAAGGTTTGGCAAGACTCGGAGGCCACAGAACTGGAAACCAAACGGCTGCACACAGCCATGACCAAGTGGCACAACGGCAACCCTACTGAGAGGAGGGAGGGGTGCCCTTGGTAGCCTGTGTTCCAGGTTCCAGCAGTTACATCCAAGGCAAAGTACTGCAACTTCACCCTGTCCATGGTTTTTTTTTTCCATAGGCTTGAGATCCAAACCTTCACCGAGTTCTGAAAAATGGTGCTTTGGTTTTGCAATGTTTTGCATCCTTTCGACCCATGTTTCTGGATGTTTTCACCAGAATTTCTTGTAAATGGTCAGCAAAATCAAAGTAAAACCCTGCAGGATCCTTATGTTGAAGAAGATCCACGACACATTTTCCCAGGCTTTAGCCATTTCGCCCACTTCCACGGCCACCTTGGCGTTGCGGCAGAAGTTGCTACAGCTGACGCTGCGGAAGGCGGTCGCTGCGTTGGCCGCACCAAGGGCAGCCTGCGGAGCTGCAGAGAAAATCGCTCGGGAAGAGCGAGAAGGAACCCATGAGCCCAGCCAACAGGAGCTGGAACTGGATATCCCAAGGGTTGGAGTAAACTCTCACATTTTAATTTTGCGAACTGGAAAATCACCATTTTTTTAATGGGTAAATCCACAATAGCTACCCTCTGGTAAACTTTCACATTTTGCGAACTGGAAAGATCCACAATTTTCCATGGGTAAATCCACTATTTCTATGGTCATTTGTCAATAGCTATAAACAAATTACCAGAGGGTAATTATCTATAAAGGGTTGGTGGTTTGGAACCATGGAATTTTATGACTTTCCATATATTGGGAATTTTCATCATCCCAACTGACTTTCATATTTTTCAGAGGTGAAACCACCAACCAGTCATGTTCAATAAAAATAGAACAGTTAGCCTGTGGTAAATTAATATAGACCCGGAAATTCATCCATTTTTAGTGGAAACTATTCTTCCAACTCCTATTTGCCAGGGTCTATGTTAATTTACCAGAGGGTACCCTCTGGTAAACCCTCTGGTAAACTAACAGTTTGCGAACCGGAAAATCAAGATGTTTGATGGATAATTCAACTATAAATGGCAATGTTCAATAGCTATGTAACAAATTACCAGAGGGTAGCAACTCCTCTTTTTTGGGAGTGGATGAGCCATCCTCCAACATGCTTGGCTATAAAAATCCCATTGTTCAGGAAGTTTCTTGACATGGGATTCGCAAAACTCGGCTAGTTTCAATGCTAAGTCATGGTCATGCCTTGGATCATTTGGGGGCACCCTGATTGGAAACCCCTATATCAAACATGTCCGATAGCCATTGTTATATAACCCGAAATATCTTCAAACATCGAACTATAATGGAGAATGGTCCGGAAATGTGAATGATGAACTTGGATTTGCGGTGTGTCGATTATTTTTCGTAATTTTCCCAGAAATAAATCCACTAGAAATTGGGGACATTGGTTAAAGGAATAGATAAGAATAATGTTGGTAAAACAGTGTCAAAAGCCATCCCCCAAATCACAATTTTTATAGGTGGTATTTGTTCCATTCCCAAATGGGTGGTTTATGGCATTGTTTTACCCACATTAGTGTTTTAGGTTTTGGGGACCCCATTGAGCAAATCCTACTGTTCAAGCCTGGATTTTTCACCCCTGGGCTGCGACAGATTGATAAATTTTGGACCATGTTGGTATATATGATTACTAGTTCAGGGCAACCCCCTGATATCCCCTAATCAACCGGGGGTAATTGGTTATCATACAAATGTTATTAATCTGGGGTTGACATTAGATGAGAAATATATGAGTGATGTTTTCAGGATGGAGAGATTTATTGTGTCCTGTTGTGGTGATCTTGGTGATCTTCCATGTGTAGAGAGGATTTTCCTGGATTTCCCCATTAAACTTCATTAAACTGCCAGAAAAATACTGTAGTTGATTTTTCAGTAGCCATATTTGATTACCAGATTGTTTTGGTGCTGTTTTGGTGCTGTTTTCTGGCTGTCATGTCGGACATGTCGCATCTGTCGGAAATCGGACATGCAGATCCGGTCATGCAGGACACAGATCCGCTGGAGAGGTGAATTCTGTTCATAACTGTTGCGCTACTTAAGGGTAGAATATCAAACATTTCATAACTGAAAAATGACAATACCCAGCGACTTGACTTGACTTATTTAGCTGGGATATATATATATATATATATATATCCATCGCGCTGAGCATTTATACACATTGGTTTGCAAGTCACGCGAAGGAGCTGAGAAGCCTTCTGCTGAAAGCACTGCAAGAAGTCAATCTGAAGGATGTGAAGTTGAAACCCGTTCTAAGCTCCTTAGCTATTGAGGAAGGTGACCCTTAAAAGATGTGGGAAAGAAGACAACTATTGACTAAATTCAATGCTTGAACACAACCCGTCTCTGCATCCAATGGCGAAACCCTTCCGAAGGATATATTGAATGCCCCGAATACCCCCAAAGAACCCTGGTTTAGTATTGGAAGTGTTTCCTTTGGAGACCTATTCAGGGCTCAGTTTATTGTAATTTGATGGGAAAAACAACGTTCAGAACCGTAGAAGTTTGACCATGGCCCAGCTTGAGAAAAAATGAGCAATAAAGGTACCCCAGAGTCTCAATGTCAAGCATCAGTCCATTCAAATTGCCATAAATGAATGTTGATCTGCCAAATACAGACGATTCCCAGTCCCATTTTGCTTATTTAAACTTTCGGCTGTCCATTCCCATTTTGCCAATCAATACAGGCACATATTTGATCAGTTTCCTGATGTTCTGAGGTCATTTGCAACAGCTGATTCTCCAATTACAACAACCTCTGGAAGAAGCTGCCTGTGCGGCTCAGTGGCTCATGATCTCTGCCTTCCTTCAGAGCTGGGAGGATTCAAACCGCCACGAGAGGCACGGCCGCTGGAGCGAAGCTGAAAAACGAGACGTCTGGCAGTTTCTGCAAGATCGATTGAGCAGATATGCGGAACCCAATTCGGTATCTTGGATCATCTTGGATCGTTTGGACCATCTTCAGGGTTGGGTTACTTAGAGAGGTTTGGATAGTTTGAAGATGTGTTCACCTTCAATCCCCTGCCAATCACTCTACAGATCTAAGCTCAGGCTGAGATCATCCTGTACTTGTCAAGTTGTTCAACGATCATCGATCAGTGGGGCCTGGGGTATATAGAGTTGGTTCTGTCCAAGATATCGCAACATATCAGGATTTTACTGATGTCCAGATGTGACATTGTTTGGCTAAAAACCTTCATTAAGATTCGCATCTTGCTTAATCATTGCTTAACACCAAGAGGTCACCCTAGTAAATCAAGCTTCCGTGTTCTCCTGTCACCTCGTGGGGTACCACCAAAAAAGGGGTAATTACCCAATATGATAAAACTGGGAAGGGTTGGTGATGACCTAAAACATTTGAGCAAATTGTCATTTTCCGCGCAAGTTGGGATAACTGGAACCTCGAACGAGACTCTGTATATAGTAGATGTTGCATCTCCAAGTAGACACTTAAGATTAACATATTCATATATAGATATTCGATAAACAAAGATCAAATCGAACATGTGGCGAAAATCTGGCTTTCGGGCCATTGAGGTCCTTTTCGCCAAAGCGGCCTTAAACTTTGGCCGCTCCAGCAGTGCCATCAAGGCCTTCTGGCGCGCACGCACGGATCTGCGCTATGCCCCATCGGCGCCGGAGGGGCTGAAGCATCACAGGGGAATCATCAAGCAGATGGTGGGACATGCCATGAGGAGCTGCCTGAAATCTTGCGGGTCCATATGGGTCCATTGAACTGGAAGAATTTTTGTGGTTGAAATGCTGTTGAAATGATGTTGGGTCAAGTGAACATCAGAAACAAACGGATGAAACTTGCGAGAAACATGAGCTTGGAAGATGATTTGGGGCATGCCTTGGAAAAACCACCGGAGTCATCGGTCAGGAAACTCGGAGGGGAGGCCACCAGCTTGGAACTCATCGACTTCATCGGCAATGATGTGGAGATGCAGGAGACTTACGGACATCGCTTGCAAACGATCCTCGGATCGGCAAAGGATCATTTTTGACCCATCTTTTTATGATGGGATTATGTTGGTTTGATATATTTTTTGGATGGTTGATGTCCTTGTTTTCTAAACTGCCTGGTGGTTTTCCATGATTTTCCATCACTCTTACATATAGACTTGTTAAATAAGTTCAGTTCAGGGAAAACACATGAAAGAAACGTCTTTTAAGCATTCAGAACTGGCATATTCTGGTTCTGCCCCCAGGCATATGACAAAAATCAACGGCAACATGAATGCGATCCCCGCATGGCAACGGACGGTGCGCACCAATGTGGATCGCTATTTAAAGCATACAGGGAAGAAACGCCATGGCCGGTTGGTGTACAGATTGAAATCCGAGCGCTAAGATCTGGTTTCGCCCAAGCTCGTTGGGAAGGTGTCTTGTTGCAAAGAATTTTTAAGATCATTTTCAGATTAGGCATGATGATATTTTCTCTCGTTTCTTTCAAGGTGTTTTTTGAGGAAATTGAGAAATGTTTGGTCGCTTTGGCCACTTTATCCTCCATAAAAACAGTGGATTTGAAGCATGGATTGTATGGTAGATATGCGGTGTGAGGTGAAAGAAATATTACCAAGACATCGGCATTTGCGTTACCCTCTGGTAAACATACAAAAAGCCATTGAACATGGCCATTTATAGTTGATTGTCCCATTCAAAATGGTGATTTTCCATAGTTATGTTAGTTCACCAGAGGGTACCCCGAAGAAAACATTGGTTACACGTTGCAAAAAAATCAAATGGACTAATTAGTTTGAAGTAGCATTGAGAGCGTCTTTTTCAACACAGATCATGAGCACATCCTCATGGACGGTTGTGGATCTTTGGGCGGCTGCAAAAGTGGAGCCTCAGGATACCCTCTGGTAATTTAACATAACTATGGAAAATCACCATTTCTAATGGGAAAATCCATTATAAATCACCATTTTCAGCATTGATTGTACAATGTGAGGCTCCCCAGTGATGTTTGTTGGTTTAGATTCGCCCCAGTAACTATAGTTATAAGTATATCATAAACCATAGTGAAATTGGAGTTATGTGCACCAACTTAGCTATCGAACGGGGGCCTCACAATTGTTCAATCTCAACGGAATCCAAATGGCTATTGGAACCCAAAAAAAACATCAAAAAACCACCCAAAACTCGTGATTCCAGTAAGACTTCCATGTTTTTTTTCATGGCCCTCAATTGAAAGACACGGATTTATGACTTCGATATTGGGGCTTTCCGCCGATCTCAGACGTCATGCGACATCTGGTGTCATCAGACATGGCTTGCTGGACATGTCTGGGTAAATTATAACGACCTCACTGCGACCGAGCCCTGGAATCATGGTTAATAGAGGAAATCATCCCCAAATGGCCGCAAGATTCAGGTTAGTGAAATATTATTTCATTTACCCAGACATGTTATGCCATTTTGTTCAATGATGTTCCCAGCGAAAAAAAACCTCCATGGCTAGTTCGGGCCTTGCGTTTTTGGATTTCCAAAAACGCCATGTTGGATTGAGGGATCCGAAGGATTAGAACAACCCATATTTTGATTTGTTCTCCTAGCCAGGTCGGCCCCTCTCACTGATTGATGACCGTCTCGTTACTTTTACCTCACAAAAACAAGTCGCTCTCCCCCATTCATGATGATTTTATCGAATCGATGTTTACCGCTTTTTTGTCCGGATGTATTCCCAGAAAAAAATGCCGTGTAGATCTTGTAATATCAGATACCCTCTGGTAATTTAACAGTTCGCCATGGTATAGATGGCCCATAGAAATAGATGGTTTACCTATTAATAGCATGGTGATTTTCCATGGCAAACTGTTAGTCATAACCAGAGGGTATTACCAAAGGGGCTACACCCTGCCATCTTTTTCCCATCTCCGCCAGCCATTTTTCCCCCTTTGAGGCCATGTTGGTGGGCGTTGGTGGCAGCGGTCGTTTCCTCAGCGATGAATTTCATGGCCACAGCGTGACTGCAATGATGTAATGGTGTAATAATGTTATATAATGTTTGGGGCATATCATCCCCACAGATTGTGAGTTATGATTTTTTTTGGCCGTTGATCTATTTGTAGATGATGTAGTGAAAAAAGCTGGTGTTCCATGGCTATGTTAGACTACCGGAGGGCATACTGAAGAAGATTCAGAGAGTCAAACAACATAAACAACCAGAAAGTTGTGACTTGTCATTCCAAATGTATTGACCTAGGCATTTCTTCATAGTTTAGTAGCTGGTCCGACTGGTCCCTCGAGTTTTTCCATGGTAGCTGCTTCTGCTTCGACGAGTCCCAACCCAGAAATCGGATCGGTAGGATGATGAGAATGAGTTGATATGAGTTGGGCGGTCCCAGAAATTTGAAAGATCTGTAGCCCCTTTGGTAATACCCTCTTGTTATTTAGCCCATAGGAAAATGGAGGTTTGAGTGGGAAAACCATAGGAAAACCATAGGAAAACCATAGGAAAATGGAGGTTATACCATCTGGTTATGACTAACAGTTTGCCATGGTGTAGATGGATGAAGATGGCCCTAATCGAAATAGACGGTTTACCGTTCTTAAAAGTAGGGTGAAAATCGCCCCCTCTCGCCCCCCTTTCCAAAGGCCCCTCGTCTGGACCCCCCCTCTCGCCCCCTCTCGCCTCCTCTCGCCCCCTCTCGCCGCCCTCTCGGCCCCTAAAATGGGGGGGTCCAGATGAGGGGCTTTGGGGGGGTCCAAGTGAACCCCCGGCCGGTGAAAATCACCATGGCAAACCGTTAGTCATAACCAGATGGTAACAAGCCATGAGAAGCGTGCTTCTTGTGGGAATGTACTACAATGTGAGGCCCCCCAGTTATAAGTTGGTTTATAAGCCCCAGTAACTATAGTTATAAGTACCATAAACATCCATAAATCATTGTGAAATTGGAGTTATGTGCACCAACTGAACGCTATCGTGGCCGGGGGCCTCACATTGTATGGATGTAACCCATTTTCTCGAGGGATGGGACGATGGGACATTGCCGAATCATGGCAGGGCACACATGGCAGCCAGATGGCCAGATTTGTTGGATGTTCCCTGAGTCAATGGCCATGACTCAGGAACCGATTCATTGGAGGTACCTACCATATATAAGGCCTATGTAAGGCCTAATTTCAGGGAATATCCCCACAAAATATGGCCTGAAATATGGTACAGTACCTCCTGGAATTCCCATTGACTGAGTCAGAATCGAATTTATCAACCCGAAGTTCATATCATATAGACTGTGTTTTTTTGGCTTCGGGGATGCCCAAAATAGTTTCAAATTTAAATAGTTTGTACATCCAAAATCAGGACATGTGAAGAAAATCACCTTGCCATTTTGAATGGCGCTGAAAATGAATCCTCAACTAACTTGAGATACCCTCCGGTAAATCAAACCCGGTAAGCTGGACAAAAATAAGCATTATAAATGAAAGATTTATAGCACAATCATCGAACTATGGAGGATTTTCCAGCCATTTTTGACCGATCTTCGGGATCCCGAAGATCGAGTCCGGCACCTGTCCTACGTTTTGCCTACGCTTTCCCGTGAGGCAAACAATCTCTGACCCGCCTTGCAGCCTTCATCTCTGGGCATTGTATGTTCCAAATCACCATCACCAAGACCTACAGCCAGGGAGCCCTGATCCTTTGAGCGGCGAGCGGGGAGCAGGTATTGAACCTTTTTATGATGGGATATCATGGGCATAATATATATATATATATAATTTCTTATGTAACTATATATATATATAATTTCTTATGTAACTATATATATATATATATACAATTATATGCATACGTATATGCATACATTACAATATATATATATATATGACCCGCATCCATGACTTTGAGTATTTACATGTGGATGAATTTGATCATAACCTCACTTCGTTTTCCGTCACTGGCATGATGGTGAACGTATAGGGGAATCATCCCCATAGCCAGCACAACACAATAACAGCTATTTTCAGGTTAGTGAACGATTTTGATTTAGCCAGAAATATATTTGACCAAGACCCTGCGTTTGATTGCTGATTTGATGATATCTAATTTGATGGATATGTTACCATTTTTAACCACCATGAACAGGGATATTGGCCATCAACAGAAAAAGTATATTGATGAATGATGATTGATCTGTACGACTAAAGAGTATCACTACCCTGAATTAATATCCACTAACGCGATGCTGCTGCATGATATTATTGTTCATTGTTTATGCTGACGAATGTTTGGTGTTTTATGAAAAAGATGATGATGATGATGATGATGATGATGATGGTGATGATGGTGATGACGGTGATGATGATGATGATGATCATGATGATGATGATGATGATGGTGATTATTTTGATGATGATGATGACGATGATGATGATGAAGAGGAGGATGAGGATGACGATGATGATGATGGTGATTATTATTATGATGATGATGACAACGATGATGATGATGATGATGATGATGATTATTACCGGCTATGTTTGCTGGTTCATCCGTGTTTTTCTTCAAAGAAAGTGCTGATTTAGGGTAGTCAGCAAAGGGTGGCACATCGCTGGGTTTCGAAAATGACCCAGTTGGGCTGTGCTTTTTTACTGCCAAAAAAATGACTTCGTTTCTATATAGCTGAAAAGGTTGGATGGTTGAAAACCAAAAAACAACATTATCCCTCCGTCTCATTCAACTGGGGCTGTTCAACTCCGAGTTTGTTCAGAGATCCTCCCAGAGAAAGACGTTCCTCAACTGCACCGATGAAATTTCATAAGATTTCATTGCAATTTCATAAGATCAATGGATTGGTTTAAGGGAAAATCTTAACTGGAATCCATAGATTTTCCCATTAAATCTCGGGCTTTGCTGTAAATATTCCCTTAAACCAATCCATTGATAAGAGCATCCAAAAGCGGCTTAACTTTCTACATGAAAACGTGTGCGAAGATCATGTTTCGTTCTGGGGGATACCCCTCAGTTTCCATGATGCGACAAGGGCATCCATATTCCCTTTTTGGAAAATGAGAGACAAGGGCCTTGCCAAGGCCTAGTAGAAGTTTCCCAACCACATTATAGAAGATGGAATTTTTACAAAAGGACTTCTTGGCTTATAAGCAGTGCAGGAAAATATGCACAATATCACAACACTAGAGGAATAGGAGGGAGATTTGAAGAGATTGCAGGAATTTCTCCCATGATCTCTCATGGTTGGAATGGTTTGTTTGCAACATGGCGGTTTCAACTACAAAGTCGTTTCCGTACCCTTGTTGTTTTGTAGCACCTGCGCCGCCTGATCGATGAACTGCCTTACTTGTTCAACGGGGACCCCCCATACTTGTTCAACGGAGACCTCGCCGATAAGAGCCCAAATCTGCAGAATTTGACGCAATCCAGGACACTATCGAACATGACTGGCCGGGAAAACCCTATAAATGGAGGTTAGCATGGAAAAATCATCTGTTTTTCATCAGGGATTCCCCATTGCCATGTCTGATTTCCGGAGAACACGCGAAGAAGCAAACCAACGGCAGATGTGTTTTTTCGCCTTCGGTGGAAAATTTTCCCTGTGGCTTCTCTGACCGCCGGTGTTCGCTCTCTCTTCTCAGTT